GATTAATTTCAGTAATTAAGTACATCCAGAAGAACATAACAACACCACCCAAATACCTGAGAAACCATTAGTTGGCGAGTACTGAAATAAGCACTGAGAAAAATTTCACTAAAATGGTTCAAGTGTAATTACGACCACTAATTATTCCGCAATCGAACTGTCGATGATAGGGTCGGACTTGGCATGCTCAGGAGTACCTATACCGTGATTAGGTTAGGTTAGGTTAGGTTAGGTTAGGTTTAGGTGAGGTTTAGGTTAGATTTACAGGTAGGTGAGGTTTAGGTTGGGTTTAGGTGAGGTTTAGATGAGGTTTAGGTTAGGTTTAGGTTAGGTTTAGGTGTGTTTTTCAAAAATTTAAGATAATTTTCAAAAAATTTCCGAAAATGTTCAGAAATATGCAAAAAAAATTGAGAAATTTTCGATTGTTTTTCAAAAATTTCAAAAAATTAGGTTAGGTTAGGTTTAGGTGAGGTTTAGGTTGGGTTTAGGTGAGGTTTCGGTTAGGTTTAGGTGAGTTTTTCCAAAAATTAGGTTAGGTTAGGTTTAAGTGAGGTTTAGGTGAGGTTTAGGTTTGGTTTACATTGGGTTTAGGTTAGGTTTAGGTGAGTTTTTCAAAAAATTTCAGAAATTTTCCAAAAATTTTCAGAAATATGCCAAAATTTTTCAGTTTTCGATTTTTTTTTAAATTTCCACAAATTAGGTTAGGTTAGGTTATGTTAGGTTTAGGTGAGGTTTAGGTTGGGTTTAGGTGAGGTTTAGGTTTAGGTGAGTTTTTCCAAAATTTTTCAGAAATTTTCCAAAAATTTCTAAAATTTTTCAGAAATATGCCAAAATTTTTCAGAAATTTTTTCAAAATTTTCCAAAAATTAGGTTCAGTGAGGTTTAGGTTAGGTTTAGCTGAGCTTTAGGTTAGGTTTAGGTTGGGTTTGGGTGAGGTTTAGGTTAGGTTTAGGTGAGTTTTTCCAAAATTTTCCCAAAATTTTCCAAAAAAATGGAAAATTTCGGAAAATTTTTGGAAAAATTTGGAACTTTGTGGGAAATTTTTTGAAAATGTGGGGAAATTTCTGAAAATTCTAGGGAAATTTTTTGAAAAGGGGAAATTTCCAAAAATTTAAAAAAAATTCCACAAATCGATCTGTGGACTAAATGTCAAAAATTGTAAGGCTTACCCCATACAGAATTTTTGGCCAAAAAATAGATTTTGTTCAGAATCTCAGTATAGGTACTCCTGAATATGCTGCTTAAGGATCTGTTAACCAAAATTTGATATCTGGATTATTACTTGTTCAATGGCTTTTAGAAAATTTTAATTAATTTTGCAAGTCATTTGAATTAGTAGGCTAATAATGCAGATATCAAATTTTGGTTAACAGATCCTTAAACAGCATATTCAGGAGTACATATACTGAGATTTTGAACAAAATCTATTTTTTGGCCGAAAATGACAAAAATTGTAAGTCTTTTGCCTTAAAGGATTTTTGGCCAAAAATACTTTTTCTCTCGGAACTAAAATTTAATGTGCCTAACCATTTAAGTACACCCAGAATAATACACAAGCACCAAGAAATGACCTCGAAAACCGATAAGTGGCGAGTAATTAGCATTGCAAAAGTAATTAATATTGTCTAAAAATCATTTGAACAAGCAATAATCCATATATCAAATTTTGGTTAACAGATCCTTAATCAGCATGTTCAGGAGTACCTATACTGAGATTTTGAACAAAATCTATTTTTTGGTCGAAAATGCCAAAAATTGTAAGTCTTATGCCTTACAGGATTTTTGGCCAAAATATATATTTTCTTCAAAATCTCAGTATAGGTACACCTGAATGTGCTGCTTAAGGATCTGTTAACCAAAATTTGATATATGGATTATTACTTGTTCAAATGGCTTTTAGAATATTGTAATTCATTTCGCAAGTCATTTCAATAAGTAATAATGCAGATATCAAATTTTGGGTATCAGATCCTTAATCACCTTGTTCAGGAGTACCTATACTGAGATTTTGAACAAAATCAATTTGTGGACTAAATGCCAAAAATTGTAAGGCTTACCCCTTACAGAATTTTTGGCCAAATATACTTTTTCTCTCAGTACTAAAATTTAATGTGCCTAACTACTTAAGTACACCCAGAATAGTACACAAGCACCAAGAAATTACCTTGAAAACCCAAAATGGCGAGCAATTAGCATTGCAAAAATAATTACAAGTTTCTAAAAGCCATTTGAACAAGTAATAATCCAGATATCAAATTTTGGTTAACAGATCCTTAAGCAGCATATTGAGGAGTACCTTTACTGAGATTTTGAACAAAATCTATTTGTGGACTAAATGCCAAAAATTGTAAGGCTTACCCCTTACAGAATTTTTGGCCAAAAAATAGATTTTGTTCAGAATCTCATTACAGGTACTCCTGAATATGCTGCTTAAGGATCTGTTAACCAAAATTTGGTATCTGGATTATTACTTGTTCAAATGGCTTTTAGAAAATTTTAATTAATTTTGCAAGTCATTTGAATAAGTAATAATGCAGATATCAAATTTTGGTTAACAGATCCTTAAACAGCATATTCAGGAGTACCTATACTGAGATTTTGAACAAAATCTATTTTTTGGCCGAAAATGACAAAAATTGTAAGTCTTACGCCTAAAAGGATTTTTTCCCAAAATACATTTTCTCTCAGAACTAAAATTTAATGTTCCTAACTACTTAAATACACCCAGAATAGTACACAAGCACAAAGGAATGACCTTGAAAACCCAAAATGGTGAGCAATTAGCATTGCAAAAATAATAAAAAATTTCTAAAAGCCATTTGAACAAGTAATAATCCAGCTATCAAATTTTGGTTAACAGATCCATAAGCAGCATATTCAGGAGTACCTATACTGAGATTTTGAACAAAATCTATTTTTTGACGAAATGCCAAATATACTTTTTCTCTCAGTACTAAAATTTAATGTGTTTAACTACTTAAGTACACCCAGAATAGTACACAAGCACCAATAAATGACCTTGAAAACCCAAAATGGCGAGCAATTAGCATTGCAAAAATAATTAAAAATTTCTAAAAGCCATTTGAACAAGTAATAATCCAGATATCAAATTTTGGTTAACAGATCTTTAATCAGCATGTTCAGTAGTACCTATACTGAGATTTTGAACAAAATATATTTTTTGGCAGAAAATTACAAAAATTGCAAGTCTTGTGCCTTACAGGATTTTTGGCCAACAATACTTTTTTCTCTCAGAACTAAAATTTTATGTGTTTAACTACTTAAGCACATCCAGAATAGTACACAAGCACCAAGAAATGACCTTGAAAACCCAAAATGGCGAGCAATTAGCATTGCAAAAATAATTAAAAATTTCTAAAAGCCATTTGAACAAGTAATAATGCAGCTATCAAATTTTGGTTAACAGATCCTTAAGCAGCATTTTCAGGAGTACCTATACTGAGATTTTGAACAAAATTTATTTTCTGGTCGAAAATTACAAAAATTTTAAGTTTATGCCTTACAGGATTTTTGGCCCAAAAATAGATTTTGTTCAAAATCTCAGTATAGATACTCCTGAACATGCTGATTAAGGATCTGTAAACCAAATTTTGATATCTGCATTATTACTTATTCAAATGTGTTGTCGCCTCTGGCTTCAGCTACAGTGCTGGCGTGTGATGCCATTAAATCTTTCGACCTGGGACCTCGCCAGATGGAGAAGTGTTTACAGACAAGTCCTGGTTCTGCTGAGTGGAATGTCTTAGTAGGGTGACAGTGACTGCCCGCCCCTCCATGAGACAGATCACCCTCTCTAGTGGTGCTGTAAAGACCAGCCTTCTCCTGTCCGAGAATTTGTGCTGGGACGATTTACGCAATACTGTTTTGTCTTGGAACACCATTCTTATCTGCATTGACCCGCACTTGTAAGTACAGCCTAAGTGATGACATACCCCTCGGTACTGCCTAACTTGGAGTAATAAGACAATGCAGAATGAAGCGAAGCTAAGATTAATAGAGTTATGAACTTTGTGTTATGTCAGTATGTTTAATAAATTGTAATTAAGATAAAATTGTGAGACTAACTAATTATGTATCAGATGGATCACCTTGTAATATTATGAACGCCTTCTCCTCTGCAGGTTTTGACCACATCAATAAATATTGAATGCGTCAAATGACAGGTTTCAATCATTCCCTTCGACTTGCCCGTAACCTGAACGTTCTTAACTAAGGCGTTTAAAATACCCTTGGATAAAAGTGCTAACACTCTCTATGACTAGTTCTTGTTTATACTGTACATACAATAATGTCTTACCTGCTGATGTGTTGCATTCTATGTATAGTAAAGCATCCTGATGGGTGCAACATCAGATATATAAGGTGAGGCGCACAATTACAATTGGACTGTTCACACAATCAGACCTCTGAACTTAAAATTTAGAACCCAAGAGAATAAAGAGATGACAACATCGCAACATTCTTAGGCCTCCAGATTACCTAATGCCCATGATCAAATAATCATTTATTCTCTGTATAAATCTATCCCAGTGACAGTACAGTAGTATGAAAAACATGTAGTGAAAAATAAAATGAAATGTTTAGGTATCAATTAAATTCAGTGAAAGTATTCCATTTTCTCTTCTTGTAAATCATAGCCAGACTCGAGGCATCACTGCACACGTAAAAGACCTGAACATAAATACATTGCCCCTAGATATTACCTGTATTTCCACAACAGAACCAATGTCTGCTTTCCCTCATTGCCAAACATTTCTAAAGGCAGCAGTAGCTTATGCAAGATTGTTTCCAAATCAAAGCACTGTTTTGTTTTTGTTTTTTTGCTAAACATAGATGGAAATTTTCTTGTTGGGGGTGGGGGGGGTGGGACATTGGATTTTCATGGGGGGCACGTGCCCTCTTAGCTATGCCACTGGTTAGCAGTTACATTATTGGAAATTCTAATTATCATTTCAAGATAGATTCAATGAAATTCCCACTGAAATACACCTCCAGTTATTTATTGAACATTACAGTTACAAGTCACATAAGTTTTAAAAGACATTTATCGGTTTGGGGGCATTAAATTTGCTTTATTGGTGAGTCAGGAACACAAAGGCACAATGTACAAGATACATAACTTAATTTGGAAAGAGTCATCCCACATTCATATCTGGTAAAAATTTGTTTTGTCAGGAGTAAGAGTGATTCGGATTCAACATCTTACACTAAATGTCGCTTTTGCTTCAAGGATATTTAATCAAGTTTTTCACACAGTATTTCATATGCTATAACTTCAGCTGTGGGAATCAATCAACTTTTAGCTTTCATCTTTTGCTACATTAGTTAAGCAGTCTATTGTGTCATTAGTGACTTTAGTTTACTTAATATTAAGACAAGCTCTTGTTCTGGTGTTCTACTTACTAGTCTAGAGTTGCCCTCCTAACCAGAGTTGTGCATGTGAAGAGTAGTTTCTCTAAGACAATAGAGACTTTTCCACCCTGGGCTTGTTTTAAATAATGTATCACTTCCTCTAGTTCCTGATCAAATATCACCTTATGTTCCTTGAATGATGTGGCAAGCATCTCGACCAATCATACTTAATATTTAAAACTTGACCCTACACTACAAAAAGGCATCAAGATAACTATCTGTAATTCTTAAAAAAAATAAATAAAATAAAATATCAAGTCATTAAATTGACTAAATCATATTGACAGAATTGTTTAAAAATTAAAATTCCAAATTTTATGAAATACAGTATATCAAAAGCCTAACAACCCTCCCCCAAACTAATACAGTTAACAGTATATCTTGCATTTATACTTTCATGACAACAGATAATATTTTACAGAAGTAGATCTGGTGACCTCAGCTGCTCACAACACTTTTATCAGTGATTATATTTTTCCTTGGCCAAAGATAATATGTCTTATACAGTATATTCACTATTAAACTATACTTTCATTGAGCACTATTTTTTGTTATCTATCCTCCACTGTTTCTTATTAACATACTGTTATCAATGTATTTCCATCAAGATTTTGGCATTATCCTTATGTGTGCAAGCTTGCTGTAACAACTTGCATCATTTCCACAGTCATTTGTTAGAGCTCACAGGTGGCCACTGCTTAATTAGTCACAATAGCACATAATCTCCACAAATAGCTTTAAAGCTGACTTTAATATACAGTACAGTACCAGGGTTTAAGACTGCCAGGAAACCCTCTGAATGTCATCCTCTTTTGAATATGGGAAAACCCAATATAATGAGATATTTCATATACAGTATTTTACCAAAAGACTGACATATGCACTCATAGTAATACTAAGAAAATAGTAATCAACAATGAAGCATAATACATAACAAATTAACAAAACAAGAAACTGTGAAATGGTCTTGCTTATGCAATCAAAAGGTTCAGTAGAACATACTGCATATCTATACTGTACTGTAAGAGTGAAAACAAGAATTCTCTTGAGAAGCATCAGAAAATTGAAACTTCGATGAAAGAAAGATTTAAAGATTGTTCAAAAACAATATTTCTTGGGCATTAAACTTTGATGAAACTTTTCATGAGTACAGAGGAATTACACCTGCCTATTCTGATAATGATTATCAATCACATCCAAAACAAGCAATTGAAAAAAAAAAGAGAAAAATGAAGCCTACTCGGTATTCAATTACAGTATTTTTTGTAGTGGAACTATACAAAACTTTAGTTTGAATTAATTTAATTCTTAATAAGAACAAGATGTAAGCACATGATTTGATGGTTACAACTTACATGTCATGGCTGTCATCTTCTTTCACAATGGTCAAACTTGTGATGAAAAGCACATAGTCATATTTATATATAAACACAATGACTGTCACTCACACAATGCTTTCACCTTCCTAAAACTTGCAGACATTGCATAAAAATATAAGAAACTGATATTGTCATCAGTCATGATTATCCTATCTTGACAAAAGTCCTAAGTATGTCTGAGCTCTTTAAGGTCCATAGATCTTAAGTGTTCGATCCATTGAAGTAGATGCTAAATAGGAAGCATTTGATCCAAACCGAACTCCAGTGGCCATGGCTGTGTGGTCATTAAATATCCTAAGGTCATTCCACTGCTTACACAGGTACACTCTGGAAGAAAGAAATCACAAAATTAAATGATATACACCTGTGTGTGTAGGTGGAAACTTGACAGTGATCCAAATAATTTTATTATTATACAAATAATGCATAACTAACTCATATACAGTATGCACGTATATATATACAGTGGTCCCTCGGTTAACAAACGCCTCAGTTAACGAAATTTCGGTTAATGAATTACTTTCCTTAAGAATTTTCAATTCGGTTAACGAACAAAAATTTGATTAACGAAATTCTTACGAAAACATGTCAACATGTTTTGGCTTGCTCATCGGCTGGTAGATTAGTCCGCCAATACAGTAGTAATCAGTTCTAGGGCTTACATTCTTTCCCATTGGAGTAAATATCAAGAAGGTTGTGCTATTCAATATTTTCCAAGTTTTATATTAAAATTATTAGTCATTTTAACACTTATTTAACATAATTGCAGTACAGAGAACTAGTTTTTGGTGCGCCCATCAGCCACTTCACTCACCCACCAAGGCGTCTGTTTATGTCTCTGTTCAGTGGAGGAAATATCTTGCTTGTGGCTCTCTTGAACACAGAGTATTTTTATGTTTTTACAGTACAATTATTGGTCACTCTAAAATTTATTTAACATATTGATAATATATAGCGCAGTGCAGTGTTGATTTAAAGAGAATAATCTTGAATTACACCTAGTGAACTTAAAATTTTATTGGTGAAATGACTGCATCAAGCATGGTTCCCCTGGAAGGTGATTTCTCCTCCATCCCCACTTCCTTCTCTTCTCCCTTCTCCTCCACCCCCACCTCTAATTCCCATCATCAACTAGGAACCTTCTACATACAAACCTCAAAGAAAATGTACTTTACCGCATTTTGTTTTTACTTATACAATATATATATACATCTTCAGAGACAACTTCAGTTGCCTCTGAAGATGTCTTGATTAAAGACGAAAGCTAAGGTGCTCCGTTGTTTCCCCTTTCCCGTGTGATTTTATCAAGATATATATATACAGTGATCCCTCGGTTAACGAACTCAATACGTTCCAGAAGGTCGTTCGTTAACCGAAACCATTGTTTCAATGGGTTTTTGGGTAATTGGCTCCAGCTCACCGAAAATTGCCTAAATTCAACAAAAATGGTAGAAAAGTTCACTTACTTTGAGGTGTGTATGTAGAAGGCTCCTGGATGATGATGATGATGGGAATTAGAATGGGGGTGGAGGAGAAGGAAGAAGAGAAGGCATTGGGGTGGAAGAGAAGTCACCCCATGGCACCATTTCACCCATAAAATTTTAGTTCTCTTGGTGTATTTCAAGATTATTTTCTTTAAATCAACACTGCACTGCATTATATATTGTCAATATGTAAAATATATTTCAAAATGACCAATAATTTGCTTGGAAACACAGAAAAAAGCATTTAGTTGAAGAGAGTCTCAAGCAAGATGTTACCTCCAGTGAAAACAGAGAGAGACTAACGCCTGTTTGCTGTGTTAAGAGGCTGGATGCCGCGCATTAAACTAGTCACTTTACCTTCAATTATGTTCAATAATTGTTAAAATGACTAAAAATTGAATATTAAACTTTTAAAATTATTGAATAGTATAAACTTCTTGATATTTCATGGTTATCAGCATATATATATATATATATATATATATATATATATATATATATATATATATATATATATATATATATATATATATATATATATATATATATATATATATATATATATATACATGCTGATAACCACTAACCTTGTGAATTCACATCTTCAGGGGTGCAGACTGTACTCATCCTGAAGATGTGAATTACACGAAAGCGCTTGGGAACTTCGTGTTTTCTTTTTCCTTGTGGTTATCAGCATATACCTGGATCACGCTCACCTACAGTGATTTACTTGCATATATATATATATATATATATATATATATATATATATATATATATATATATATATATATATATATATATATATATATATATATATATATATATATATATAATTCATGTAGATCCACAATGAAAATGTGGATAAGATAAACTTTGATAAAATCTCACAGGAAAAAGGGAAACAATGGAGTGTTTTCAAATCAGGTCATAGAAGACTTTCAGTTACAGTAAGTCCAGTTAAAAGAATTTACAGTAAAATTAAAATCTAATTAACCCCCTCATATACAGGGAACCTCTTGGTGCTGAAGAATAAAATCGTCTGAAGTTATCTAAATAATTGTTAAATATGGCATCCTTTTATGAAGGGCATAATATCACACTGCAGAGCCGACCATATACATCTCTGATTTCTGGATATCGTTCCTCTCCCTTCTAGTGCATCCATCCCCACATCCCCATACCATTCCAACAAATACTTTGTTTTTCCCTCCTGAATATGAACTTCTGAATTATAAATTTTCTATCCATATTTCTCTTTACAGTATCATAGTAGAAATGTTTTTAGAACCTCATCCATTGGACATTTACCTGACATCTGTCCCTGCAACAGCTAGGTAAGTGCCTGACTGGTCAAAGCAAAGGTCCATGACTTCATATCCTTCATCTAACTGGATGGTCTTAAAGTTCTTGAGTTTCCGCAAATCCCAGAGCCTTACAGTGGAGTCTTCTGCAGCCGTTGCCAGGTAATAACCATTTTCACTGAAGGCAATGGAACTAATAGCTCCACTGTGACCTAGAAAAAATTTAACATGTTTTATTAAAAAAGAAAAAGAAAAAAACCTTGCTCTCTCCTGAAGGTCTTTTGTCAAATTATACTGAGGGTTTGTCTGTTTTGAGTACCGGTACATGTATGTAGTGAATCAAGGCATCACTGCAATGTGGACACAGTGGATTTTGAGTAAGTTGGATTTGTAAAGACAGTGATTTGATTTAGAGGTAAGATATACAGAACGGTATTCTCATTTCCTGGGGAGAATAGTTTCAGAGAGGTGCATATGCGGTGGAGATGTGCTCTGTGCTATTTAATGTATGTTTGTGGATGGTTGTACTGGGAGGTATAAGTGGAATTTTGTTGAGTTTGTTGGAGACTGGGAGTACAGTACGCCTGGATAATTTGCGGAATTTTATTCGTGGATGACACCTTGGATGTACCCAAGAATGTCTGCTGGTTGTTTAAAAGTTGCTGGCATTTTCGCGGCAGGACAGGGAGCCATTCGTTCTAAAGACAGTAATTTTCTTTACCTGTATTGTATATATGTGTGTGTGTGTAGACACACAAAACGCATACAAATAAATAATTATGGGAAAAATCCTCTCACAAATAATCAGAAACAAATTTATTAAAAATGTGAGTCTACTCAGTGCTTTATTAATAACAAAGCACAGAGTAGACCTGAGGGTAGACTCACATTTCTAATAAAATTGTTTCTGATAACTGTATTTGTGAGAGGATTTTCCCATTCTTATTTGTTTGTATGTGTTTTGTGTGTGTGTGTGTGTGTGTGTGTGTGTGTGTGTGTGTGTGTGTGTGTGTACACATACACACACACACATATATATATATATATACAATAAAATACATACACTTCTTTGTACACAAGTAAAAATGTACCCCCTGGTCAACGAATGTTATTCATGGATTTGGCGATTCACGGCCATTTTGAGAACCTAACCCCTGTGAATTTGTTTTCTATTAATTAATTTCATAAAGTGAGTTCATTTTTATTGCTATGTTTAAGTACCCAAGATCTCTCTTGGCTCCTTCCATATAAGCCCTGAATGAATATTTAATAATTAATTTATTTTAAGACTTTTAGTAAGTACTTAAATGAGATAGTGGATTACTTGTTGAAAAGTTAGAAGAAAAGTGATACGTAGCTGGCCTTAGTGAACGACCAGATATCAATACAGTACTAAACACAACTTCATCACACTATCACAAAGAGACTGGGATCATCATGCTAGTTCCCTAGTCAAAAGTCCAGTCATATACTGTACTGTACATACATAAAAACCAAAACCACTTCCCTCTTTCACAGAAGCATCAAATTAAAACACACATGGTAGCACACGGAGACCTCAGCCCCTCACCCCCAGCATCTGACACCACCACCCTCATCCACCTCACCCTAAATCCCCCTCCCCCATCTACATGTTATACCTCAAAATTTTGTGGCCAAGAGATTCAGTGAACAATATATGTATGAAAAGTAGAAGTGTGTTTTTCCCTCACCTGAATACAAATACACCCATAATAAGTTATTAAAAACAAAGAAAATCTTCTGATACACTATACAGAAGTACAATTTACCTGGGAAATTTGCAACATTTGAACGTTCCTTCAGATCCCAAATTTTGATTGTGGCATCCTGAGTTCCTGTGCCAAGAATAAGACCATCAGGGTGGAACTGTGCAGCAGTTAAAGGTGAGCTAGCGGAGGCATCATTCACCTGTAGATAAATACAATAAGACATAAGTACATAAAGTATATATAATGTTAACAATTCAAATATAATGTTTATATTCTATTAGTACAGTACTTGCATTACAGTAATGAAGAAAAACAACTTTACAGCCACTCACTACTTGTGTTATCATTAACAAGACATACGGTACTGTACTTAAAGTGAAGGGATGTACAGGGTATTATAAAAGTAGTACACTGCCAAGAAAGAATCAGCTAGTTGCATACAAAAAAAAAAAAAATGCTGCTCACTCTCAGTAGAACAGCTGAATGGCTTAAATCTACCGGTATGACCCACTCAAGAGTAAAGAATTCAAGAATTTGATGCAAATAAATGACCTAGCACCTCATGTAATTCTGCTTGCAATAGCAGCCTACAATAGGGGTTCTGTAATAAGCAATGTAAGAGATTCTGACAACAAATACTCAGAGGTCACATCAGTCTGATTACCATGACTGTTAACAACTAAACACTAATGGTTTGAATATTAAAAGCTTCCTTTTTTCATTCTGACTGACTGAATGAATGTGAATAATTAAACAGGTGTAACAACTTGCATCATCAACAATAACTGCCCACAACAGTGTGTGTTGCACTGTATTAACCCTACATTCATGGCTTCTATCTTAACCTCTACCAGAATTAAAATGGTTCAAGTTGAGGTCTTAACAATCATTATTATATATATTTTTTTTTCATGGACAACCAGGTTTGTCTTTTAGGCATCCCAAAAGTGGAAAGTGATAAAATGGGGGTGCCCAAATGGGCACCCTGCCAAAAATGTAATCAAAGCCAAGCCCTGGTGTTATCATCTTCATTCTCAAGAAACTGTTGATGATAAGACTTATAGTAAGAATAAAATGAATACATATTCCTATCTGCTGGCCACGTCAGAAAGTTTGGTCTCACCTTACACAATACACGACCAGTCCTTATGTCAGAAAATGCCCAGTTATGATCACGGGATGCAGAAAGCAGATAATCGCCAGTAGCATGGAGAGATAGTCCAGTGACAGCTTCATCGTGAGCACGGATCAATTGCAATGTCTGGGATGTGCCAACATTCCATACACGGATCTGAGAAAAGAAGGTTCTAGGAATAGGAACATAAAAGATGAAGATTGCTAAGTGGTGAGCACAATTACATAAAACTTTTATACTAAAGTATTAAGTAAATTCAAGTAAGAACACACATTTATGCAATATCTAAAGATTTATATATAAAATCAATTGACACCTCATTTTCCATTGAGCAGTGATGCCCTACGCATATTCCAAATGCATCTTCCATTAAATAATTCAGTGTACAGTTCTGTAATCATATACTGTACACTACCACAACTTACACACTTACACTACAGTATCTCACAGTATTTTAATTTTTCCTTTCTTCTATACATGACTTCTGTCTTGTTCAATCTTCACTAATAACCAAGTTATACAGTATACCACATTTTAAATTTCTCTGCCCATCATAGACATCAACTTTAATATTATTCAATATATATAACCAGCTTCAACCTGTGTGTCACATACAGTATGTAGCCTTTTCATATTTAGGAGACCAACACTCCACTCAACTACACCTGACTGAATTTGTAAGAAAATCCCCAGTCTCTAAGCCAATTTGGAAATAATGTCACTACAACCTTATCGGAGGGATAAGATGAAACTATCCCACTCATCTCATTGTGGCACCATGTTAATAACACTAGCTTGTAGGAAATGTTAGACATGTACAGTAGGCTCTCACCAATAACGTTTAATAGGTGCCTGAAAAACACCGTTATTAGCGAAAACGTAATTTGTGTGACATTAAAATACATGTAAACAAGGGTTTATTGGTGCTGCCGCCACAAGAATTTCACCCATTTTTCCCCCTTGAAGCCCTCCTAACACTTTTTGTAAGCTGAAATAAAAAGAATTGCTATTCAATCATCAAAATAAAGAGTTTGAGTAATATAACACTTAGCTTGGGGGAGTTTTAGAAGTGCTTGGTGTGATGATTGTTCCGTATCTGAGGGCCGCGAACACTTGCACTGTCTTTCATTCTACAAGCTAACCATTTCACAAGAAAATGCTCGGTTATCACTAACAACCTGTTTCTATCGCCTTTATCATTCATAGCTCGCCTCGCATTTCCATCACTACCGAAATATTTTTAGCCAGCGCAATACTCTTCTTGGTCTCCTCTAAGTTCCTCTTAATATTTCGCACTGTAGACTCAGGACAGTTCAATTTCCTCACTTTAAAAGTTCCCAGTCATTCAGGTGGCAAATCACTCCCTCTTCCACCTCCCCTAGCCCCCACAGGCAAAAATGCAGAAGCCATTATTGATCACCAACCCTAACAACCACTGGTTATAGAGGCAAAAACTCACACGTGTGCGCAGCGCTGTATTCCACTGAGCGTGAGTGAGAGTGAGGCGGACCGGACAACTACGTCATCAACAAGGCGGCAAACAAACGCTATCATTGATGCGCTCGGACGCTTCCCGCGAAATTTACGTTATTCAAGAGAATCCAGACGTTATTATCGGAAATGGGTATCTATTGTAACTTACCGTTATTGTCGAAAACGTTATTGTGGAAGTAGTTATTGGCGAGAGCCTACTGTAGCCTCATACAGTTCCCATCATCATTGTCGTTTTATGGTCATTTTCCAGGTTTCCACGGGTTAGTTGCTGTTACCCAATGATAGTTAGTTCTCCATGCTGCATGGCCTTTTGTTCTCTCTCTTGTCAGGTTCCTAACTCTAAATTTATTTCTTACAATCTCTCCCTATATCATATTTTTTGCCTATCCATGCCCCCCCCCCCAATTCCATATTATTTAAGTTCAGGCATCTCTTGACCTTACTGGTCTTATCATCTCCACATGCCCAAATTACCTCAGCCTGCCCCTCCACCGAATTTTGCCACATTACACATCCACCTAACAAACATAATTTTAACTTGCTTAATTCTACTTATGTCATCCTCTTTAACTGATCATGTTTTACTGCCATACAATATCAATACTCACACCAGCCATGTATTAGCCCCTGTCTCTAGCCAAGTTAAAGGGAACTCTACCCAAAGCTTATATAACCACATACATTCTTGCTTTCACTCGGAGGAAAGGTACTCTTGCCATCAATAAAGGCAGGAGTTCCTTAAACTTCTTCCAGCTATTTCTGACAATTGCAAGTGATCAGGCTTCAGTACCCCCACCAAAACTAATCATGTCAGCCAAGTAACAGGAATTCATCAACACAGTCCAGGGACATTTCCCCAATGTTGAGTTTCTCTAGCCTTGCTGTGAGCAGACAATTACCTGCACATATACAGAGAACTTAAAGTCAATAACATCCCACAGTCTGCCATCTACTCCACTAATACCTCTTGGAAACAAGACATCCTAGCAAGGCCTGACTTGTACGATGTATCAAGGCTCAGACTCATTGAAAAGCATATCTATCATTCATAGCATGAAATTTATAGGTGTAAAATTATTAATGCTGTAGATATGCCATAAGTTTTACAAGAGCTAACCCCACAGTATGCACAATGAGTGCAATTTCGAAACACATGCAAAACCAATGTTGGCTGCAGGGATGACCTGGTGTCAGCAAATGTATCAAAGGAGGAGTATTTCAGCTGCTGAAAACTAATAGAAGGATTTCAAAGGCCAATCCTAATGAAAGTAAACTTATTAAATCTAGCCATGCCTCCTTGCAAATTCCATGAAGGGTTTACATGTAATCTAACAATGAAAATCAGATGTAAGAAAATACAACCCTTTAGTTAATAGCAAATAGGGATATCAAATGCAAAGCTGCTGAAACTCCATGTAAGTTGATTCAATCACCAGGAATAACATGTGGTTCCCCTGAAACCATAAGTTGGCTCTCTGTAATTTTTGTAGAGAGTAAGTCCTGGGCCTCTCTACTGTATATCACAAAAAGAACAAGAAATAATTATGTGGAAAAAGAGAGGGGGGGGGGGGGCTTCAGGTTCTGCCCCACCAGGGTAACTGCAATTAAAGACCAAAGTACAAAAGCCAGTCCACTTGCTAACATACTAGACCAGTCTGTAAAGGGATATTTATCTGTAAACAAACCTTATACAATGGTGTAATCAGTCTTACTTTAATAATAACTCCTCCATAAAGCACAGACAAGTTGGGTCATCAAACAATATAAAACTAGTAGGCAGAGCTTAGAAGGAGACATTTGCTCACTGTGGCTGGCAATTGGAGGCTGCATCCAAAACAGCAGACTGACTTTGATGTCAAGGTAGTAGGCAGCTATCAGACAGGGAGGTACTCCTGCCTAAAAAGTCATTGGAAGCATAATAACCAAATCCCAGGTTTGCTGATCTGACTGACTTTCTGCCTCATTTACACACAATTGCAGGGTCTCAATAGTTTTTTCCCTTAATTTGACAACACAACATACAGTATACGTATATTGTTTCTCACTCTTGATATGTTTTACTTTGTTATATTTATTTTTTTATTTACTTATGGTTCAACTTTTTTTTCTGCCTCCCAGACCCCGATGTGGGTCAGTGACCTGTGCTCGGGTGGGCTAATCCCAGTTAAAAAAGAAAAAAATGTTGTGGCTAGGGAACCTTTGCTTCCAATCCTCTAAATCAGAGAGCTGCAACAGGGAGGGATGAACTAGCATAAGATCAGTCCCCAGCTGCTAGCTTGGGGAGGTTATCTACTGTCTGAAAAACTCCAAAATAAGATGCACATTAATAGGTGCTAAGTTAGAGATAGTAAACTGAGGTACCATGTCTGGAAAATCTGGGTCACATACACCAGCTAATCCACTACAGGGTATTAGAATGCCCACCAGGACTTACAAGATGCAGAAAAATGTAAACAGCCCTTACGAATGGCAAATACTAACACTATTAATACAATCTTATCAGAATGATAACACATAGACCATGAGAAACTCCACTAACTACACCTTAAAGTGTCACAAGTATGTGAAAAGGCACTCAGTTTGTAAAAATGAGGGCTAGAGTGAACATGATCATTTTCACAACAGGAAGCAACTGGAAACTGAAAAATCAATTGTGAAATTCAAGATGGTGAGTGTCATACTGGACAGGAAGACAGCTTTTATAAGATCTCCCCTTTTCAGGCCAACAAGTTGCAATGGGGAAGGATGAACAGCCATAAAATCCATCCAAAGTCACAAAGATATGGGTCTACTGCTCTAAAACCATCAGTCAGGAGAGTTTAGAGAGCTGCTTGGTGGAGGGCATCATGTTAAAAATATTTAGAGAATTCTTATTAAAATATGTAAATATATGTGATGATTGACATCTCTAGATAAAAATTGAGCTTTGGCAGGAGCTGATGAGTTTAAAATAATATATCAAGAAATAAAAAAAAAAAAAAAGACAAAAACATCCTTGTCAGTTTTAACCTCTATCCTTACTTAAATCATCAAGCCACACACTATGCCTAACATAATTCCTGCTGTCATCACAGACTCTATGTACTGTACTACCATATTTGATACTTATTGTATCAACATTTAAACTGTCACACAACACCTGAACAAGTATGTACTGTAATGAGAAGCAGAAGATAAATCACAGTAATTTTATATTGTAACACACCTGAGTATCTGGTGATGCAGTTATAATGGTGTCTTCTGTTGGGTGGTACACCACACATGACACCTTCTTTGTATGCCCTTTAAGGATAGCAACAACCTTAAAAGAAAGATTATTTTGCTGTTTACAATTACATATAATAATAAATCAAATTAAAAAAACAAAAAACAAATTGATTACTGTACTGTACCAGCATTAAGGAAAAAAAGTGGGGATATATGATGCTGCAGTACCTATGATGGCAAATCTTCCTTGATTCATAAGAATCATAGTACAGTACTATACTTGTAAAAATCTATAGCTCTTAAAATGCTCTGCCATGTGAATAATATTGCTGATATTGTAAAACTTATATCAGAAAAATTTTTGCCAAATAAGCTGTTTCAGTTTCAATATAAATTCAGAAGAAATTTCTATATCTTATGACAGAAAAGCAGTGTGATTCATGTCCTGTAATTTACCTCCCTGAGAAAATTTTCATTCTATTACCACAATATTTATGTACAGCGAGGGGGGGGGGGTGAACAAACAAGACTCAGCTCTGTGTGTGCGTGTGTGTGTGTGCAAAGACCTTCTGTTGAGTGATTTTAAGGGAAGGATAAGCTGCTGATGGGAGATGCTATGTTGTATGAAATGACCATGGTAACGTTGATATAGATAAAAAATACTTAGGAGCTTGTTGTGATAAGGGAATATCACAGTAGAACACATCTAACATTGCAGTAAGAATTCATATATAAGTGAATACAGGAAAAATTTATGTGTACAGTATATTTACTCTTGTTTATATCCATCCTACATTACAATAGGAAAAAACTTGAACAACTTGAAAGTGGAAAATAAAATCCTGACCTGCTCTGTATCCTTATTGAAAACAGTAGCACATTTATCACTACCACCAGTGACTATCTTGCTGGTGTCTTTCTGGTGCACGTCCACAGCCAAGATACCAGGTACTGATGCACTATGTAATCCCTGAAAAGAAAATGTTTTTAAGTATGACATCTTTCACCCTACAATAAATATAAATAATTTAACTTGCTCCCTACCAAGATAAATTAATTTTTACCAATTATCCCACTGGAAATCTTAAAACACATTTTATTCCGAGTCATTTTCAAATATTTGCAAAGGTAGATCAGGGGTTATTGAACTGACATAAGTAAGAGTAAGAATGCAAATGAAAGGACCAGAAGGGTGGCAGATGAGAAGCTGAGGGCCTACAAGTGACATGCTACTGTTTGTACACACTCATCTACTCAGCACAGGATTAAATAAACATGAACTGACACCATGTGGGCACACTTGGCACAACCCAGTCCAGATTAGCGAAGTCCAGACCATGGATGTATGGATTAGCAAGGCTTCACTGTAGAGTACTGTACGGTATACTACTTTTACCTTCTCCATCACCTGTTTATATTACATGAAGAAAGATGTAATCATTTCAAAAATTATGCACTGGAGGCAGAGATAAGGTGATAAATATTATGGAGCATTGTTAAGTATTTGGACTGAAGATCTAAGTCAATAGAATGCTTGATGATTCCCGGACAAGAAGTCATGCAGAAATTTTATGCCAACCCATTGTACAGTGATGAATTAAAACCCAGACCCCCAACAGACACTGACACAGGATGTTCCAGTGCAGAAAACTCACAGATCAGTTGTCAATAACCTATAGATTAAAAAATAAACTCAAAATTTGTCACAATTATTCATATTAATTTCTAAAAGGTTTACAGAAAAGCTGGTGGTATATCATTTACATACTGGATGAGAAGCAAGGGTGGTGAAACCCCTGATCTGTTCTGCAGGAGTGAGTCCCTCAGGAACTGTTCGACCACGTCGCTTTCGCTCCTGTGTCAAGACAGTAGCAGTATCCTGCAAGCGAGCCACAACCTCCTCTGTCAGCCCGGCACCCTCACTAGGCACGTCAGCTGCACCACCAGCTTCTGCTGTGGCAGCCTGTTAATTATCAATAATAAAAAATTATTTAATTTGTACAACATTAAATACATAACTACAATATACTATACTGTACACAAGTGATTGTGGGCACTTCGTGCCCGGTGGCGAGTCCGGTGGTGAGTCCGGTGGTACAGTTTACCAAAGCGTGAAAGTTTGAACGCTCGTGCTTGGCTAGTGCGCAACCGCAGGAAGGATGGCAGCGTACAGCGACATCGTTTTCCAGCGTAAATAAAATAGTTAATTAATGCCTTCCTAAAGAAACCTTCGACATGGGACCAGGTTTGTTCCACTCTACGATTTTTTTTGCGATTTTTCCACCAAGTTTGATGAAAAACAATTGTGCCGTTTGTGCTGCCCAGAACAGACACACACACAGACACATGGCTATTCCTATAGTATATGAGATAATCATGGTCGTGGGTGGTATAATCATGGTCGTGGTTGTTATAATCATGGTCGTGGTTGTTACAATCATGGTCGTGGTTGTTATAATCATGGTCGTGGGTGTTATAATCATGGTCGTGGGTGTTATAATCATGGTCGTGGTTGTTATAATCATGGTCGTGGTTGTTATAATCATGGTCGTGGTTGTTATAATCATGGTCGTGGTTGTTATAATCATGGTCGTGGGTGTTATAATCATGGTCGTGGTTGTTATAATCATGGTCGTGGTTGTTATAATCATGGTCGTGGTCGTGATACTTACAGTATCTAATATACTAAAAGAAGGAATAGAATAAACGTTAGAATAATTAATTAAAGAAATATTCGCCATAAGGAGAGGTTAAAATCATAAAACAAAAAATTATTATGTATCACCGATGATCATTCCGAGATAAATTATATTATGAAGAGAAGTGACCTTGATTCTGGTTATATTAGTCACCATCTGCTTAAGTCATCACCTATGTTAAGTCATCATAGTCAGTTTTGGGCCCATCTCACATGACTGACCGCCCATCGATGTTTTTTCCGCGCGAGGGTGTTAGTTTTCAATGCGTCTTATTATTTACGCTGGTGGATGTAGGACCTCCTACCCTCACTGACGCAGCTATGATCAATTTGATGTTATTCTTGTTTATAAATGCCTTCTAATCTGTCTCAAGTCTATCCGTCCTGTCTATTGCCATCCCAACTGTCTGATTGTCTGCGTGGTGTTTGAATGTAAGCCCATCCGTACTCTTTGTGTCGTCAAATGTGTCTGTCTTATCCGTTGTTGGCATGTGTCTGCCTGTTTGTGTAATGCGAACCAGTCAGTCAGCTGTCTGTCTGTCATGTTAGTTGCCATATTGTCTATTTGTGCATGTATGAATCTGTCTATTTTTGTCAACCTCCTGTCTGTTTCACTGTCTACATTCATCCTGTGTCTATTGTAGTCATTTTCTCCATGCAATCCTGTTATTATCTCTTTTCCATATACAGTCACCCACAGGAATAAGTATACACTGTAGCTGTAAGGTCGTCTGGTAACGTTGAAACTGCGCATCCAGACGCATGATGAAACTCAGCTCCCCCCCACCTGTTATCTCTAACTATTTTCTCTTTTCCCTTCTTTATTCTTCTATTTACTCATCTTCTGTCCTTTACTAATCCAAACAACATAAAAAAAAGAAGGCTAAGAAAAAAGTGGGGGGAGGAGGAGGGAGCCGTACGATAACTGCAATCGTGGGCTGACAGCATACAGCGAATGAGGGTGCGCCAACTCCGTAGACTTGCATCGTTTTCCATCGTAAATATAATTGTTAACTAATGCCTTCCCAAAGAAACCATCGACATGGGACCAGGTTTGATCCACTCTATGAATTTTTTGCGATTTTTCCACCAAGTTTGATGAAAAACGATTGTGCCGTTTCGGCTGCACAGACAGACAAACGGATAGTCCTATAGTATATTAGATAGAAGAGATACTAATATCAGGGACAGATGTAACCCTGCACCCATGTCCAATACATAAGATTTACACCGAGAACAACATAACTTCAGTGGTTAAAGTCGGAAAAATGCTGATTACTGATCTCAGCCTAATTTTATTTTTTTGTCTGCACAGCCTTTCAAAAGTTACTGATGCAAATGAATTACATACAGATGCATTGATTGGGGTAACATTCTATAGCAGATTAAAAAAAAGGCTAAACAAAATAAACAGTTAGCCACTTTTGAATAAAAAAGGATTAACATTTAAATCCTACAATACATTTTTTTCTCCATTCATGCACACCTCATCCTCCTAGGATAGAGGTTGGCCAAGCAAGTGCTCATCTCCAGATTCTTAACATTCAGCAGTAAGATTACCCCACTCCCTTAACAGGAAAGATCCTAGTTCACCAAAGGGTTCTTCCACCATCAGCAAGTACAGTACACCTGTACAGTACAGTATCCATTTATTGTGGAGTACATAAGGGCTTCTGTACACAAATGAAATACTACCCTCTGCCTGCAAAGAAAAATTGCTACTAACTGAGCTCTACATTTATTTTTTTCACTCTTCAAGCCTTTCCTATTAATACTGCTGGGTGGCTGGAATAAAGAACAAAAGGAAGAATATTGACCCAAAAATCACTCTTTCTGTCAAAGGCTGAAGCTCTCACAATACTAATAACTTACCAACAATCCATCAGAAACCTAACTCCACCAAAATCAACCTAGAATAATCTGTTGCTCCTAAGAACAAACTAATCACCTTCTTAATCCCCTGTGCCAGCATCTTCTTCAAATGAAAGGCACCCAGCATTTGACATAGCAGTTGTCTCTACAGACCGTAGGTCTTATTACAGTCAGGAATGTCCAATTCAGGCAAGGTAATGGCTCTGTCCTCTATGAATGTGTGACCTAACATGAATCCAGGCTGAGACAATCAACTGAATTCAATTTCAACCCAAGAGTGCCATGCGCGCACACACACACACACACACACACACACACAAAATAAAAAATAAAAATAAAATAAAAGACATTTCAGGATTAATCCTTAATTTCTGACCTTCTTAGCCAGATGGGTATCATAAGTTAACAAAACAAGAGGAAGGAAGAGTTGCTACAGAAGCTCCAAAAAAAGGACAACTAAGCACTCCAATGATAGTTGGCCTTTTGTTTATCAACCAGGACAAAGTTCCGTTCCCTAACCCTCACACTGAACAGACCTGGTCATATCCTGGAACCTCTGGTAAAATCCATGGGGCATATGTTTTTTTACAGATTATTTAAAAGTACACCTGAAAAGTAAGCCTTGTAGGCCAAAGATAACAATTTAAAAACAAAGAGAAAAGAAAGACTACCTTATAATAGCAAAAATTCCCTCAATGATTCATCATCAAACTAGATAATTCCTATATAAAAAGACAAGGGAATCACAGAATCCTTATATTCAATCAAATTTAAATTGAACTGAGAACTACAACAGAAAGTTGCCTTCTAGTCAACATGTAAATCATAGTTGGAATGGAGGAGGAGGCTTCAAATCAAATGAGGTAGAAAAGCAAGGTTGATTCTGGAGTCCCCTTCTAGCAGCCCACTACAATTGGGGTCCTTGAGGTCTTTGGGCTGAGTCTCTAACATCTGCCCGAGCTAACCTGTTAATCATCATCTAAGCAATAGCTTCTCCTACATGGCCAACCTTATGGTGAAGCTGCCCTCCCTCCCTGTCTAGAGAAAATATTCCCTCCATAAGCTCTGGCCCATGGATGCAATGAGTGAGACAGCTGGGAATTGTCTGCCATAGCAGATAGGTCCACAGAAGATCAACAGAGAGCTCATCCAAGAAAAGGACTTGTTCTAACTCTCCTATCATCCACTGCTGCATCCAAATATCTCATTACTCATACTCTATCTTTGACATTGAAAACTTCAATGTAATCATTTGTTTCCCCAAAGCCTCTCTCTTCTTCCCTTCTCACACTCCTTGAGGGTTTTATATACTGTATTCACAAATGATCTACCTACCTCTCATACCCTCTTTTAAGTCTGATACATAATACTCTGGGACTAACCCCTTGCATTCAATCACACAATTCAACCTTTCATCACTCATCAACATTACCACATCTGCTCCTACCCTTTCAGGCACTCCAGACTTTATGCCCCATCATATGTCAATCAGATGTATAATTGCAAGATGACACATTCAGTAACCATTCAAAACAAATAAATTATCTGTTGAAACAAGATATTAACTTTAAAACAACATGTTCTTTAAACAAACATAGCTAACTATCTACTAATACTGGAATCAGGCGTGAACTTACAATTGTTGGTCCAGCAGGGGCAGCTGGTGCAATGCCAGCTTGGGGCTTCAGTGTTGCCAAAGCCTCACGAGCAGCAGTTACTTCTTTGTTTAGACGGGCAATCACACGCGTGGCAGCATCGTGCTGATACAGAGCATGGCTGACAAGAAAAATTTTTAATCTTATTGTTTTATCAAGTTTTCCTTATTTCTTGAAGCGAATTGGAAAATAAAAGTGATAAAAGTTTGCTTCATAATAGAGAAGAGAATGATAGTTGATATCATTTAAAAATGAGGGACTGAGGCACAACATACCATTATCTGTCCTGGAACAAGGAGCTTGGTTTTCTGCAAAGGTCTTCATTACAAGATATACCGTATCTATAAGGATTCTTGAGGTGCATATGAGCTAGCTGGGAGTGAATTAGGTAAGTTCAATTGATAAAAAATATCCTCCATCCAGTTTCTTACCGGTTAGAATCTTACAGGTCACTCCATTATGGCCTACAGGCTATCCCACTATGTAGCTGAGAGGAGGAGATAAGTGACCTAGTTTCCATCCATTGGTAGGATTCCTAATCAACAGGAAACTGAGAGGGTTTGAAATATGGAGCTCCTATTAATTGCTGCTCGTGCTAGAGATTCAAGCTGTAAGGGAAGTGGCCGACAGAGTCTACCCCAGTAAATGTGAAGCATTGTTGGGTTTTGAAATAACAACTGAGTAAAGAGGTGGAATCATTGGTTTGATTCTGGTTCAACGTTCAATAGGAAAGGAGTTACTATGTAGTTTACAGAGAATTAATCCAAGGAAGCAGTATGAGCTGTTGTTATGCTAGGGGAGTGTTCTAGCTGGTGGTCACTTGCCTCTTCCCATTACCTGGAGTGTATTCGTGTACAGTATTCACCTCTTACCAAATGCCAGAGAAACATGTGCTTTAGCAGTGTGTGTGTGGGTTGAATTGGCCTGATTACTTTAGTTATTAATAGATATAAGTAACTCTCAAATGGAGTTTTAAAAGGATACAGAAAAATGAAGTAATTTTTTAACCATTTCTCTGTAGCAGGTGAGTACCTCTATTTGAACATTTATAATCATGAAGTTCAGCAACTGGAATTACCCCATGGTGCTCCATAATTGTTTTACTCTACAATACAGGTACAGTATAAATCGTCCATTAAACATTAATCAATGGGTGCAGTCACCAAGTAGCAACTTCACGCATTGCAGCACTATATGTAAACAATACAAAGCTGGAAGGTTATGTGAACAGATGCATTTTATATGTCCATTTACTGAGACTGTTTATGCACTATTTTGGGTGATTTACGTAAGTTATAACATTGCAATATGCTCGAATATGTTTATGTGACATTTCCACTTGCTTATACAAATATCAGAGAAATTCAACAAATACTGATTGTAATTTTGTCATAATAATGTATGAGTATCTCCACAAAAATGAAGCCTAATTTTGTTATCCATTCCTGACATTGAAGACGAATAGAAGAAAGGAAACATAAGTGTATGCAAGTGTCATTGTCATCACTTTACAGCTAATTTTCACGACTGTTGATTTTTCTATATTGTCACAGGAATTATAATACTTCTTGTGTTCTTCAGTATACCTCAACATGTGCACCTTTAGTAGGACGATGCACAACCAAGCAATACACTTGTATTTCACTTTATATGTTGACCAACACTTCCCTCATCACACTGTTGAAACAATTGGTTATACTTGAACCAGTATTTCAATGTCAGTAACAAGAATTTGAAAAACATTATCCTTGAGTCCCTCAAATATAAACTGTAGAGACATAAACCTTAGTTCCTGGCGAGCAGTTTGGAGCTGCTGGCGAAGTGTGTAGGAGTGAAGCATCACTGCATCCCACTCATCCTGTAGAGCCTTTAGGATGGCAGGAATACTTGTGGCACTTGGAGGTTTTGGCTTTGCAACTGGTGGTACTGTTAAAAATAAAAATTAAATGAATTATATTAGATAATCACACAAACAATGTATGACCCAAATAACATCACATTTTCTTACATAAGTTTCATTACTACATACTGCACATTATAACTGAAAAACTGCCATACCCTCTCTGTGACCCTACACTGCCCTACTCTCTCTGTGACCCTACATTGCCGTACCCTCTCTGTGACCCTACACTGCCCTACTCTCTCTGTGACCCTACACTGCTGTACCCTCTCTGTGACCCTACACTGCCGTACCCTCTCTGTGACCCTACACTGCCCTACTCTCTCTGTGACCCTACATTGCCGTACCCTCTCTGTGACCCTACACTGCCCTACTCTCTCTGTGACCCTACACTGCTGTACCCTCTCTGTGACCCTACACTGCTGTACCCTCTCTGTGACCCTACACTGCTGTACCCTCTCTGTGACCCTACACTGCCGTACCCTCTCTGTGACCCTACACTGCCCCTGCCCTACTCTCTCTGTGGCCCTACACTGCCACTCTCTGTGACCCTACACTGCTGTACCCTCTCTGTGACCCTACACTGCTGTACCCTCTGTGACCCCTACACTGCTGTACCTCTCTGTGACCCTACACTGCTGTACCCTCTCTGTGACCCTACACTGCTGTACCCTCTCTGTGACCCTACACTGCTGCCTCTCTGTGACCCTACACTGCTGTACCCTCTCTGTGACCCTACACTGCTGTACCCTCTCTGTGACCCTACACCCCCCCCAACCCTACACTGCCCTACCCTCAAACACTGTACCCTTCTGTGACCCTACACTGCATGCCCTCTCTGTGACCCTACACTGCACTCTCTCTGCCCTACACTGCCCTACTCTCTCTGTGACCCTACACTGCCGTGCCTCTCTGTGACCCTACACTGCAGCCTCTCTGTGACCCCTGGCTGCATCCCTCTGTGACCCTGCCCCTCTGTGACCCTACACTGCCCTACTCTCTCTGTGACCCTACACTGCCGTACCCCTCTGTGACCCTACACTGCACCCTCTCTGTGACCCTACACTGCCCTACCCTCTCTGTGACCCCTACACTGCTACCTCTCTGTGACCCTACACCCTACTTCTGTGACCCTACACTGACCCTACACACTGCCCTACCCTCTCTGTGACCCTACACTGCCCTACACCCCTCTGTGACCCACTACATACCCTCTCTGTGACCCTACACTGCATACCCTCTCTGTGACCCTGTGACCCTACACTGCAGTGCCCTACCCTACACTGTGTCTCTGTGACCCTACACTGCTGTACCCTCTCTGTGACCCTACACTGCTGTACTCTCTCCATTGTGACCCTACACTGCCCCTACCCCTGTGACCCCTACACTGCCCTACCTGACCCTACTGCCCTACCCCTGTGACCCTACACTGCCCTACCCCCTGTGACCCTACACTGCCCCCCTGTGACCCTACACTGCCCTACCCCCTGTGACCCTACACTGCCCTACCCCCTGTGACCCTACACTGTCCTCTAACAACATATTTGGATATTGTTGTTAAAATCTGTTTTTGTTGTATCCAGATGCAAGAATTATTTAATAATTCCACAATCCCTTACCTCAAATAGTTTGAATTAATGAGGTTTCACTGGACATGATTTTTCCAGCTTTTCTATAATTTGCCTAATTTTTTTTTAAATGAACCCCCATTAACCCTTTGGTACTCTTGGCCATGGTCGGAAATATCACCCCTTAGCAGTATTTGATGCAGGTTGTGCTGGAAACAGGAACGGTTTTTCCATTTTAATAAATATTGGGTAGAGCGATCCAGACCCAAATTCCAACCTTAGAGATGCATCTGCCAGCCCAAGAGGCTAGTGGGAGGAACTTAGGTGGTAGATAGGACCAGTCCACTGTTCCAGCATTTCTGCTTATGGGAGGGGTGCATTTACTGTGAGATACTGCTGAACGGGAGCACTTAGCAACGCATGCATTGAAAGAACACGAGAGGGTTAAGTACACACCACACTGGGAGTAAAGATTGAGCTTACCTTTTAGTTCAATCAGCTGGTCTACTGTGAGTTCCTTGTTAGTAATAGGATCCGTGCCATTCTCTGCAATATATTTTTCCAGTAGCCGGCGTTCAAAGACAGCACCAGACAGAGGTGACACCACCGGCTGATCTGGCACCTCACTGCTGACTGAAAATGACAAAACCGGAAAACCTAAATTTAGTTTGCATATTAGGCAGTAGGATAATGGATGTGAACAGACAGAATGCTTGCTATACCTGTACTGTACAGTGATCCCTTCATAATTTGGGGTTAATGGGTGGGCAAACCTTTCTGAATTTAGAATTCAGAATTTGGTGAAGACCGAATTTTCTGATGCATTGAATATATCACTGAAACCAAAATGAAGAAGTGTGTATACAATCACAAGAGCGCAAGGCGGGTTGAGGTTCAAACTGCAGGAGTGGGAGTCACATAAACACAAGTACTGTACAAGTAAAGTATTCATCTGTGACTAAAGGAGCTAGTTCTTGAATCTAAATCTAACTGTGCTGTAATTTGACTGAATTAAATGCATTAAAAATTTCATGCAAATTTTGTACAGTATGATATAAATACTCACTGCATAATGTATTGCTGATTACAGTACTGTACTGTATTTCTATACTGTAATTAGATAACTACATTACAATAAAAATTACACAAATTACAGTCCAGTACAGTAATTAAAAATTGCATAATTAACATCTGGAATGATTACAAAATGAATAGAATTAGCCATTTTGCTTTCAGGTGCAATATTTCTGTATTAGGAGGTATAATAAATTCCAAATCATGATTTCATAAATATTAAAATGCCTCAAATTAGGAGGAATTCTTAATTCAATAAAGCTGAACTGCAGAGGAATTTTTGAGATTCTGGAATATGTTTTAGCTGTACTGTAGCATACTGTACTACTGCAATAGCATAATTGATCTCTCACAAGAAAATTGTGTACAGTAGCATTACAAGTTACTACAATATATTTACTGCTAACACTGCATAATAATAATGTAAACCGTGAGGTAGTTTAAAAAAAAAAAAGCCACATTGCCAGATGATTACACTCACCTCTTCAGAAATTAACTCCTTCACTACGAGGACGCCACCTCTAATATTTTGTTTGGTTAATACCAGACGATTTTATTCACCTCAGAGGGATCCATGCACAATGAGTTAGAGGCTATGAATTTCATTTATTAAATTTCATGTTATTTAAACAATATCCATAATTATTTGTACTACATTAACAAACAAAATTTATTTCATCTACAACAAATTAGGATCACCAAAATATCAGCTAACTTTATCTGATGATCGAACATCTCGAAGCACTATTAATACTTTACTGTACAATACGGTAAACTCTTCCATAGCTGTCTGTATTTCTCAAGACCTTTGCCATTCTGGATTCTTAAAAAGTGTGGAGAACAGTGGAGTATTCAACTGGTAAATGCTGACATACAGTACTGTTAAATACACATATCTTTTCAACAAAGTTAACATTACTGGTAATATCCTGTACAGGAATGTATTTACATACTGTATTGTATATAGAAATGTAGACAACTGGATATAAAAATACTGTAGTTAAAAAATGAAGTCACCAAAACTGCCGGAGAAAGACCACAGGCTCCATTTAGCACCACAGTAAACACACTCACTCAGCTAGAACTTGTGCAATATGACTTTGTAGAGTACAGTACAGTTCAGGGTTGTCAGAGTATATTCTAGTTTCCTGAGAATTCCAGTTCATTAAGTGCTAGATATTAAAACAATTAAAGTACAGATGCTTCCCGACTTACGACAGGGTTACGGACCGACATCCAGGCCATAAGTCGAAATGGTCGTAAGTCGGAAATGCTTAAATAACACATAGAAAATCGAAAATGGGGGTCTCCTTTTCTTCTCAGCACCACAAAATACTCACTTTTAAGCTTGCCAGCCATTTTAAAGTGAATTACAGATGAAAATTTTGTCTGTGTACTGACTTTGACACTCGAAAATACGTAATTTGACCAAATTTAGTACGACTGAGGCAGGTCGTAAGTGCGGGTGGACGTAAGTCGAATACAGTGACCCCTCGTTTAACGAACGCCTCGGTTAACGAAATTTCGGTTAATGAACTGCCTTCCATAAGGATCTTCAATTCGGTTAACGAACAAAAATTCGGTTAACGAATTTCTTACGAACCGACCTCAACATGTTTTCGCTTGCACTGACCGGGCAACCAGCTTTAGTATCAGTCCGCCAATACATTAATCGGTTCTAAGGCTTACTATTTCAGTAAATATCAAGAAGTTTATACTATTCAATAATTTTACAAGTTTAATATTCAATTTTTTAGTCATTTTAACAATTATTGAACATAAGTGAAGGTAAAGTGACTAGTCTAATGCGCGGCATCCAGCCTCTTAACACAGCAAACAGGCGTTAATCTCTCTCTGTTTTCACTGGAGGTAACATCTTGCTTGAGACTCTCTTCAACTAAATGCTTTTTTCTGTGTTTCCAAGCAAATTATTGGTCATTTTGAAATATATTTTACATATTGACAATATATAATGCAGTGCAGTGTTGATTTAAAGAAAATAATCTTGAATTACACCAAGAGAGCTAAAATTTTATGGGTGAAATGGCGCCATGGGGTGACTTCTCTTCCACCCCAATGCCTTCTCTTCTTCCTTCTCCTCCACCCCATTCTAAATCCCATCATCATCATCATCATCCAGGAGCCTTCTACATACACACCTCAAAGTAAGTGAACTTTTCTACCATTTTTGTTGAATTTAGGAAATTTTCGGTGAGCTGGAACCAATTACCCAAAAACCCATTGAAACAATGGTTTCGGTTAACGAACGACCTTCAGGAACGGATTGAGTTCGTTAACCGAGGGGGTCACTGTAGGTCGTAAGTCGGGGAGGAGCTGTACTGTACATCATTTCTGTATCACCATTAGAGGCCAGATTTTCAGCCACATAAAATCATTAAAGAAGGCAGGCAAATAACCAGGACAAACAAGTAAAATAAGCAAAAATAGGCAGCATAAAACTGAAAAAAGGTAATGTTTTACTTTAAAAACCAATTAAAATAATATTATGTCAAATATCACAACAATATTAGTAAAATACGATAGTTAACCATCAATTTGCTAAATTTTTCAATTTTATTTTTCACATTTAACATTTAAAACTTTGTTACTGCTCTGAGAGAAAATGTGAAAAATAAGTTACATTTACAGATGGCCACAAAATTTTTTCCATAACGTAGCCTCACTTGGTACAGTATATTTTCCTTGGTAAATTTCCTTACGGTAAATAAGACTTCAGGATTATTTTTCAGTTTCCAAAGAGAAATGTCAGAATCAATAAATGCCCTGTACACGTCCAACGAAAATTGAGATTGTCGACTGGAAGCTGTAGTGTGCTCTGTTGACCAGTTTTGTGTCAAGTGTCCAGTGCTGGGAGTAGTGCCATTAATAGTAGTGGCACAACATAGTAGCACTATTATGCCAATAGTGAAAAAAGGGGTGCCACTTCTTTCACATATCAATAGGGGAACAGGTAGCAACATTTTCTTTAGTCAGATCCAGTGCTACTCGCAAATGATTGGCTAAAGTAATTAAATCTAAGCAACTCCTCAACAGTCATTGGTTAGATCCTAGTGACAACGAAGGTGGTGCACCAGGCCAGAGAAAAGTAACCTAAAGTGTTTTGGAATACAAATGCTCATCAGTATTACTTAATACTGTACGAAATTGCTGTGTGTTCAGTCACTGACCTTTACCGTCTTCTGCTATTCATCCAGCATTCATTCTAATTGGCTGAGGTTGATAACATTGACGATCTAAATCACAGAATTCAGCCATTTGCAAACATGGTTGGATTAGGGGTAAAACTTTGGTTTTGGTCATCCATGTATTTAGATATCCAAACTAACTTAACCTATCCAACCTAACCTAATGTAACCTAACCGATTCCCCAGATGACTGAAACTAAAATAATACTGGATTAGGTTTGGTTTACAAGTGACCAAATCCAGCAATCTAGAATCAGAGTTATCAGCTTTGATCTATTAGAACAAATGCCGGACAAATAACTACAGTAAAGGTACACGACCAGACAAATAACCTTTGCCTATTCAATATCCATTAGCAAAAACTTTCATACATAGTATTTCTTTGTCTGTGGGATGGGTTTAAACCATATACTGTACAGTATTAGCCAAACTTAATTCAGAGACATGGTAATAAATTTAAGAAAAAATACTAAAATCTTATATACCTGTATAATATTGGTTTAAGTTAATATATAGGACTAACCCGCCAGGGTTGCATAGTGCCGATGGGGCCGAATCATCTCACATCCAGAAAATGCCTCAAATTTCACCATATTATAGTAAGTTCTTTCTGTTTAATATAACGGGGGTCCGAAGGAAGTTAGGTAAGGTTAGGTAGGTTTGTTTGGTTAGGTCTATTCTTCATACCCACAAATGTTAAGTAGCATTTATTTGAAAAATATAAATATTTTAACATATTTCCACAAACTACAACAATGTCCACTATAATATAACAATGAAAATCCGACGGGTGAGCCCTATATAATTATCCTGTTTTAAAACCAGGATATTGAAAGAAAACACAGCCTGGGGTCGAACCCCCGGCATATATAAGTTATTTCCGAGGAAAACGTCATAGAAGAAAAGTGTCTTATAATTGTCTGAATTATCGGAATTCGGAAAAGCACATTTTCTATTAAAAATTCTGGGTTTGTACAAAACTGCAAATTTACCGCTTATCCTTTTCCTTCTTTCTCCCACAAATTTGTATTCAGTATATTAAAACAACCATAATGATCTAATAATAAATACAAGATATAAGAAAGAATTCTTTTTCATAACCTTTACTTGGAAACACTCAAAACCCAGGACACGCTGTAGACTGAAGCCACACACTGGACCCTCAACAACGCCGCCTATTATAACCTACATAAACATCAGAGTTATTAAACTATCACCCATATGCATCCTATTAAATGTATGCTTAGTATGTTTGACATATAATCATTGAAAGTCATAACATATGGTTTCCGGAGGTTATTTTAAGGGTATTTTTCGTGTATCGTCCCAAAGCATCCAGTGGCTGACAGAGTCGGCGAATACCGCGCTTATTTTCAACATGAATTTTCTGTACAGTTCTTAAATATACGATAAAATTAATCTTCTTGGTCATAACCTAAGTACTTGTAGGTGTTACTGAAACAAGTTAAACAAGTAGTTTTCCGTAGTTTCAGGGAAAATATGATTTAAATTAACCACTTACTTGCGCATATGAGAGACATGTTTTGTTTATGTAGTCAATCGAGATGTTTTACAAAAGTGAGTTGATATATGAAATCAATAGAAAAAATATTTTGTACCAACTATAGTTATTAAAATCAAATTCAAACGCTTTTAATATAGTTAACGTATAATTCATCGTAAAAATTGTTTTTTCATCAATAGTTTTTAAATATCAAATCAGAAGTTATTCTGATCAATTACAACATATAAAACGATACATACAATTTATTAGTGAAGATAAAAATATTCAAAATATTTTTAAATACAAACTTCTTCCCGAATTTATACAAAATTTGTACTTCATATTATAAAGGGGTGGTTTAGGTTTATCAGCACGACCGCTGTCACTCGACGGACGACCACCATGGCGATAAGAGGACTGAGAATAGCACTCCTCCTGGGGGCTGTGTGTGTTGCTACCGGAGAAGTGGAAGACGTAGAGGATAAAGAAATTGTCCGAGCCAGGCTTGAGGTAATGTACATATAGATGTGTAACTTTTATACTGTACAGGTAACATTGATAGAGACTTTGGATAAGAGACGATGCTTGCTGTCCTTCGTTGTGTTGACAGTATGTAGGATTTTTATACTCGTTAACTATAGACCGTGTTCGATTTGAAGAACCAATAAATTTTGGCCCCAATTTTATGATTAGTTCGTTCCGATTCCCAAACTACATTATATGGAGGACGTGGGTAATAATAATGAGTTGTCTAAATAGGTTGACCTGTAAAATAGAAAATCAGGTAAATTTCACTGTTGTCACCATTCGAGGAAGTTAAAACAATGCAATAAACATGGTAACAAGTGTTCAAAACATCAAACACTATCGGAACAAGATTTATATCTAACAAACGGGGTGGGGGGGGGGTTCCACAGTTATGTTCTGGGTGTGTACCCCGCTACATCGTTCGAGGTTCTGGAAGTGTACCGCCATGTACGAACAACATACTTCATAAAATGTTAAATATCTCGCTTATGCTGTACGTATTTTGCACAAGAAATGCCATTGAAGAAAAGTGTATCGAATTGTAAAAAGTGCCGATTGCAACTATAAAATTAGAGATTCGTTTAGTGGCAACAAGTGAAATACCGAAATCTCACTATATAATGGAACAGCCACAATTATTTATTTTATGAAGTTTCGTAGGGTTAGTAAAATATATTACAGTATTATATTCCACGAAAATGACCCCGTGTAACCCTCAGGCAGTAGTGTGGGAAGTGGATCCTACGTTTCGCACTGCTATTGGCTGTTACCCGAGGATAAACAGCTGTTGTTTCTCAGCTGTAAAGTACGAGTGAGCCGCCACGTGTCACGGCTCGCATGCATACAAATACAACTGTGTCCTACTTATTGAAATACGTATTAAATACTAGCGCTCTGGGTAATTAGGTGATTCTTAAAGCTATTATTTGGTTATTACCCCGGATATTTCTTCTTTGTCACCAAGTTTTAGGTTCACTTCCATCACCCAGAATACATGTACGGTACTGTGGTACGTTATAAGCAGGGGTTAAATTAATTGAATAAGGTCTATATTATTTTACTACTGGAGCATCACTGAAAAAAGTTTTTGTAGTATTGTTTAAATATCACTTGAAATTGTGGTTAGTAAACCATTCAGTTGTTGTATCTGCGAAACACTTTGAATTGGCAAGTAAACTTAGGCTTACGGGTTTTTGACACTTCGTAAATAAAATAAAGTGGTAGATTGGTGGGTTGATATACTGTACACCGCCTCGCACCTCAAGAGACACCTGGAGACGGAATGGAGGAGGACACAGTGGACAATGGATAAAAGGAATCCAAAGCACTCCACTGTCCAAAGTACAGAGATTGCCCAACCAAGCAAGAAAACGAGTGATAGTACTCTTGAGTACTCCAGGTAAAGATTCGATTTAGTTACACCACGAAAACTATTTAAAAAATGGGTTTTCATGGTACATTTTATACTGCTTCAGACGAATCTGACCTTAATTTCCGATACAAATGAGCTGTTATGGAGATAAGCCCCCCCCCCCTCTTACTCAATTAGCAACAATGATGGTTGTTCAAAGTGGGCAGAGCTTTGATGTAGAGGGAAATTGTGAGGTAAAATACTATGAAGAACACCAAGCAAACCTTTGAAAACCTTAACTTATTACCTAACCTTTAAATAGAAATGCTAGTGTGACGCCGCCTTTAATGACTCTTAAAGAAATTATTTTTATCCGATTTTGATCAAACTAAGTAAGGTAAATGCATATTTTGATAACCAGAATGGGTTCACTGTTGTATCCGCTATATGGCTACTTATAATAGTTTGCTACAATCAGATAATGAAGCGCATTTAATTTTTGGGGGGTTTCAGGGTTTTTACGCTCGTACTCCAGCTGAGCAGTATACTTGTACTGTACATACAATACTTTGGTTGATTGGGTTGGTAATCTCGTATGCCATTCACTTGCTTTTAATTATATTTACTTCACCATGTCTTTGTATTATATTCACTAACACTGCTCGTCAATAAAAGTCCACCAAAGGGAGAATATAACCCAGGAGCTAATCATTTGCTATTCTCGTGTTATAATACACACACCTGAAGAAATTATGTAATAACACATAAATCATAAAGGTGGAATCTCACTGTGGAACTTAAAACAGAAGACAGCACCGTAACCCACGGTTGTAAAGGTTACAGTAAATTTAGTGCTCATTTTTTATATTCTTCCGCGGGATTTTGGTGATGTGGTTACAATACACCCATATACATGCGCTGCTGCGCCAGGTGTTAAACCATTACTGTATAGATGTACACGTGTTGCGCCACTATAAATGTACAGTACACATGTTGCGCAGTTGCTGAAACATATGCATAGGTTGTACACAGGTGTTCATCGAAAGGTGAGGCATAGATAAGCTTGTGATCAAGGCGGGACAAGAAATGCGAGATCTTGAGCATAATTATAAATTACTGTAATTTTTTCCCGAGGTCTTTGCCACGAAACCGTAATATAGCATTGCTTGATTGCGTGGTTCGTAGATACTGTACACTGTACAGTCTTGGCTGCAACTTCAGCTTCGGAAAACTAATTAATCAACAAACCTTTTTCTGTTCTAAATTAATCAAGTTGAACTTTTACTTGCTGGTCATAACAAAATCACCGAACCTGCACGACTGCACGATTCTTGTAGAAATTGAATTTGACGATTACATTAAGCTAGATTTAGTTGAGCATCCTGGTTTAATCAGGAGTAGGGGAAACCCCCACCCCCGGGGCATTTTGGGCACTACGAGGTTCTCTGATTGAACATAAGAAAATAAGGAGTCTGCAATAGGCCGGTTGGCCTGTGCATGGCAGCTCCTGTCGAGAGTTACTACCACTCTCTATCATCGCAGAAGTCATCCAGTACAGAGTACCGGGAATTTTGTATGTGCAATCAATAGTTTAGACAGTTCCAAGAAACTTCTATGACGCTTCCCTCGCAAATGACTTGTATATGCGGGGTTACAGCTAGAAGGGTAGGTTAGGTATTTTCCAGGTCATTTGCAAGGGGATGTTTTTCTTCACAGCGCGTGCTCTACTACGTCATTTTAGGGGAAAGGATTTTTTTCCAGGATTGTTTTTTAACGCCGATAGAGGAAGATAGCGGGTGGCTTATTTAGTCCCGGCACTATCTCGAGATTACAACGGAGAGCGAGCCAGCCCTGGCCATACTTTGCATTGGCACCGTAGGCTAAATAACACGAGGCTACCTATTGACCCAGTAGGTGAAAACTTTGTGTTCCTCTTGACTAGTAAACATTTGCTGGTAAGAGTGTCCTAGTCTGGGGGAACCTTAGGGAGGCAGCATCTCCGGGGAACAAGGGAGGATGGTTACTTCAGACTGTCTTGGTTCTTGGAGCAGATGTCTCGTTTCCAGAAGATGGAGCTTTTAAGTTTATCGAGGAGGCTGGCCGACTCCATAAACTATAATAGCTTATGATAAACTAAGTAATTTTATAATTTTATGCTATTTTATTTTTAATCGGCTCCAGATGAACTAGAAACATTCAATCTCAATGCCGAGTTGGCCGTTACCTTATGTCGTAGTTTTAAAGTGCTTTTGCATGTTGGAGGCAAATTTAACTTAAAAAAAAACCCGACCCCGGGATGGCTTCACATAGTAGTGTGTATATTGTAACTGTCTATTTTGACTTAAATACTGTACTCGTAGTCCCTATAAGTAATCAAATGACCTTTCATACACAGCCATTTTCCGAGATTATGCCGTTTATACACGTAAGTTTCTCTGATTTTGGCAATTTTTATTTACGGCTGGTTTGTAGGAAGGTGGGTGATTCGTGGTACGGATAAATGGGAACACTTGTCAGGTGTGCATGTGAATGGATGTAGTCCGATTCGATTCTAAGTGACAGCAGAGACGTGTATAAAAGATGACGAATAAGCCCCATTTTTACTTTGGCTATACAAGGTATATTACAAGTTATTAGTGATCGCTCCAGTATAGTGTAGTCGGTTCTTAAATTACCCTAACCAGCACATTTCGCCATTATACTGTATTAAACTGTTGTATTAAAAATTATCTTGTATGCGGCACGGCGATTAGGATGATTGTTGATAGGAAGCTTTTTGGGGATGTAAAGGTTATAGTTACGGGAAAAGTGCTCCTTGCTGGTGAGGTTGCTGGTGTGACATACTGTTTAAAAGGTGCAGGGAAAGGAAGGTGTATATATGTTGCGAGGAGACGAGTGTGGAAGTTGAAGGAACAATGTAAGAGAAGCAATTTATGCCGAGTTATAAAAATGGGAAACCTCCTGGGGGTTGGACAGTCAGTTGCTGGACCAAAGTAGAGGATGTTCCTCTGAGCGCATCTGATGAGATGTGTGGTTGAACAGAGGGCCAACCAAGCATGTAGTAACATTTTTTTAATGGGATTAGCCCACCGGGCATAGGTCACTGACACACATCAGGGCCTGGGGTGACGAAAATATAATAATAATAATAATAATAACAATAGTAATAATATTAATAACAATATTAATATTATTATTAACAATTAATAAAATAAATAGCAAATTAATAAAAATAAAAATACTACTACTAATAATAATAATAACCATAATTATATACAAAAACGAAAAAAATAAATAGTGAGAAACTATATACATTATGTATGTTGTGTTGTCCAAGTAAGAGAAAAAACCCTAGACCCTGCAATTGTGTGTAAATGAGGCAGAAAGTCATATCAGCAACCTGGGACTTGGTCAAAATTTTCGTGATGCCATATGGCAGCAGGGTCTACCATTAGATAACACACAATGCTTCCAATATCTTCCCAGGCGGTAATACCTCCCTGTTTGGTAGCTGCCTACTACCTTATAAATGTTGAAATGCCCAAGAGCGATAAAAGGCGAAAAGGAGATTGTAGAAGGTCTGGAAGATGGTTGGTAACAAGGTGGAGTGCCTGGAGGAAGGCCAGAAGAGTTGTAAGGCTATGAACAGGACACAATCGCGGATATGTTGAATAATGCAGACTCAAACTGTGGATAAACAGGGTTGTTAGTGAACAGTGCGTGAGAAATGACTGGTAACACGGTTGTTAACGAGGAAATCGAGGATACCTGGAAAAAAGTTAGGATCGATTATTGAATGGGGAGGAGTGGCATTAAGAGTTATGAACTTAAGAGAAACCGAATCTGTGCGGTATGGAGAGCTGTTATCAGTTAACCCGGGCTTATCCAAGCAAACGTGGAAAATGGCTGTGTAACAATATGCTTAGGTTATATAAATGTAAACTGGGTCCTTGACCCCCTTCTCTTTGGGGAAGAGTTCCATTATTTAATTTTAAAGGATCCGGTTCATGGTGTCCTTTGGCATAATTTCTGAATGATCAATAAAATCATTTTTTTTTACACTTGCCACTAACTTATTAAGCAGCAAAAATAAAGTACAGTACCTGTACCTGTATTGGTCGCTGGTCGGGTACTCCTCTGACATTGTCAGAAGTCTTTAAATATTTTTTTATTTTTTTTTGGCCGCATTGCCTTTTAAGAATTCGCTTGAAAATACATTATATACTGCAATTTTTTTACATGGGCTAACTGTAAATGGTGGTAATGGTATGGCGGTAACGAGAGCCCTGGTTTGGATGGTACAAGGCATTTAGCAGTGCTGCTGATCACAGCCTTCACAGGTGATTCTGGTCACAAATATTTACATACAGGTGCGTAGTTAATTATATACATACAGGTGTAGTTAATTATTTACATAGGTAAGGGATATGTATGCATAACAAACTTGTGCTGCTTATGTAAACACCTGTTAGGGAATTACGCCACGTCAGGCCCCTCGACACAATCTGAGGCTGTTACTGCACTACGTGTTTGCCGTTCAACACCCCAGCGCGCATGACCTACGAGACCTTCACTATAAACATTAATATGTATCTTCCTTTACCTCTCTAATGAAAGCTTTTGTTACCCCCACCAAATGTCAATGTATGTAATAGTCATTTATGCCCATATATTTATTTTTAATATTGAGTAAGGACTTAACTTCGTACTCATATGTTAATTTTGTGAATAGAATAATTTAATGAAGCTTTGTACGGTATACGCAGAGAACGTGGCATTATCCATGGCAATAATTGCCAACTTGAGCAAGGAGAGTAAATTTTGTGAATGTTAGGGATTGCTACTAATTATTTGAGGGTTTAAGATTTTGTACAAAGAGGAATACATCAGATTATAATCACAGCCCATCGGTAGGTTCAGAGGCAGTACACTACTATCCCTCCTGCAGATGATGTTACAAAGGATGGGTAGGGCCGGGGGTGGGTGCCAGGGAGGACCATGACCCCACCCAAAACAGTGTAACCCTGCAACACTTAAGTCATATCAGTACAGGTAGTCCTTGTGCACACACTGACCATCCCTCACACCAAATGACGGAGCGATGCAGAGGTGAAAACACGTCCCTATTCATTAAGGTTCTCGTTCATTGCTATTTGCTGCTTTGTTGGAAATCCATGCTGCCTTTTAAAGTGTCCTAGATGCATTTTTGGAAAACAAGAGGATAGTTATTTAGTGGGTCCCTTATTTTTGACATGACGAGTCACGTCACCCCCCCCCCCTTCTCTTAAGCTCCTCTACGTGTGTGTTGGTGTGGGGATTAGTGGATGACATTATGACCTGATCTCATGTTTAATAAGCTCACCCTGTCCATGTAATCCAGTTGCCTCTGAAGATGTCTTGAATAAAGACGAAAGCTAAGGTGCTCCGTTTCCCTTTCCCGTGTGATATAATATATATATATATATATATATATATATATATATATATATATATATATATAATCAACTTTAATAGATAATACTGTACCGTATTTCATGATGCTGGTGGAGCTGAGTGAAGGTGTACCCATGTTATGTCTGGGCTCTTAACTCGAGTTTTCTTTGTATTTAAGGTAGTTATTGATGCAATAATTGGTAACACATTACCACACAAAACGTTTGCCATTTATAGGGAAAACAAATTTAAACTTTGGATAACATTTCTTGCTGAATAAGGTTTACTATTGGTGTCATATAGTCAGGCAACATATGCCGCAACAAGTCGGTACACAACTACATCACTCCGGTGACCTGTCTCATTTTCTTATTACGTCTTTCATGTACGTACAACAATTATTTACTTTTTATCTATTTTTTATTTATATATTTTTATTTATTTTTTTTTGGGGGGGGGGGTCAGTAGACGTCGCGTCGCTAAGTTGGCTAATGTGATGTGTGTGTTCAATCGTGTGACGTAGATGATTTCAGTAATTACCACATTTTGTTCAGTAATCGGGACTGAGAACATGGAGTAAATCTTTCAAGATAAAATAAGAAGTATTTTTGGTACAAGCACAGAAAACAATCAAACTACAAACTTTAATATTTACAATATATTACATGTGAAATTTCAGCCATTATAACAACGTTCAAATTGAAACGCTTGACAACCTTCTCTTCAATGTAATATAGCGTGAGTGAATCTATAAAAGTTTATCATACGAGACCCGAATTATGGAAGAACGAGATATGAAAAGTATTTTCTGATTTTGCTTCACGAACTAAAATTTTGCCGACATATGAATTCTTAATAAAGTACTTTCCGTTATACCAACTTCGACAGATCCTAGATCACTTCTGAGGTTAATAATACATCCATGGAGTCCCCAGGATATTTAATTGTTAAACTGAATATTTCAAATGTAGAATAAATAATGAACCCTCGTTAAAGTTTTCAGAGAGATTTGTATCTACCGTAGCCAACACGGTTAGGTTATTTACAGTACAAGATCAGAGGAAATTAAAGCTATTTGTGTATTGATCGGTGTACATAAATTGTGTACAAACAATACTTTTTTTCTGGTGGGCTCGTAAGGCCGGAACGGACATACCCTGACGCGAGTTGTCCGAACGAGCAAGTTTAGTTACACCAATCTCACTATATTCGAATCGCATCTTATTTAAATCTTTCAAATTTTATCCTAGCGGGAAGACAGTTTCTCCTTTCCTAGAAAGATTGCGAGTTGTGTGATAGGTATTAGCTGAGAAACTTGTAACATGCGGCGTCACATATCTGGTTAAGGCCTTGATGTGAACGCATCCTAAAGGTACTTTATTGTACTTGTCATTAATAAGTTACTAAGTGCACCACTCGGTAATTACATATCTGTATTCCCAGTTATGTTAGAAATTCTGTCAACAAATTTTAGTAAATTAAATACCTTTAGTATTCATTACTGTATTTTGCCCTATGTCTTTCCATTTATTTTACTGTACATCAATCCACTCCTTCATGAGCAGACACTTTTCCAAGAGTTAACAAGTTCATTTTTTTTTCAATTTCAATTGTTTATTCCTTGATAGAGGAAGCGGGATCCTAGTGGTCACTAGGTACCCCTGTACAATGACACCAGAAGCATCTGGCAAGTGTGACAAGTATATACAGTATAAATATTATAAAGGGGCTTACTAAAGCCTAAGGAAGGAAGGATATTCCTTTAACACATAATCAATGTTATTTACAAAGTTAACAAGTTTACTTTTTAATTATTTCAGAGCTGCGGTGGATGACAGCTGAACAGGCTCCCCGAGGTGAAGAAATTCATCAACGAGGACGTTCCTTTCTTGTATCCTTTCATTGCAATATATATAATTTGAATGTAATGTTTTGCCAATAACACCCACCCACACCTATCCACTAATACGAAGTAAAGCAGAAAATAATTTATAATTGGCTGTTTAGCAATCTGTATTGACGTGTATGTAACACATTTCAATTGTCTTTACGAAAATGGTTCTCTACATTATATGTACTTAAATTTTTATTTGGGTTATGTATATAAGGTTACTTGGGGTTTTCTCTTTCGAATACATTTATCTCGTAATAATTCTAACCGGGAACATAGATTTCCATTTGGCATCACTGCGCCATCACACTGGAGCCCCAACACACTCCTGGTTGTAAATTCCACCAAACTCGGCGACATTAATATACAATAATCCTCAATATTTTAGTTTTTGAAGTTTGGTTTCATCTACTGGCATGTCAATGTTGTTCCTTATCACACCACCTTCCCCAACTCTTGCATTAATTAACTTATTTATTTTTTACAGTAAACATGGCTTCTTAGGTACCTTTTAAAATCATTTAGGTTTGGGTAATGTTTGCTTGGATCTGTTGTAAACACTTTACTGAAAATAAAACAAGAGTAAATTTCGGCATTGAAGACATTGTCACCCGCACCACTGTTTATCACTACGTAGTTGTTGCTTGGATTTTTAATCTTGTGGGGTAGCTAAAATTTTAAGTGGTAACTAAACACAAGTTTGTGGGTTATTGGTAAGATGGGTTGAGGTAGTAGCAGGTCAGCTGACTTGCCTGCCAATCAGGTGCTCTGCATACTCGACCCGTATTTTGTAGGTCTGTTATAGTTAAGGGTTTAAGGTATAGGAGTTTTGGCTCGGGGCCCATTACTTTGATCCTGCAACAAAGCATAGCTTTGAAAATATTATTTTCCCACGTTGCCAGTTTCCTCTCCTTAACCTGTAGTGTACTTTCCATTATAATTACCTATAGTGCCATGTAACAGTTTCTCTGACAAGCAATTGCAGTTTGTTTTCCTAACAAGAAGATCAGTCATAATGTTAAGTATATGCACATTGGTGGTGCTCCCCCAGTGATGAACTTCATAAACAAACTCGACCAGGTTAGTATACATGTACTGTATTTGCATATTATAAAAGCTTGTGCTATATTCAAATTATATGTAACCACAAATTCCACTCACAAAATACCAGTCCAAGTGGGAGAATAATGGGATGGGCACATATTTCAGATAAGCAAGATAAGTGTTTATAGACTGAACTGTAAGCAAGCTTTATCTTAAGACTCACTAATATGAACTTTATGCAAAGGTGGTGGAGCGTGTCCCCTTGGAAAAATTTAATCGGGAAGAATGCAATCAGGTTCTACTAAAGAAAGGCTTCTACAAGAAGAGTGACAAGGATGAAGAGGTACCAGAGGAATTCCGCACTGGCCCATACAAGGAGAAGGAAGAGCTCTAGATGAAGTCATCACTACTTATAGTATTTGATTATTATTGCAGTGTGTCGATTGATTTGGGATACTTACTTGAGAGTATTTCCATTATAACTTTTTTATTATAAATTTCGGACTATGTTAGAACTTAGGAGACATTAGTCTTTCGTGATTGGGGTACTGTACATTAAAATTTATGATAAAGTATTAAGTAAAGTCTGCAATAACTAACTTTTATATAATTTTTTTTTGGAGAAGCACGATTTTTCAACTGATTATAACCAAAGCACAAACAATATACTGAGCAGTAATATGAACCTACTATGATGGGAGGGGTGTAAAGAGCTTCTAGCTCTCGCTACTTTCGGAAGTAAATGGGTTCGGGTACTGATGGGTATGTTGTGCACACTAGGTTTTGTAGTTTGAATAAAAAAAATGACTTCATGGATCCTTCTATTTGTTCCTTATACGTGTTCATGTGTAGACATCTGAACAATCTCCATGTGTCAATAATCTTTTGACACTATTGTATATAAATAGTTTTTGTTGAATCATATGGTGTTATCGCACAATATCATGTATGGCGCAATGTGCTGCGTTTTATACACAGCGGCCACATTTCGGGGGCGAGTGTTTGCTCATTGGAGCTAGCCATCCTCCTATAATATACAGTGCTGTAGAATCTTTGGTCTGAAGCGGGGATTACTAAACTCGCAAATTTCAATGTCTATCCGCCACGTACTAGCAAACAATCTTCCTTGTGCTATGGTGAGACGATTCAGAAAATCAGGTGAAATAAATACACATTTGTTCATACACACGCACACAGCACTCGAGTATGTAGGCTACTGTACTTACGTGTATATATGCACTGCGTGTGTGTACGGTTTGTGCATGTGTAGTTATGATTTTTCACCCGATTTTCTCAGATGTAACATTATAAGAGGCCGTTCATGCAAAATACTTTACTAAACCTTGCCTACAGAAAGACTTTACAACTCTAGAAAAGATGCAACACGGATTATCAAAAATTATTCTTTAATTAATTCGTCTCGTTTATACAAAATTAAGACACAAACCAAAAACAATTTTTTTTAAATTTAGGTGTCAAACAACAGGTCACAGCTTTCTGCTCGTTAGGGTGTCATGCAGAGGTAATAAGGAATTAGTACTTCCTCGAGAGGATTGTAGATCTATGGAACATTATACCAGCTGATGCCATGGAAGCAAAATCAGTACTGGGCTTCAAAATGGCCCTGGACAAGTCGAGAACATAGGGGATCCTACACAAGCCTGCAACCTCCTACCCCAGCAACAGTAAATTAAGTAAAGGGGTGTTCGAGAGCATGTTTGTGTTAAAAAATGTTTGAGAGCATACTGTCTTTGTGACAGCATGAATGTTTGGGAGCATGTTTAATTATAACATGAGTATATCAGGACTAGGGATAAATATAAGCATGGAGTCGTGAATTGGAGAAGTGTGTGCATATGAGCACGATGATGTGGATATTTGCCTGCCCGGCCGGCTAGCTAGTGCCTCAGTAGTGAAAAGGTTGAAGTATACGAGTGTGAGCAAGTGTACTCGATTCAGAAGAATGAGCTTGTGGAACTGAAGACTTGCCCTAAGTCAATGGTTCTCAACCTTTTTCAATCCATGTCCCCCTTGAGGAATTTTCAACATCCTCGTGGCCTCCTTCATTTTTCTCCCAGAACAGACAAGTGATAAAGACTAAAGAATGATAAAGGACAAGAGTTAGAATGACAAAAACACATTCACATACATAACACGCCCATGCACTCACACATAGTCATGCACACAGGTAAACATCCACACTTAAGCAAGCAAGCTGAAGTGCACTTCTGTAAGCAAGAACACGCCTCCTTTGACAAGCACTGCCCAACTTGGAAGACTAGTGAGTCATACCAATTTAGCACTAAAAATGGTAGGATTATATGAGTATGAACAACAATGGCACCAATAAATAACGAAATAATTAATACAGGAAGTGTACAAATATTTCACCCACGTAAAGCAGCGACCACATGAATTATGAAACAAAATAAGTAACACCAATTACGAGTATATTATGCTGAGTCAAGCTCAAGCACAATATATGGTTCAGATACAATACACTCCACTGTTTTCGTGATGGTATCCCAGGCCAGACTGAGATCATTCGGTCCTATCACCACTTGCAAAGGGATGACACGTACTGAACAAGTCCGTTCAGCAGCTCGGTCCAGCGCCTGTCACACAGACAGGGACTGGACCTGTGAAATCATAAATAATACGTTAAAAAAATTAGCACCAGAGTATGTAGATATTAAAATTGTATTATGATTAAAAAAAAGGAAAATTCTCTTCTGTCAAGTCAATACAAGTTTTGTTTAATTCAGATTCCCAACATAAATTGGAAACGTACAATTTATAACAGCTCGCCGTGGCTCCCCTAAATTCTTGCCATGGCCCCCAGGTTGAGAACCACTGCCCTAAGTACACTGGTTAGGAAAAAAGTCTAAAGTTATGTGATATATGTTTTTATAGTTAAAGTATAAGAAACAGATATTACAAGATGCATAACATGAAGCCACAGGAAAGGAGAGTTTCTTTATTACTGACCGAAAACTGAACGAAATCTCTACGGTTTCCAACCATCCCCTCTCTCTCGTCATTACAGTTTCAAGTTTTTTTTTTCCGTGGAGAAAATGATGGAAGCTGAAATGGTAATAAGGTAGATGCTCTTTTGGATACTGGAAGTTCTGGGAGCTTTTTGTGTGAAAAGTTGGCGAAGTATTATGATATACCACTATCATAGAAATAGCCGAATCTCTATGGCCACCTCATCTCTCTCGACTAAAGTGGTAAGTTATTGTATTGTAAACCTACAATTGCAGGGTCATGTTTACAAAATGTCAATCTATCTGTGTTGCCTGATTTGTGTAGTGAAGTTATATTAGATCAGGATTTTATGCAACAACATGATTATGTAAGTGTGAAATTGGGAGGGAAGAAACCCCCTTTAACAATAAATGGGTTGACCACTTTATCAATTCTTCCTCCACCTCTTTTCTCTATGTATCGCCTGATTCTAAGCCCATTGCTACCAAATCTAGACAGTACAGCACCGCCGATCAGAAAATCGTTGAATCAGAAGCAAGTCGACTACTGTTAGAAGGCATTATTGAACCTAGCTCATCTTGGCATACCCACGACCTCGTATAGGTTTCTTAGTCAATAAAGGAGCACAGTACAGTACCGGTTCTTTACAACCATTTTTTTGAAGTCTGCCATCAGATTCCTTTGCGTGAGGAGGATAGGCCTTATACTGCTTTTGAGGCAGGTGGAAAATTGTATCAGTTTTGCAGATTGCCTTTTGGTGTAGCCAATGGTGTGGCTTGTTTTCAGCGTATTGTGGATGATTTCATTGCTGGAAACTCTCTTTCTGGTACTTTTGCTTACTTAGACAATGTATTAAGCGGTAGAACAAAAGAACATGATATTTTTACTTTTTTACTTTTATCCTCTTCGCCACTGATCGGCTTGTTAGCCGCTTGGGCGATCGGTCACATCTCTTTTCATTTATATTCTTCACCAAAAGATCGGCTCGCTAGCCGCCCGGGCGATCGGTCACGTCTCTGTCACGCACTGTTGGCAAATACTGGGCATGTACCGGCTCCTGAATGTACCTGAACCCGCTCCAGTGTTGGTCAAGTCTTCTCTTGAAAGAGCTCACACTCGGTGCCGTCACAACACTCTCTGGTAGATTGTTCCAAGAGTTAACAACCCTCACTCCGAAAAAGTTTGCCTAATCTGCATAAGTTTCTCGAAACTGTCTAAAAAAATAACCTCACATTCAATTATGATAAATGCACCTTTTCTACTGAGTCTGTCAACTTGTTGGGATATCCAATTTCTAATGGAGATATTAAACCTGATCCTGAACGTCTTAAAGATCACCGGGATCTTCCTGTTCCACAACTCTCTCTGCCATCCCGGAGTGACAAGAATAGTTCATTTTGTGAGAACCCGTAATCTCACTTATTCTGCTGATGATGTCAATAGAGTTTTCTTCTTGTCGAGTATGTGCTGAATGCAAGCCCAGGTTTTATCATCCGCAGCTGTCTCAGTTGATAAAGTCAACTCAATCTTTTGAAAGACTTAGTATTGATTTTAAGGGTCCTTTACAAAATGCTACAGTTAATCGCTATCTGCTTACTGTGGTGGATGAATTCTCTAGGTTCCCTTTTGCATTCTTATGTACTGATACATCTGCTATAAATGTGATTAGATGTTTGACTCAATTGTTTGCTACTCTTGGCATGCCGGCCTTTCTCCACTCAGATCGTGGGTCTGCTTTTATGTCTTCTGAGCTGAAGCAGTTTTTGAATGAAAGTGACATTTCAACTCGTCGAACACCATATAATCCTCAAGGAAATGGCCAGTGCGAGCGTTTGAATGGAGTGATAGGAAAGACTATTTCGCTGGCACTTAAATCAAGGGATCTTCCTATATATATATATTATATATATATATATATATATATATATATATATATATATATATATATATATATATATATATATATATATATATATATATATATATATATATATTGTCGACTAAAGTATAAAGTAATGTCTCAAGGTGCTTACAGACATTTATTACGTCGCCTGCCTGTAGGTGTTAAATTAACAAAACGTGCATCGGCCGGGAATCGAACCCGGGCCTCCCGCGTGGCAGGCGAGAATTCTACCACTGAACCACCGATGCTATAATGTAATAGCAAATGGTATACTATTTAACTGTGCTCGAAAGACTTTGAAAATTTACATCATTGTTTCCATAGATATTTTTAGAGTGCCCACAGCCGTCACCTCCCTCACACTAAATAAGGTTCAAGAGAAGTGGCATCCCGACGGAAAATTGAACCCTGGTCTCCTGCGTGACAGGCAGAGATACCACTGCTTTACCTAGGCAACGTATTTCTCCTGCAAGGACAATCATGTTTTCCTGCCTCGTATTAGCACGCCAACTGCAGTTGTTCTCTGAAACGGTTAATCTACAATATAGGACTAACCCGCCGATGCGGCCGTATCATCTCACGTCCAGAAAATGCCTCAAATTTCACACCATATCATAGTAAGTTCTTTCTGTTTAATATACGGGGGAAGTTAGGTAAGGTTAGGTAGGTTTATTTAGTTTGGATGGTTAGGTCTGTTCTTCACACCCACAAATGTTAAGTAACGTTTATTTTTAAAATATCCACTTTTAACCTATTTCCACAAACTACAAGTGTCCACTATAATGTAACAATGTAAATCCGGCGTTTTTATAATTGTTTTCAATCAATTTCGCTCACGGGTTAGTCCTTTATAATTACCTCTAAAACATTTAGTTTATCTTGGAACAATCTGCCGGAACGTGTTGTGAAGGCACCGAGTGCGAGCTCTTTCAAGACCACACTTAACCAACACTGGCGCAGGTACAGATACATTTCAAGAGCCAGTACATGCCCAGTACTTGCCAACAGGGCATAACAGAGACATGACCGACTGTCCAAATAGCTAACGAGCCAATCAATGGCGAAAAGGATAAAAATAAAACTGGACAGCACCCTCAGTAACCCTTCCATCACACGTCAATGGTGTTACTACAATGAATACATAAACGGTACTGACCTTGTAAATAACAGCTTTCCAGTATGCTCTCTTACCTCCATTCGTCACTACATATGATGGACCCTGACCTAATCACTGTTTGTATGATAGGAAGAAGAGTTGCATCATTTGCCTGAACTATTTGCAATGAACCATAATACTCGGTTAGTCGGTTACCCACCTGAAGGTTACATCTGAACTTCTGAAGGACAATCACCCTGACTCTAAGGGTTGGTGAGTATTTAGGTGATCCATTTAACTTAGCCTGAAAGTAGCATAAGATTATAATTTTATTCATATCTATGTTTTATTTTATGGATTTATAAACAAATTTTTTCATAAATTTTAGGCTGTTCGTCGTGCTATCCTAACACTAACTAGCCACCTTGTCCAGGCGGTGTCAACAAACACGTCAGAAGCTTCGGCGTGGAAAAACGTTTTACTCTCTTGTGGGACAATTACCCACGTGGACCCAAAAACATGGTAAGTATTCTCAGAGGAGGTATTGTAGTTTATATTTCTGTCGCTAATATTTCGTGTTTTGTAACATTTTATTTCTATAGTAATGATAACTGAGTGATGCTTCCTCTCACAGTGTGATAAGGAAGGACTAATGAAACTTGATTGTACGGCACTTTAATAAAAATATATTAAATTGTGACTATGAACCGGGCCTGTACCTCAATGTCGGTGTATTATTCGTACTGCAATTTAGACTAAAAGTATTAAAATCTAGACATGATCCAAGGAAATGTATCAGTAATGTTACCTGCAATTTTCGAATCCATATCTTAGTCCAAGTATTTCTTAATTCAAGCTACCTCTGTGACGGATGATGTAAGGCCACTGCCCTAATATCTTATTGATCCTGATGACTTTGCTCTTCAGCCCAGCATTAGTACAAGAGGAAACTGGAATACTGTATGTACAGTACATGCAAAAGACCTACCATGCTTGTCACATTGATAGGTAATATCTATGGCATTTCTTTACATCTACTTCACTTCTGAACCACCAACTATAGGTCATTTAAACATAAGAAAATAAGGAGTCTGCAATATGCTGGTTGGCCTGTGCATGGCAGCTCCTGTCGAGAGTTACTACCACTCTCTATCGTCCATGAATCTATCTAGCCTCCTTTTAAAACTTTCCAGCGTTCCAGCACTTACTACAAAGTTGCAAAGCTTGTTCCACTCGTCCACCACTCTATTTGTGAACCAGTTCCTTCCTATCTCCCTCCTAAACCTAAACTTATCCAACTTAAATCCGTTGCTATGAGTCCTATCCTGCTTGGATATTATAAGAACTTTATCTATATCGCCTCTATTGATTCCTTTCACCCACTTAAATACTTCTATTATATCTCCCCACACTCTTCGTCTTTCTAGGGAATGCAAGTTTAGTTTCTTTAACCTATCTTGATATGGAAGGTTTCTAATTCCCAGAATCATTTTCGTCATTCTTCGCTGCACCGACTCCAGTGAATTGATATCCATTCTATAATAAGGGCACCAGAACTGAACTGCACAATTGAGGTGTGGCCTGACTAGTGCAAGATATAGTTACAGTAAGACCTCACAAGTAATTTTTCTGTCTTAAGAAGCACCTGGTTGTGGCAATACTTGATCATAGAAGCACCTGTAGACTTTGTGATGTTCATGTGCTCCTTTATCTTGGCTGCATCCTTCTTAATTGTCCTGATCGTAGACTCGTTAACACCATGCTGGCGCGCGAGATCAACCTGTCTTGTTCCTTTCTCCAACTCTTGTATGATCTTATATTTAATTTCGTAGCTTAAGGAACGTCGAACGTCGTGTCTTCTTTGGCTTAGGGCGGCTGGGTCCAGGTAATGCAAGGTTTCTTTGTGGTGGTGGTGGTGGTCCGGTGGAAGCCATTCTTATAGAACAATGGATACCGATATACACGGTGTAGCCTGGAGGGGTGTAACTGACGCGGTAGGTCGAGGGGCTTGAACGCTCCCGTGGCGGGGCACGTCATAGTACTACATTAAACCAATCACAGATAGCAGGGAGGGAGGTAAGGATGCTTTGCCCAATCACAGTCCGCTATGTCATATGACGTCACCGATAACGCAACAAAGACATACACTGCGCAACCTACTCGTGCCGCTTACACAACATGGCGGATGGCGGGAGGTTTGGATCCAAAAATGGCGCGGCGCGAGAGGACTGCCAGCCGCTCTCCGAGTAAAGGGGTACACTCACCGCGGAAAGTGAGCATTCCGGTTTCGGCAGGGTACCGCGTAAAGCGAGGGTTGACTGTACTGTCTATGAAACGATTAAGGTTCTCATCAGGGTTTGTAATACAGTACAGTACTTAAAAAATGGGTTCCAATACATTTGTTTGTTATCCAGGGATGGAACCAAATACAGTCAGTTCTGCTATAACGCGATAGTTGTGTTCTTGCAAAATATCGTGTTATAGAAAATCGCTTAATAGAAACAACAGGGCTTGTGGAGAAAATAGGGTTAGGTGCAGATTACTACTCGAAATCGAAAAAAATTAGTAGTTAGCCTAACACAAAGGATAGCACAGTCTAAATAAATGTTACATTCATATCTAATAATGAAATCATACAGTAAATGTAACACTTTACCTTGAAAAAATATGAATATAACTTGATGGGGGAGAAGGGTGATTTTGAGGTTGATAACATCGAGCTTCTCTTCAAGTGTTATATCCTTTCTTTTACGATCATCACCGGGAATTCGATCACCAGAACGCTTCTTGGAGATATTCTTCTTTACCATATTCACAGTTAATACCACAAAATTGGAGAAATAGTAAGCAAAAATCGCGTTACAGGAGACAAGCGTTCGCGTTATACAAATATTGTTCCTCTATTCATAAATCGCGTTAGAGCAAATTCGCGTTATCAAAACACGCGTTATAGCAGAACTCGCTGTACTGTACATCTTTGTACAGTATTTGCATTTTCAAATGCAGTACAGAAAAATTTGTATTTGGAAAGAATTTAAAGTTGTGTATTTTTATTTTATTTGTATTAGATGCTATTACAGATCTAAGTCAGGTTGGGAGAATACAGGTACTGATCTGTAAAAATAGTATGATAATACACTTATTGTTTATTGGTGTTTTAGAGTGGGTTCAAGAGGTCAATTGTTGTTTAATGGTAAAGAACGGAATCCTGTACAGTACCCAGAATGAGAAATACTGTGCATATGAAAACAAATTAATATATTTACCCCAAAAATAAATAAATAACATGAATTCATTACAAAGCAAAAGAGAATGGTAGTGTAATTTAAATTCTTACTTAAACATCCTAAATCATATATCTAAAAATAATAATACTGTACTAATAACTTATCTGTTGAGTTGAATACAGGTCAGTCACATAAGTAAGAAGAAATATATCCAGACATCACCAAGAGAATTGTGGAAGTAGCTCCGATGCACAGCAGTCGGTGTCAGGAGTAAAACTGAACATCAGCCGGCATTCATCCTACCATACAGGTGGACGGCAGGAAACTAAGGTCCTCTGGTGTTCATTACTGGAACAACCGTAACTAGTCAAATGGCTATAATAAGCAATGGAAACTAAATGAAGTGTACTAACTAATTACTGTACAGTACAGTACAGTACATGTATTTACTATTTACATATGGTATCATAGTCCAACAAACCATTCCAAATAGTAATATAATTATACCATAATATTGTATATATAATATGCCTGGATTTATATGAGTTCCAATGAAACCACCATTATTTGATTCATTGGAACTTTCTAATTCAGTCATCTTGACAATACTTTTTATTTGGTGTATTTGCTTCAAATACAATACAGTACATGCACCTGTGATAATTTTGTAAACTCAATGAAACTCGTAATATTTCCACCATACACGAAATCCAAAAAAATAAATAAAATTCCCCAACCGTCAGTTGAGAGTTGTCTAATACTGTATATTGGGTTAAATTCCATGAGAACCTTGACAATGATGTACAGAGTCAACAGCTGTCTTTATATACATGTCACACAAATTCATAATACAGTACAGTAAGCAATAGTTTAGAGTAAGGAAATTAATACAGCTCCTCCCCGACTTACGACGGGGTTAGGGACCCAAATCCAGGTCGTAAGTCGAAAATGCTTAAATAATACGTAGAAAATCTAAAATGGGTGTCACTTTTTCTTCTCAGCACCACAAAACTCTCACTTTTAAGCTTGCCAGCCATTTTAAAGTGAATTAAAAAATTTTTTTCTATGTGTACTTACATTGGGACTCTAAAATATGTAATTTGACAAAATTTTGGTACAGGTTGACAACCCTTTATCCGAAATTCCAAAAACCGAAAAGCTCTGAAAACCGTTATTTTTTTTTTTTTGTGGAGCAATTTCTTATTTATTTATTTATTTTTTTCGGGTATTAGCCCACCCGGGCACAGGTCACTGACCCACATCGGGGCCTGGGGGGGATGTAATAATAATTATAATAATATAATGATAATACAGTAATACTGTAATAATAATTATTCATAGTAAATAAAATTTTTAATAAAAAATACACAAAAATAAAATAAGAATGATAACAATAATAATAATAACAATAATACTGTAATAATAAAATAATAATAATAATAATAAAGAAATACAAGAATGAAAAAAAGATCAAAAGTGAGAAACACAACCTAGACCTATGAATTATTATTATTATTATAAGCCCCCAGGCCCCAATGTACTGTAGGGCAGTGACCTGTGCCCGGGTGGGCTGATCCCTGTAAAAAAAAAAAAAAAAAAAAAAACTAACCATTCTGAAAACCGAAAAATTCCAAAAACCGAAATGCATCTGGTCCCAAGGATTTCGGATAAGGGATTGTCAACCTGTACGACTGAGGCAGGTCGTAAGTGCGAGTGGTCGTAAGTCGAGTAGGTCGTAAGTCGGGGAGGAGCTGTACTGTAAAAATATCTTATAAATTAATATTGTAAGTGTTTATTAGGTTTTGTAAACAAGTATCTAGAGCCATAACCATTGCTAAAACTGATCTTAATCATCGCATAGCAGTAAATGGTGTTATTTTTTTTACATTGTAAAACAGATTGATCATACAAAGATCCATTGTATAATTGTCTTGAGCTTGTGATGCAGGCAGGTCAAATGGTGATATATTGATACAGGATGGCCTGCCTTTGTCCTGTACCAGCTACTGTAGCAGGTGTGGCTAGCTCACTCTTTTCCTCCATGAAGGAGAGATTATACATGTATACTGTACATACACCCTCTACACACTAGCCTACAGTAGGCATACACTGTCCACTCTCCTATGTACAGTACTGTGCATACAGTACTTTCATACTTACCGAATGTACAATACAGTACTGTACATGTAGCTGTAATCTTTTACCTCTTAACAATATTCTTGGCTGATTATATCTTGGTACAGTTATGAACAGTACTGCACAGCACATATTGTATGCAAAAACAACAGTGAGTGAGCAAACGAGCTTGTACAATGGCAGCAGACATTGAACTAAGAGTGTCATGATGCGACAGTTTGAGGAGATAGGCTGCAAGATACATCAGCCAATCATAAGCATTCCTTGAAGTCACATGACATTTGTAGCTCACAAACACCCTTGAGTCTACTCACCCCTGTGCTTGGCATGTGTCGGCTCATGATGCAATCTCTCAGAAATTTGTTCTAATGCATAGAACCGAGAGAATTTTCTTGGAATGCTAAAAAAATAATAATAAAAATCGGGTGATCGAAAATTCCTGTTAACAGGATTAAAGTATAGGTACAGTATATCAGTAGGAAGTACTTGTAGTATAGGATAAGGGACTGCAGAACCCAAAAATATGTCCCAGAGCATTCCTCCTCACCCCATATTTCTTTTTTTTAACCTCAAATTACCTCTAGTGATGACAAACTGTGGAATATGAACACAAAAACTTAAAACAGTGAACAAGAATACAATAAGAATGTTGTCATGTGCAGAAGAGACAAAGGAAAATTTTTAGTTGTGAAAGTGGGTGCATTAAGGCATCTTGAGAAAGGGGAGGAGGAGTTGTGGATGTTACTAGAGCCTCAGGGTTGATGCATAAAATAATTTCTGATGTTTCAAATTTGTTTAGTTAAAAAATCTTCAATTGAAGCAAACCTTGACAATTAATTTTTTTTTCTCAAAACCCTTCAAAGTGAATCTTGAAGTTAATCACCAGTTCTGACATACGTAATCCAATTTTCCATTTGATCTTATTTTTGTTTTGTGATTGAGTTTTGGGCTTACACCACAAAGTAAAAGAGTTTGACCACAGTGAAGAGAAAGGAGAGTAATTTGGGACACCATTCAGTGCGATTTCACACTTCAGTCCTACATTTATTAATATACTAGCAGAAACGCCCGCTCTTTCGCTAGGCCACAGTTGAACGCCACCCTCCAGGAGGCTACACATTGTCTCACTGTAGTGCATTAGGGTAGACCACATTTTTGACGGAGAGAGAGAGAGAGAGAGAGCGAGCATAAGGACAAAATTAGCTATAATACGTTCGATGGGATACGACTTTTCAACCTCTGTGTGGTGTAACGGATGGAGGTTAGATGCAGAGAAAAGTAAGCCATAATGAAAGAGAACCTAAGGATCAAAATAGCTGTAAATCATAGGAGGGAATACGACTTTTCTGTGTTTGCGTCCGCGCTGACCGTTAATCTCTCTTTCTCTCAGGCGTGTCGGGATGGGGTCGGGTTGAGTGTTTCGGATCGGGTTGGTTGGTTGGTTTTTTTTTTTTTTTTTTTTTTTTTGAGATCCCCACATGACACTTGCTATCCATGCCAAGTTTGGTCCAGATCGGTAAAGTAGTTTCCGAGATTCTCGTGCGGACACAAACAGACAGACAGACAGACTTCTTTGTTTTATATATATAGTATAGATTACTGGGTAATCTGATTTTCTGGAAAGTCATTGGTTTACTTATCTACAACTCACCTTTTTTTTTTTCAGACTTTCTCCAAAAATAACAAGATGTTGAGCCATATTGGCTACCGCATGAAGGTGACCATGCTGGACAGCCGGACATTCATCGGAATCTTCAAAGGTTGGGGGAGGGGAGCCTGAACCCTGTTCAAAATTTTGTTTTAAAGGATAATATATTTAGTGGATTTTGGAAGCATGAGGTTCATGATATATAACATTATAAGTTTTTAAAGTAGGCCTGTTTCAACTGTCAACAGTATCATTTTTATCAGGGGATTTAATTCAAACTGACCTCCAGCCAAAATGACAAATTTGCTCATGTTTAACCTTTTTAATGAGGAATAGCCCACCCGGGCACAAGTCATCAACCCACAATGGGGCAAAAAAGGTAAATAAGAATTAGAGGAGGAAGAAGAGTATATTATTCTACACCATGAAGAGGCCAGAAAATGAGCTTTTTGAAGTGAAACAGATTGTAAGACGATGGAAACACAGAAGGCAGAGTATTCCACAGTTTGGCTGTGTGAGGAAAGAAGGAACTACTATAACAGGTTATTCTAGTGTGACCGACATCCACACAGAAACGGTGGACACCGCGGCAAGACGAGTGTTACGAGCCCACGGCCTTGGCGGCAGTAGCTAGAATGCCCGTTAATGTACCTGTAAAAGAGAGAGGGTGAAGCAACACTGCCTTTCATTCCAACCTTTCTAACAGTTGGACAAAAGAAGAGCCTCCCCAGATTTGAGAGCAGTACTCCAAGTTAGGATAAATGAATCCCTTATAAATCTGAAGCAGCAGTGAATTAGCTACTGCATCTGTACAATATCCCCAGCTTTTGATAGACAACTTTAGTTATGTTGTAGATGTGTGGCTTCCATGACATATTAGAGGAAATGGTGAGGCCTAACATATCTATTTAGAATTTGGCAAAATGGTTGTATCCTGAAATATGATTGGTGGGAGATGTTCTATTTTGGAAAGTATAATTGGTAAATACAGTACTGTACTGTATTTTCTTACTGTTGAATTTGACCAAATTCCTACCTCCTCATTCGGAGATCCGCATTGATAGAAGAAACGATATTAGCTCTAGAAACAGGTCTAGTTTAAGAGTTAGGGAAAAATGAGAAGAGTGAAGAGAAGAATCATCAGCGTAAGAATGGATAGACTTAGTAGTAGTGTGAAGTAAATCATTGGTAAAAAGAAGTTAGAGAGTAGGTGAAAGAACAGACCCCTGTGGAACACCACTTGGTAGAGAAAGAGCAAGAGATTGAACAACCCTCGACAACAACTGCCATAGATCGGTTCTCAAGGAACCTATAAATGGGAGAACAGAGGGAGAGAAACCACAAGAAGGAAGTTTAGAAAGCAAAGACTTATGCCATACCTTCTAAGAGAGGATGACCAAAGATGGGTGCAGTAGAAGAGCAGATCACCAGTAGATCTCGCTTGGTGGAAACCATACTGGTAATCCGAGAAAAGATAGAGGCGTTCAAGGTGTTTGAGAAAATGAGAGCTTAGGATAAATTTTAAAATCTTAATCCTTTCAGAGTGGAAGGTCACCCTTAGCTGAATATAATCGTCTGGTGGTAGCCAGAATTAAATGGAAAGTGCGTGACACGCAGTGAAAGGCTTAATCGAGATAGGTTTTAACCCTTTCACAGCGGGGGTCACCCTAAGCTGAGTAAAATCGTCTGGCGGTAGCCAGGATAAAATGGCAAGCGCGTGACACGCAGTGAAAGGGTCAAAGAGGGATGAAGTTAGGGCAATGAGGTGATAGAGAGATTAGGATGTTCACCCTTTGGGATGGGCTGAACCAAGGCATGCTTCTAAGAAGAAGGAAAAAGTTTGGGTTTTGAGGCAAAGGCAAAAGAGGATCAAATTGGTTCAGGAATAAAGCCCCCATTTTATAACTGAAGTAGTGGAGTGGGTGATTGATGTACTGGAGTTGATTACATTTTTCTTATTGTTGGTGGCTGAAAAATCTTGTTATTTTTCACTATTTGAGATCACCAAGGATGGTTAACAGTATTTTATTATTGCTGATGATTGTACCATTTCCTTCTTGTAATATCATCATTCTCTGCCTTACTTCAGTATCCTCTTTTTCATCCTTCTAAGTAGCCCTGGATTGGGTCAACTGCTCTGCTGACATCTCTTCCTCTAGCTGTTGGCATACCTCAGAGCTGTCAACTCCTCATGATAACTTTGGAGCTGCCCATTGACATCTTTGCCTGCCGTGACTAGGGGTGATACAAGAAACTCTTGACGACATCTTTTAAGGTCCTGCAACAGCCGAGTGAATCGGCGCTTGCCTCCTGTTCCAGGGGTTGGTGGTTCGATCCCCAGGCACTTTAAATTCACCCAGCTGTAAATGGTTACTTAAGTTTACAACTTGGGGAAGTGTATGCAGTCAAGTGCTGTACCAGCCATGCTGCCTCCTTGTGTACTGAAGGCTTAGTATACAGTGTGCTCAATCCACACTGTCCCTTATGGGTAGCCATGCCTTTGGGACCCCCACTCACTTTTTCTTGGCCAAAGCCAATAAAGGAGCACACTCATTCTGGTCATACATTTTTCCATACAGCTTCAAGAAATTTCTTAGGAGATATGCTTCCACCACTCATTCAAAACAGTGACAACCATCTTTATGCTGTACCCTTCCAGTAACTCAAACTGAAGTTAACTCCATATTATGTTTGTTTTGATGTTTTGCAGCATTTTCTAGGACCACTTGAATTGGACAGTGGTACCCACGTGAAGAAGCTAAATTAATTAGAAGGGGACTCAAGACAGACCCTTGATGGATTACTTTAATCTCAAATTCCTCACTGCCTGTAGCTTCAAAGTGAGAATTCTTGCATTTACCCCTTTCACCTTCCTCAGGTAATCAAAGATTATCTGACAAAAACCAAATTTCCTGGTAGGCAAACTATTATATCCCTATGGGTATTGTCATTTTTCAATAAGTCCCAGTCATATATGACTTGAATTTCAGCCATTTCATCAATGAAAACAATGATAGTGGATGGTATTGAGGGGATCTCTTGTGCTTCATTATTTCATACCCTTGTATTTTAGTTAAATTGGAGTGTACAGTAATTTGTTTATTTCCAGCTTTTGACAAGCACATGAATGTAATCCTGGCTGATTGTGAGGAATTTCGTTGTGTACGTGGAAAAAAGAATAAAGAAGAAAAACAGGAGAAGCGGACAATGGGTTTACTGTTACTACGAGGTGAAACCATTGTGACCATGACTCTGGAAGGTCCTCCCCCAGCTGAGGTTTGTTGCTGCCTTCCAATGTCTTGATTGGGGTTGAGATGAATACTGTACAGTACATACTTTATCTTCATACATCTTGTAATAACAATGGATTTTCACCATTTAGTATGTGCATGTTGATTAATTCAGAATACAGTTCACTGGTTTCAGAATATATTTTAAGCCCCACCATATACCTGGAACACAAAGCCATGCATCAGAACAATATCATGCAACAAGCAATACAAACAAGACATAGCAATATCATAATCATACTAGGATATGTATTACAGTACAAGATTTAAGATTAGTTCAATAATCAGCAGTTTTTGTCATCAGTCCCTAGTTATGGCCCTTCGAAATTTATTATAGTATGGCAGTGGACTTGTTCACCTCATTGTGGAATAATTAGACTAAATAAACCTTGATATTCATGTTGACCTGACAAATGGACAAATTATTCAAAACAGTATCAATAGCCTTTTGTATTCATTTTGACTGGTTGTTGTCGTTTGTTCCTTCTATATGATGACATATATGTATTAGGTATGCATGGACCCCATTATTCAATGTCTTTTCAGATTCTCATTGACCTTTCTGCCTCAACATTCATTGAAAACCCTAAATATAAGCATTAACCTTACCTATGACTAGTTCTGGGGTTAACAGGTCAAAGTTTGAGGTCATTAAGTATCATATCTGAAGAACTTGACAAAGTTCATGCCGACAGTAATCATATTTTGTTTTAACGGTGTTTAAAAACTGGTGCTATAGCTTGGTGGTCGAGCAACTGCTTTACATGTGAATAGTCATAATGTCAATTCCCAGCTGGAGTGAAGGATTGGGTTCTCTCCTTATATACTAGCCCTTGTGCACACAGCAATAGAATGAGTACATTATAAGGTATGCTTGCTGGTGGTGGAATAACACTGTGATAGACAAGCATTTTTCCAAGGGATGGGATAAACCACTAGCTATGTATGAAGAAACTAAAAAGGTATTTATGTTTAACGTGGGCCATTTGTTGTTCAAACTAGGATGGTTCCCGAGTAAATCTGCCAGGGGCTGCTCCAGGACCAGGTGTTGGTCGTCCTGCTGGTCGTGGTATGCCTGGGACCGGAGGAACTGGTTTGCAGGGACCAGTACGTGGAGTGGGTGGCCCTTCACAGCAAATGATGCAACCAGCAGCTCGTGCTGGTCCTCAGATTAATGTGCCCCCAAGGGGAGGACCTCCTGGAAGTATGCCACCTCACATGATGGGTGGTATGCCTCCCCACATGGGTCGTGGTGGTCCTATGGCACCACCAGGTAGCTCCATGATGAGAGGAGGTGGGTACTTATTATGAAAACCTTGATCATTGTTTTCAGTGTCCATGCTTCTTTGTCGTAGATGTCTATTTCATCAGAGTAATATTTACTAGAATTCATCTCCAGCTTTGTAGGCATTCACTATTAACCCTCATTAAGTAAGCTCCTCTCCCAATTGACTACCCCTGGAGTTATGTAAGGTATCCAGTGGTATGGTAGCCACCTGTAACAATCGGTGAGGTGTCCCAGTCCGGAGTAGAATTAAAATATCCCACAGCACCTCAAAACCTTCAAGCCACAATGGCAGACTTTTCCAAAAGGATAAAAAAAAAAAAAAAAAAATTTACAGCCCCATTCTATGTTGGTCTTTTTAGAGCTCTTACCATTTGTTTGACATTGAGAGTTTCAGTTCATTGTTGGCTTATTTGTTTCAGGCCCCCCAGGAGGGCGACCCTACTAGATCCACCTCCAGCTGCCATCACAAGTGCTTCAAAGTGTTCCATATCCAAACCCGAAAATTTATTATAAGAGCATATGATCAGTACAGGAAAGGTACAGTATAGTAGCTGTGAAGATTTTTTTTTCTCCTCCTTTCAAGGGTGATTGTGGCTAGTCAGAGGACAACAACGGCCATAAGTACCGTAAAGTTCCAAGGTTGCACAACTACCCTTTCCCTTATCCCCTTTATTGATTTATTTTTAGAAGTGATGTTGATACACAGAAAAGGAAGTTGTGTATAAGTTGGTAAAGGCGGCTTCACGCTAGCATTTCACTTGTCAACTTTTTCATTACTCGTTGATTTTTTCACAAATCGTCGGCATTGTCATTGGCTTTCTGTCAAATGGTACAGACCGTCTACACTGACGACAACTTACTGGAGTAATTGATACTATAAATGGTAATAAAAAATTAACACTCTTACTTAAATATAAAGCTGAAATTACTATAAAGTAATTATTGCTCTTCTTCCAAAGATTACTCATTTATTATGTTTAATTTCGTAATTTTAAAAAGGTAAGAAAATGTCGTATGTTTACATTTTGACCATACGGGAATAACAACAACATGACGGAACCAACAGATAAAATAATTTTCCAAGTATGGACATGCCTCTCCATGGAGTTCTTGGTGGACTAGATAAGGCAGCGCCGCTGGCTCTGGGATCACCAGGCTTCTCATACACCAAAAAAGGCATAGAATTGCTGTGCTTTCTTTGTCAGTTGGATCCATCTTGTTTGTTGACAGTTGTTGATTGAGGGAAACTGCCTAGTTGGTTCTAAATGCATGTGTGACGGTGCACAACAAAAAGTTTGTCGATTTTCTGAAAGTTGACAAAAAATCAACAAAAGAATCCCAGTGTGACGCTGCCTTAATGATCACTTCTACAATTAATGTACAAAAAAAATTACCCGACTTTTATTTATCAATTTAGATATAACTGATAAGAGATCATTTTACAGGATTGACACATTGTGTGCCATAATTTTTAATTTTTTTACACCGTTCAGTGGACAGATGGTAGTGTGGTAGTGAAGGAAACACAAATAAAGGCGGCATCACACTAGCACTTTTTCCGTCAAATTTTCTAGCCCATCTCGCTCAGACAAAATGTATCGTTTCTGCTTGACTTGCTTGTACCAATTTCTGTGGTCAAGTCAAGATCTCTACTCGATAATGAGGATATTTATATAAAATAAATCGCTGTCTGTGGGACCCAAGGGACGAGCTACAGTAAAAAAAATGAAGGACATACAATGCCATCTTCTTTGTTTATAATTGACAAATGCAGAAAGACTGGTGCATTAGTTCTCTGTGAGTGTGTGACAGAGCTCCATCTCTTAGTTGTGTTTTCTTCACTACCACGCTACCATTGTTTTTTTTTATAATAAAAATACAGTATCTTTAAACTTACTGAGCATTTCATTAATATATTAGCCTAGGTTAAAGTCCAATATTATTGGTTATGAAATGATGGTTGCAGCATATTTGTTTTTAACCTGAAAGTGAAAGTGATTTGAATATACCCCTGTACATAAGAGGTAGGAACATGAAAAGTTATTGGAAGCGAGTAAGCAAATGAGCAGTTAAATATTAGAGGAGGTACTATAGGGAAAGGAGTGGTGATGAAACCAACTATGGGATGGTAACAGAATTAGTATACTGTACATAAAAGAGGAGAAGCGCCCATGTGGAAGAAAGTTAGTAAGAAATGAAAGATATGCACAGTGAAACATAGAAACTGGCAGGGAGGGAATTATCATGGAGTAAAATATGTGGGAATACAGAGAAAAGAATAATGAGGGATGCAAGTGATCTGTGAGATCCATCAAGGTAAATAATCCCCTGACAGAGCCTTGATGTTAATAACAATGAGTAGGGTGTAAAGAGAAATTCAGAAATAAGGTGAGAGATTTTTTTAACATTGCAGTGGATCAGCATGCCTTCTGAAGGGTAGAGCTACTGAAATTAACCTGCTGTTCAGGTATCTGACATTTAGCGATCATTCACTTAGCAATAATTTGGTTTAGTGATTTAAAATTTCTACCACCCCTGATTATTTAACACTGCAATTGTTCGGTTTAGTGATCATCAACTCACTGGAAAAAATTCAGGAGGGAAGTCGAAAAAATGGGGATTCACCTACCTAACCAGTATTATATACGGGTAATCATGAGTCTAATTCAGTATAAGAAAGGTGGAAATAACAAAATTAAGTGGTGTAAAATAAATGCCGAGTGTGATACTGCATGTTTTCCGGCCCACTCAGATATCATGGTAACGTTGTATTTTCAAGGCCAACACTAAACCACTTGGAAAGGGAGCCGCTATATAATATACTACCTATGAATTAGCCAACCTGAATTTTAGAAATGATTTTAAAAATCATAATCTAGCTTTTCTAGCAAAAAAACAAATTTTTTGGTAACCAGAAGGGTACCTGTCTAGGTTTATTATATAGAAATCACACATTGTAGGGGTATGCTACTAGCACACCACATATTAAACCAAGCTGTTTTCACATTTGTGTTTACCCTGCTTTTGAACATTGCTATCTGTGCTTTACTATATCGCTGTGTATATTATCGATCACTGTGCATTGCAGTTACTGTTGTGACTTTGGTGTTATTGAGTATAGTGTACAGACTGTTCATTACCCTGTACTAAGTGATTGCTCCTTCCTCTTCCTCTGCTCTTGTTGGCTAACAGGTGGACCAGATAAGAACTGTTTACTGTCTTCCCTTTATGTTTTTGACCTTATGATAATTATTTATATTTATTTATTTTTGCACATTCTGTAATAAAAAATATGTGAATGTAACAGAGTACAAAAAAATTATTTATATCTCCTAAAAATTACTAGTTGAACAATAACAAATCTCACAGTACACCCTCACCCGCTCTGGAGTGCTACTAGGTAGCGAGTCGCCCAGGCAAGTACGTGATACAATTACAGTGATCCCTCGGTTAACGAATTACCTCCCATAAGATTCTTAACTTCGGTTAACGAGTTTCTTATGAGCCGACCTTCAACATGTTTTCGCTTGCACTTGGCGGTCAACCAGCTGTAGTATTAGTCTGCCAATACAGTAATCGATTCTAGGGCTTAAATTCATTACTATCTTAGTAAATATGAAGAAGTTTATACTATTCAATAATTTTAAAAGTTTAGTATTACATTTTTTTAGTCATTTTAAGAATTTTTGAACATAATTGAAGGTAAAGTCACTAGTTTTATGCGTGCCATCCAGCCTCTTAACACACCAAACAAGCATTAGTCTCTCTCTGTTTTCAGTGGAGGTAACATCTTGCTTGAGACTTCAACTAAATGCTTTTTTTCTGTGTTTCCAAGCAAATTATTGGTCATTTTGAAATTTATTTTACATATTGACAATAAATAGTGCAATGCAGTGTTATTTTAAAGAAAATATTCTTTATTTACAGCTAGCTTAAACTTAAAAAATCACATGTTGACATTGTTTGAATCCAGCATGGGGCCTAAGAGATCAAGAAAAGTGATTTCAATCCAAACCAAGCAGGAAATTATAAAAAAACATGAACAAGGCATTAGAACAAATGCGCTATGCAAAGAATATGGTATGTCGACATCAACTGTATCGACAATTCTTGCACAGAACGACAAATTTAAAGAAGTGAAAGTGAGAGACAAATCTACCAGAGTGTTTAAAAGTAGATCCCTAATTGCAAAAACTGAGAGGTTACTTCTCATCTGGATTAGGGAAAAACAGATGAAAGGTGATTCAGTTTCTACTGAATTCATTTGTGAAAGAGCCAGGGAGATTTACGAACATTTAAAGACAGATCAACCTGGTTCTTCAGGCACAGAATTTGAAGATTTTCGGGCCAGCAAAGGCTGGTTCGAAAAATTTAAGAAAAGAAGTGACATTTTCAGTGTTGTTAGGCATGGTGAAGCTGCTACTGCTGATAAGGAAGGGGCAGCAAAGTTTTTAGTGGAATTTAAAGAACTGATGGAAGAAGAAAATTATCTTCCACAGCAAGTGTTCAATGTGGACGAAACTGGGCTGTTCTGGAAAAAGATGCCCAAAAGAACATTCATCACCAGAGATGAAGCCTCTTTACCTGGGCATAAACCCATGAAAGACCGTCTCACTCTATTGCTTGGTGCCAATGCTTTAGGAGATTTCCGACTGAAGCCTATGCTTGTCTACCACTCTGAAAACCCCAGGGTGTTCAAGCAACAGAAAGTGGTAAGAACAAAGCTTGGAGTTTATTGGAAGTCCAACCGTAAGGCATGGGTGACAAGACAGCTCTTTAATGAATGGGCTGTTGATGTGTTTTGCCCTTCTGTCAAGAGCTACCTAACCACCAATAAACTCCCTTTAAAGGCTCTTCTCCTCATGGATAATGCTCCTGGTCATGACCCTGAACTTGCCAGAACTTTGGAGTATCAATTTGACTTTGTGAAAGTGTTGTTTTTGCTTCCCAACACTACATCAATCATACAGCCAATGGACCAGAATGTGATGAGCAACTTCAAGAAGTTGTACATGAAGAAAATGTTTAGGAGGTGTCATCAGGCAACTTCCAATGATCCTGAACTAACACTGAAACAGTTCTGGAAGACACAATTCAACATCCTGGAGGCTGTAAAATTGATTGTGTCATCATGGCAGGAAGTCTCCACTAGATCCCTCAATTCTTCATGGAAAGCACTGTGGCCATCAGCAGTCCATGATTTTGAGGGATTTGAGGAAGAAACAGAGTTGGACCAGGAGATTGTGTCCATTGGTCAGTCATTGGGCCTTGAAGTGGAAGAGGATGATGTCAAAGAGCTCGTGATGTCTCATGAGGAGGAACTTACTCCTGATGACTTGAAGCAACTGGATGAGATGTTAGAGGCTGACAGTGGTGAGGAGGAAATTGAAAGTGATGACCATATGTCAACTAAAGAGTTGAAAGATGTGATATACCACTGGGAGTTCAGGGAACTGGCTTCAAAGCACCCAGATGTGGAAAAAACTGAACTAACTTTGGGTCATGTTGAAGACTGAATGGTCTCCTTTAAACATAAGTTAATGGTGAGGAGGAGAGATGCCCCACAGACCACAATTGACACTTCAGTAAAAGGCAGAGGGAACAAGATGCTATCCCTCAGCTTTCCACTTCAAGAAGGAGAGAGGATGTTCATGGTGGAGAAAATGTCAGTCCAGAGGTTCCTGACATTTTCATGGAAGGTGACTCACCTTCCAAGAAGCAGTAAAATGCTTCTCCTCCACCTCCACTTCCTTCTCTTCTCCCTTCTCCTCCTCCACCTCCCACTTCAAATTCACATCAGCATCATCATTCAGGAGCCTTCTACATACACACCTCAAGGTACGTGTCAATTTCTAAAAATTTTGTTGAATTTAGGCAATTTTCGGTGAGCTGGAACCAATTACCCTCAAACCCATTGAAACAGTAGTTTCGGTTAACGAGCAACCTGCTGGAACGGATTGTGCTCGTTAACCGAGGGACCACTGTACGTGCTATGTCCACAGATATTATTCCTCATTATCCTTTGTTTATGATATTATTTCTCATTTATTTTCGTTCAGCGATCTGTTTTTCAGGAACGCATCCCGATCTCTAAATGACGCATCCCTGTATATCAAATTAGGTTTACCAAGTTCTGTCTCAAGAAATATAGAGGAAGGACCAATTACTCCCACATAGCAGTGTAGATGCTTTGGCGCACAGGATAGAAGTCATTGCGATTATTTGGGCAATTTTCCCCATAAGAATCAATGTAATTGGAATGGGGGTGTTCCCAGTCGGTATGAAATCAGATGGTTTTAACCACATACAATGAGTCATTCATGATGTAACACGATAGTAAATGAACAAAACACTCAAATTTTACTTACCAGAAACAATGTTGAGTGCTGCAGGAGGTGAGGGTGTGAGATTAAAACAAGTTTAATGTCCAATGCAATTTCTTTATGGAATCTTTTATCACCACTGCTTCCACTTGAACTCGATGGTCTTTTTCCATTCACATTGAATAAGGGTACAGTACACAGTAACACAGATGCATAACTGAACACAAACTGCAAACTGGGGAAAGAATTCAAACTGAGCAGCACCATTGTTGTTGTGGGAACTATCAGCTGGAGAGACAGGAGAGCTTAGCCAGAATCCACACGAAATTTTTTGGTCTATGTCGTGATTTTTTCGTTTGAAAATCTTAATAAATTAACCAAAATTCCACAAGGGTGAATAAAGTCTTAAATACAGATGCACAACTGAACACAAGCTGGGGAAAGAATTCTAACTGAGCAGTACCATTGTTGTGGTAGTTGGTGGCAACTGGGGAGGCGAGTGGCTTTCCAACCACCACAGAGAATCCACACAAAATAATTTTTAAAATTTTGGTAAAAATTTTGAATTTTTTCTTAAAATTACCCAAATTCCATAAAAGCGAGTTTTTTTCTGTAACCCGAAATCGTGGCTTGGTCCAAGTGTAAACAAACAAACAGCAGAAGACAACACGCACTGACACAGTGGATTTTGCTGATGAATATTTATGGTAATTAATTTCTTCGCATACAAAGCATATAGAGACCAATTTTAGTGTCTTATCAGTTTTTCATGGTGTTTTACCCTGCAATATCCCTCATCCTTTACACCCTGTGCACTACAGGTGATTTATGATCATAGATACAGAGGAACTAAAAAGATTACAAATAAATTCATATACAGTACAGGTTGACAACCCTTTATCCGAAAAGCTCTGAAAACTGAAAGTTTTTGTGGATTTTTTTTTTTTTTTTTTTTTTTTAAAGCAGGGATTAGCCCACCCAGGCATAGATCACTGACCCACATCGGGGCCTGGGGGGGGTGAAAATGTAATAGTAATACTAATTATAATAATAATATTCATAGTAAATAAAAATTTTAATTAAAAAATACACCAAAATAATAATGATAACAATAATACTGTATTAATAATAAAGAAATACAAGAATGAAAAAAGATAAAAAGTGAGAAACACGACCTAGACCTATGAATTATTATTATTACCTGTATTATTGTTATTATTATTATTATATTTTCGCCCCCAGGCCCCAATGTGGGTCAGTAACTTGTGCCCGGATGGGCTAATATACTAACCATTCTAAAAACCGAAAAATTCCGAAATCCGAAATGCCTCTGGTCCCAAGGATTTCGGATAAGGGATTGTCAACCTGTAATAAAAAAAGTTGTTTCGTTTCTATTACGATACTGTACTTATTATCCAAAAAACATCTGTGGAAAAATTGAAAGAAATCAAACAAATCCTTCTGATGTTAGCCAACTGCTCTAGAAGTACTGATATTTATTCATTGATATCATTATACTGTACAAGTTTACAGTTGGTTTAGTATATATTTCCCTAATATATAATCATTGGTTATGCGAAGCAGCGGTTAATGGGACATTGGTTTATGGGGTATACCTGTACTGCAGGTGTACAGGTCAGGGTAATGCAGTACTCTAAGACACTATCTCTTAATACCCATAACCAGCCATTTTCTAAACTTTTTCTGTGACGGGAATATATTTACTCAACAAAAACGTGGAAAAATCGCAAAATGAAACTTATAGAAAGTTGGAATTTGCCCACCTGGTTTTGCATATTCTTGAGATAAGAAACACGTTTTCTTCTAAAGGATACCCATAAGACCCTTTGTACGGCATTCATACAATGTCACTTGACTATTCCTGCTTGCCATGGTATTTTGCCTAAACACAAAAGCTAAAATACAAGCTAAAGAATAATGTAAGAGATCACATTGGTCACAAACTCCTACAATCACTGGATGTGTTAAATGTGGAAGATACGGTGAAACCAGAGTATCGAACAACAAAGTTTGGAAGGATTATGGATATGAACCGGCAGGGCACTATAGTGCGTTTTTTCTCAGCTGAGAAGAGATGCCCCGCCCTCTTCTCAAGAGTTACAGCTGATTGGCTGTTGCAAATCTGTCCAATTCCATCCTGAAGTAATGATGTATTTCTAAATGAGTTTATTCAAAACCGTTGGGATGACCGTTTCTGACAAGAAAGATATTTCGCTAAATTATATTAAGATACTACATACATTCATTATTTCAAACATAAGTACGTAGGAAGTTTATCATAAGTATTATACATGAATTAACTGTTAAACTCTGGTAGCAAATTAACGCTTTTGGAGGACGCATTTAATATATACTTATTTTTACCCATAATAAGGCATACTAAGACAAATAAAAATTTTAAAAGATCATAATCACATTGAAATATTACACAGCCGTCAGCAGAGGCTGGTAATGTGACTGCGAACAACTTCATCTTTCCTGCCTCTGCTGACGGCAAGAGCGGCCAAGTCCCCCTCCGTCACACTCATCCACCAACTTCCGGGGGCCGTGTAATATTTCAATGTGATTCTGATCTTTTAAAATGTTAATTTGTCTTAGTGTGCTGCTTCCTCCATCTGGAGTACTGCCACCCCGTCTGGTCCCCGAGATATATTAGGGACTGTCAGTTGATTGAAAATGTTCAAAGGATGGCTACCAAACTGGTGCCTGCACTTCGGCATCTCAGCTACCCTGAGAGATTGGAGCGCCTGAACTTGCCAAGCTTATACTACAGACGGGCAAGGGGCGACCTAATTGAGGCATATAAGCATCTCAAGGGGCGACCTAATTGAGGCGTATAAGCATCTCAAGGAGCGACCTAATTGAGGTGTAATAAGCATCTCAAGGGGCACTACTCAGTCGAGTGTCGTTACCTGGAGCTGGTGGACGCTCGCCCCACAAGGGGTCAGAGCTCAATGTTGAAGAAGCCGCAGGTCCAGAAAACTGTTTAGGCAAACTTTTTCGGAGTGAGAGTTGTGAACTCTTGGAACAATCTGCCAGAAAGTGTTGTGACAGCACCGAGTGTGAGCTCTTTCAAGACCAGACTTGACCAACACTGGAGCAGGTTCAAGTACATTCAGGAGCCGGTGCATGCCCAGTACTTGCTAACAGTGCGTAACAGAGACGTGACCGATCGCCCAAGTGGCTAACGAGCCGATCAGTGGTGAAGAGGATAAAAGGAAAAGTAAAACAGTGCAGTATCTACCACAGAATTATACTGTAGGTGACTTCACCTCTGAGACACTTGCCATTTAAATCAACTTGACAACAGGACCAATCATAATAGCAACAACTTCCCTCCCACCATGCAGGGACTATCTACCATACACTGACTTCAACAGACTACATCATAGGGGACCTGAATGTCAAGACATCCTCTATTAGATGGTCAGAGTACAGCCAACAAATTTGGAAGATGCCTCGGTGGCCTCATAGCTGATAAAAAAGCTCAGCCACTTGTCCAAAATTTCCTTATGTTCTACAACAGGAAATCAGCCATTATCTAAGACATAGGTACTGTATAACAAACAGCAAGTGCTTTCACAACTACCTTTTTTAACAAGAACTAGTGACCTCCACCAACATCCTACCTATAATCATGACCATCTCCACAAAACCAATAATGATACCAACTCCACTGAGGAGGATTGCTAAACAGACAAACTGGGAACTATTCAATGAAAAAATTAGAGCAAAACATGTTATCAAAGTACATAAAAATCCTACAGATCACAGACAAGCAGCCGGTAATCACAATAGAAGAAGAAATTAACACCTAGTGTGATACCATAAGAACAGCCTAACAAGAGGCCACCCATTATAAGCAATACAGAACATTCCCACATCCATGACAAATGCCAAAACTCATCACCCCACAAACCAATTCTAACTGTTCAACAGAGAGCCAAAACCCATGGCTAAAACAATGAAAAATACAACACACACACACACACAGGAGAATATGAGAGGAAATACAAACGAGATCTCTGGAACAAAGTACCGTATCCTCAAATGGACCAAAACAACTCTTACAATCATATAGTGTCCCAGGGGAGTTATGGTGCCAGGTCAAGAGACTGAAAGGTGCCAGCCTCTCCAAGTCACCATAAACTGTACTGTATAACTGACCACGCAGGCAATAAAATACAAAGAACACATCTTCAGGAATATATGGAGTAACAATTTCCAAATCACAAATGAAGAGAATGGGATTTAACAGTACCCATGAGGAGCTCGCCCTTCATGGACTACGAGGCCAAACACACCACACTGAACCTCCCCCTGAAATTAGGTGGGAGAATCTGTGTGAGGACAATCCACTGAATATACCAATCACCTCAAAGGAAATCATTGCAACCATCTCAAACATAAAAAATTAAGCTCCTATCTACATGAGAATTACCAAGGAGGTATCCAGCCACATAAACAACCAAGCTATGACGAGACTGGGAACCACAATAAATGGTTTCCTGGCCTTGGGATATTTCCCAGTAAAATTTAATGAGGCCATTATTATCCTTCTGTATTCCCAAAACAGAGTTAAAATCCTGCTGTCCCACTAAATTAAGAGACTGTTCCCTCTCCTCAAAGTACCTTTAGCTCATCCATACATCTGCAGAACAGGGCTCTTGTGAACCTTTAGTTTTGACAATTTGTTTTTAATACAGTACACACTCTTGAGAACTCAATGTGCATTAGTGCTGTGTCAAACCACTTTTCCTCAAATGCTGGGTGGTTTGTTTGCATCCTCTTTTGTGAACAGTGAAGAAAACAATTTATTTAATACCTCTGCCTTCTCATGATCTGAGTCCGAATAGCTACCATCTTCGAGTCTTGGATCTGATATTCCCACACGTTAGTTATGATGATATCCAGCAATTTTTGTGTAGAATAAGGGGAATAATGTAAAAAGAAAAAAAGAAAAAAGGCTAATCAGAATGAAAAAAAATTATAAACAAATGTGTTCATGGCATGTGGTGAAGGTCATTCAAGTAGTGAGAAATTAACAACATGAAATGTAAATGACGAGGAGGTAACAAAAAATTAATTAAAAAACAGCTAAAAAATATATACCGGAAAGTAGATGAGTGAGAGTTGAATAGAACTTATTTTTTCTCTTACCAGATGTGTAAGAGGGAAGAGGATATCACATTTATGAGTCTGCTGGAAGGAGAAAAAGAGTCGATGCTCCAGATCGATGAATGTCCCATTTTGCTTCTATAAAAGTTTTCAGAGAAAGTACTTGTGCTTTGGAGGTTTAGTATTCACTACAATCACCTGTCTCCTCCTTTGATTGCTCAAGGGCAGCAGGAGGTTGTCTTAAGGAAGAAGAACTTGTTCCTACTATTACCTGTGGAATATCTAGAGAAGTTTTGTTCATGTCCACTGGTATGGGCGTTTCTGGAGACATTTTCACACTTGAACTGTTGTTGATTCCTGATGACCCCTTATGGCTAGGACTCTGTATTAGCTCTGGAGTGTAACTGACTTTGAGATTCAACTGCAAAACATTTGAGTTCTTGAAGTCTGAAGTAGCAGAGGCACTGCAGTCAACATACAGAGGATTACCCTGGAATGAAGGTGATGATGAAAAAGTTGTCAGTGTAGATGCTGCAGGACAATGGATGTTGCCATGTCTGGACACGTGTGCTTCCAGGCAAATATCTTGGAAGCCTTGGGCATCTGTGAAGGTCTGGTTGTCTCTTGGACCTTGGCTAAAAGACTCAAGGTGTAGATGAGTAGGACTTGAACCTATCTCTCCCTTAACTGGGGAGGAATGTGTATGATCACTGGAAGGCATCTGACCATCACCATGGGAATTTGTGTTTAATCTGACCTGAGTCACTTTGGCACTGAAGGTTACTCGACTCTGGGGACATACACTCTGGTTATATTTCTGGCTTCTACCTCCACTCTGTCGAGACCCTTCTGAGGCTACTTGCATCACTCCCTGAGGACCTGCAAAGCTACTGCTAGAGAATTTATGCAACTTATTTTCTCTCTCACCTTCAACAGATGAAAAGGAAAGTGCACCGGCTTTGTGAGATGCTTGGTATATGGTAGTTGGAACCTCAGCAGCTTGTTTAATATGAGTGGTTTTCCTATTAGTGTTGATAGGAGCCAATATTGGTGATAAAGGATGGGCAGAAAGTGGATGGTGATAATGGTGGAGGGTAGAGATTTGGGCGTTGTGGATGTTGCTTCCCCACACCCGAGTAGAGGAATGTCGAAATCCCTCTGTGTCTGTGTTAAATAAAAAATAGTGAAAAAATATCATCAAATATTTTAAAGTTGGACATAACAAGAGTATACACACATTCATAATGGCAACAATTGACTCCTTTACTCTATTCTTTGGTATATTCCTTTTATATTAAAATTTTCTCTATACTTTAGCTACTTCATCCTTTAAGTATCCTTTGAAAACAACTGAATCACTTTACAGTTAAGCCCTATTATGAAACATTTTATTAGCTGTTTCAAAAACCACTACAGTACTGGGTCTTGAGCAGCTGAGGGCCAGTGATCAGTAGACAATTTGTTTGATGAAGGTTATTTATGACAGTGAGTACAACAGACATCATGACAGACTGATGGATATAATCTATGTGGGGAAATATTGAAGTATGTATAGCACAAAGTGATACTTATAACAGCTGGAAAAAAAGGGGGAAAAATATTTAACAAATTCACGAAAATAACACTGGGTCAGTTAGCAAAGCACCAGAGAGGGGCATTGAGGCTTATGTTATCATAACAATACAGCTAAGGCACAAAATCATAGGATATAATTAATTGATATCAAATAATGTAGTGAGTTGTGATTAAGAGGAAGGTAAGCCCAGCAGCAAGAGACTTGTAACTAAATAAAAAACACTGAATTAAACTCCAATGACCTTGAAGTTGGCACTAACACCTCACAAGCAAGTCACTTGTGCCCTCAAGTGACAATCACCCAAACCATAAATATCATAAATTAAATAAACATAGCATGCATTCAGAGCCATAGTTAAAAATGGTAATCATGCTGTGGTTTTGGGTGTGACAAGCAACTAAGGAGTCTGCTAGCATACAATTACTGTACTGTGGTGAGGGGTTTAGCAAGGGTTGTGCTAACACTGAGGATAGTAAAAATAACAATACATAATAAAATCCTCTGTAAGCTGTTGATGCTGCCTTGATTGTATGACCAGACTGACAAAGATATTGCAGACCATAAGAACAGAAAAAAATCCAAAATAGCAGTTCTGTTGATACGGTATGAAGATTCTTATCACAGATGGGGAAACAAGTGCTATTAGAATACTCTAGAGGAAAAATTTTACCAAAGCAACACTTAGGTTGTGGCAGGAACTTATGATGCAGGTGTGAGGGATGTGGGATTAGAAGAGGTCAAGTAACAGTTAGGGGTCCTGCAGGAGAGTGGAGAAAATTAAGGTCAATATGAACATTGGGCTGCAGGAACTTCAAGATTGTTTAGAGTGTAAGAGCCATAGTGTTGTGTTCTGAGTCCCCAAGAATCAATCAGATAACACGGAAAATATAGAAACACATGACATGATGTATTTTCTGAACATTTGTAGAGATGAAGTGAATATAATTGATATCACAAATAATGTGGCTAAACTAAGGAACGTGCACCATCATCATTTTGTGGCCATTTTCCATGCTTGTGTGGGCATCAGGCAAGCTTTATGGCTAGATGCCTTACCTATCACAACTTATTTCTCAGAACCATCTGTGCTGGCTTCAAGTCTGGTTATAAGAATGAATACTGAGATTCAATAGTGAAAAATTCAAGATTTGCTTTAGCCACACTAATAGAGAGTACTGTATTGTAATAAGGAAGCATCCTATGAGTCTGAACCTGACAAATATATTTTTTCTAACTAAATGTGAGAAAGGTCTGGTTATTTGTGTTGACTGATGTTATTGGATCATTGTGAGAAGGTGAGTTTTGCTAATAAACTAAAATAATAGGATTAATAAATCCAGCTCCTTCAGTTGTTAATTATCACTTAGTGCAAAATGAAAATTTTTTCTTATGAAAATAACCCTTTCTTATGCAACACACTCTATGAACTATCATTATGAGCCTTAATATAATACAATAATACAGTACTGTACAGTACACATAAAATTTAAGACTTAAGTCCTTTTGACAGTTGCTGATTTGGCACCAACCTGTTACCATACCTAGGAAAGTTTCATCCATTTACTTTTAACGGAGAATATTGGTAATTTTCACCAATCTCATAAAAAAATCCACAAAGAAGGTTGTTGATTGTTAACACTAAATTTTATCTAAATTTTGGTGGTACTGTACTGTATTAGGTTTTAACACTGATACTGTAGAGTACAGTATTAGCTTTTAAAGGACGAAATCACATTGGTTTTTGAGTGACCTCAGGTTTGTTAGCGACATTAGTTTCAGACATTGACAATGTCAATAATAGCATTATTTTTTGACATTGCTATTAAGTTATTATTAATATCAAAAGCTAATTTCAATATTAAAAATTAATAACTGCTGAAGCCTATTTTTTTGTTAAACCCAACTGTCAATGTCAAAAGGTAAATTCAGTATTCAATGACAGTTAATTCCCACTATGTTAACCCCTTCACTACAGGGATGCTGCTTTTAGTATTTTATCTGAATAATGCAAGACGATTTTATTCAGCTCAGAGGCAACACCGTACACAAGGGTTAACAGTGATAGTAGCATTAATTTCTGACAATAACTTGACTGATGCTGACCTGAGTTCTGCCGTTGGTGAGCTCTACGGAAGACAGTGAAGGCACTGCTGACTTGTGACTGGAATTGTGAGGTTGAAAAAGTGTAGAGGCCAGGGTTGACAGCTGAGTTGATGGGGAGTACCAGTACCACCAGCCATGCATACACTCCCTCTGACAAAAAATGGTTTCTCAAAAGTTGATGGGTAGAACAAACGATGTATACACTCTTTCAGACAAAATATAGTACAGTATGTCGCAACTAGTTGATGTGTACAGTAAGTTGGTGGTATAATGGTAGCATGCTACTGTCAGCTATATCAGAACACACGCTCTTCATCACAGGCAGTTTAAAGAATTTTTAAGTGATCTTGGTACAGAAAAATATTAAGAAGACTTTATGACATTCTTTATGAAATAAAATGTTCAGTGATATGCAAGGGAAGCCAATACTGTACTGTACAGGTAATAATTATCCAGCAATAATAGGCTTTTAGACATGTCCTTTTTATTGGACTTGACTGCTCATCTCAGTGAAATGAATACCAAGCTTTCAGGAAAAGATCAGGTTGCTAGAAATTTCATTGTGATTGAAAAATAAGTAATGTTTATGGGAAAATCAATTTTAAAAAATGCAGTACATTTTACAGCGCTTGCTGCACATTATACCAGCATATATGATGTGCCAAAATCTAGAAGTAATTTGTGTGATCTAAAAGAAGAATTTGAATCGAGGTTTGCCAATCTATGTGCTCTCGATATGGAACTACAACACAGGTATTTATACCTCCATTCATTGTTAATATTGACACAGTTCCAGAAGAGATAAAAATGGAACTGATAGATATGCAATGCAACTTTTAACTTCAAAACAATTTAGATATGAGTTTACTCGAATTCTACTTTTACTTTTATCCTTTTTGCCACTGATCGGCTCGTCAGCCGCTTAGGCGGTCGGTCACGTCTCTGTTTCGCACTGTTGGCAAGTACTGGGCGTGCACTGGCCCCTAAATATATTGGAACCTGCTCCAGTGTTGGTCAAGTCTAGCCTTGAATAAGTTCACACTCGGTGCCATGACAATACTTTTTGGCAGATAGTACCAAGAGTTCACAATTCTCACTCTGAAAAAGTTTGCCCTTACAGTTTTCTGAACTTGTGGCTTCTTCAACCTTGAGATGTGCCCCTGGTGGGGCAAATGTCCGCCAGCTCCAGGTATGTACATTAAACCAAATAGTGCCCGATATGTTTATACACTTCGATTTGGTCGCCCCCTCGCCCATCTGTAGTATAAGCTAGGTAGTTGCAGGCGGTCTAATCTTTCTGGGTAACTGAGGTTCCGTAGAGCAGGCACCAGTCTGGTGGCCCTCCTTTGGACATTTTCAATCAATTACTGACAGTCTCTAGCATACCTCAGGGACCAGACGAGTTGACAGTATTCCAGACAGGGAAGTACCTCACTCTTGAAGACCGTGATGAGCGACGGACCATCCAGATATCTAAATGACCTTCTTATAAGACCTATACTAGTTTCATTACCTGATTCACCTTCTTCTCACAATGGCCCAAGAACTTAAGTTCCTTCGGTCTCAATTAATGCAGTCTCTTCGCCTCCTTACTGTTGTTGTGGCTCAGGTGCATCCTTTTGCACTTTGTGACATTGAAACTTAGCAGCCATTTCTTCGACCATTCTTGGAGCTCATAGAGACCTTTCTGTAGCTCTTCACAGCCTGTTAGGTTCTTTATTTCCCTAAATAACTTGGCATCGTCCACAAACATTTGTATGAAAGAGTGTATAGTTTCTGGCATATAATTTATGAAGCAAAAAGACAACAATGGGCCCAATACACTGCCCTGTGGTACCCCATGTGACAGGTACACATGATGATTTTGTGCCATGAATCGTCAGTTTGTGGTCATGCAGAATGCTCAGCCTTTAATGAGGTACACTGTCGAAAGCCTTGGCAAAATCTTGATATACTCGTATATTGTAGATATTTCCACCTTGTTTTAGAATTTGAGTCCAAACATCCAGTACCTTAAGTAATTGTGTTAAGCATGATTATCCCGGCATAAAACTGTGTTGACAGTCCTTTACAAGGTTGTTTCGTAGTATTTGTTCCATCATGGCATCTCTTACGATGCTCTCTGGTACTTTGCAGACTATGCTGGTCAGGTTCACTGGTCTATAATTATTCGTGGAGTGACAATCGCCCTTCTTGAATATAGGATTCACAAAAGCCATTTTCCAGTACAAGGTATTGGGGACCTTTAGCTCATCTAGGCATTTGCAGAACAGGATGTTAAGGGGATCTGCAAGCTCGTTACACAGTTCTCTTAACACTGGGGTGCACCATATCGGGGCTGGGACTCTTGTGAAGCGTCAGCTTTGACAGTTTATTTCTTATAACCTCATCCGAGAACACAATGTGGGTCAGCACTGTGTCAAACTGTCTTTCCTCAAATGCAGGAAGATTGTTCGCATTCACTCTTGTGAACACCGATGAAAAGAATTTGTTCAATGCCTCTGCCTTATCCTGGTCAGAATCTGCCTAACTACCTTCTTCAAGCCTCAGGTCCCATATGCCTACTCACGTTTTTAATTTCGAATTTTGCATTGCGGTAAAAAGCCTTTGGGTTTACCTTGACCTCACTTGCAATCTGCCTCTGGAACTCTTTTTCAGCCCTTCTACACTCTGACTTTGCTTCTTTTTCTGGGCTGGTTCCAGCATCTGGCATACATCCTCCTGTCCTGCTTATCATTTGTCCTAACCCAAATCTCGAAATCCTGAGTTTTCTTAACTTTGCCGACCGCTGCATGGTTCATGTGTAGCAGTCTCCTTGTATTCCTGGAGGCACTGGGTTTGGTCTTGGGTATATATTTATCAACTGAATGGTTAACTTTACTGGCTATGATATATATTCAGTGTCGTATCTGCATTCTTATTCATTAGTAAGTCAGGCCAATGTATACTCCTCATCCCATCGCAATTTCCTATGTAATATTTGTGTCACCATAAACATATCTTAAAATAGTTTCACACACATTGGGGATGATACCTATCTTCCTCAGTATTTACGTATGTAAAAAGTTATTTTAAAAAATTATTTGTTAAACAAAGGGGATGAAGTATTCTTACAGATTTTCACCTGGCAAACACTTTACATGTTGCTCGTTCTAAGATGAAAACAGATTTTTATAAAGTTCTCAAGGCATTAATTAACCTGAAGTCTTAGACCTAGAGTTTCTGTTTGCAGTTAGTACAGTAATATGTTTTTGAATCCGTTCATAGTTATTTAGTATGCAGTATTACAAAATGAAGATTTTTTGTAAATATAATTTCATTACCTTCAAAATTCTGTTTACAATTAAAATATAGTTCATGCAGCAGTCATACACTCACACACACACACACACCTCACGGTCCGCTTGTATAAAAGTTTGGCGACCACTGTAATACAGTAAAGGGGTCAGCAAAAGCCCAGTGGATAACAGTAACCACTGCCACTTAAAAAATATCACAGCTTTACAAAAAAAAAAAAAAAATATATATATATATATATACTGTATATATGTACAGTACTGTACATACATGTAAGGCAAGTCCAGAAAACTTTGAGGGCAAACTTTTTCAGAGTGAGAGTTGTGAACTCTTGGAACAATGTACCAGAAAGTGTTGTGACGTCACCGAGTGTGAGCTCTTTCAAGACAAGACTTGACTAACACTGGAGCAGGTTCAGTTACTGTACATTCAGGAGCCGGTGCATGCCCAGTACTTGCCAACAAAGCGTAACAGAGACGTGACCAATCGCCCAAGCGGCTAACGAGCCTATCAGTGGTGAAGAGGATAAAAGTAAAAGTAAAAGTTAAGCAGGAGGTGGCACAAATGCTTAGGTAACAAACATATGTGGTACAATAGTTGCACTGCATGATTAGAATACAAACATAACTTTGTGTCCCAACATCAAAATAAATTGTATAAAATAGCAGGTCAAACAAATTTTCACATGTAATGTTACTAATATGGACAATATAGCATAGTACTTTCCCCTTAAATATCTGGCAACAATGTAAGCAGGTTTATAGAGGAACATACGTGGTGACAAAAATAAAAAGGCGGTGTACATAGGACATGACTAAGAGACTACTCACGATGGATATCAATTTGTGCAAGTGCGGCCACCTTGACGCACATGATAGGCAACCAACACAGGCAATTGGTGACAACGATGAAGAAGAAGCGCAGAGCAAAGTTCATCTCGTCATTTGACAAGGGCGTTGATAACCTTGTCACCCGGATGTTGAAGAAGAGGCCAGTGTACGACCCGAAGATCACAACCATGCTGTTGGGGCCATTGTAGTTAGTGGCATGAAGTGATTAATTCGACATGGTATTCATAGGTAGAGAGTGGGTGTTTGTGGCAGTGGTTTGTACACTATTACAGCATTTTTTGGCCTGAATGGAGTTTTTCAGTTGTTGGTGATGTACAGTGATCTACAAGGCAAATAAGAAGACATGGATAACCGGCGCCATATTTAGCCAGTGGTTAAACATGTACACCATCCCTGCAATGAAGGGGTCACAGCTCAAGATTGATGAAGCCGCAAGTCCAGAAAACCGTGAGGGCAAACTTTTTCGGAGTGAGGGTTATAAACTCTTGGAACAATCTACCAGAGAGTGTTGTGACGGCACCGAGTGTGAGCTCTTTCAAGACAAGATTTGACCAACACTGGAGCAGGTTCAGGTACATTCAGGAGCCGGTACATGCCCAGTATTTGCCAACAGTGCGTGACGGAGACGTGACCGATTGCCCGGGCGGCTAGCGAGCCGATCTTTTGGTGAAGAAGATAAATGAAAAGGAAAAGTAATCAGAGACGTGACCGATCGCCCAAGCGGCTAACAAGCCGATCAGTGGCGAAGAGGATAAAAGAAAAGAAAAAGATCGTTGACAATGGTCCAGCTCATCCTCCCAATCTCGACGACTTGCATGACAGTGTAAAGTTGTATTCCTGCCTCCCAACACGACAGCACTGATGCAGTCTATGGACCAAGGTGTCATCACAACATTCAAGGCGTATTATTTACAACATACCATGGCTGCTCAAGGCTACAGACTGAGAAAATAAACCTACGATCCGAGAATATTGGCGCGGCTTCAACATTCTTCATGCAATTGACAACATTGGCAAGTCATGGTAAGAGGTTTCAGAAAGTTGCCTGAATGGTGTGTGGCGTAAATTGTGGCACAAGTGCATCAACAGTTTTACGGGATTCACAGACTTAGTCCCAGCAGTGAATAGGGATATCCTCAGCTTGGCTAGACAGGCAGGCTTTGATGAGCTGGAATCAGAGGATATTGAGGACATCCTGGCATCCCATACAGAAGAACTCGCCAACGAAGATCTGCAACTGTTAACAAAACACAGTCCCATTGAAGACGACAACAATAAAGAAGAACCTCAACGAACGCTAACTTCCAAGAGGATGGCAACAGCGTTCAACATGATCAAGCAAGGAATGCAAATCCTATAAATGATGACCCAAAACGTAGCTCAAAGATTCAACGCAGCATTGATGACAGTCTTGGTTGTTACACTGAGATGTATAAGGAGAAGAAGAGTAGCACCAAGCAGTCAACACTGGATTAATTTTTTCGTCTCGGGACGGCAGAAGCAGCTTCTTCACAACAGCCGGCAGCCGAGGAGGAGCACACAGCAGCTGAGGAGGAGCAAACGGCAACGGAGGAGGAGCAAACATCAACAGAGGAGGAGCCAGCAGCTGTGAAGGAACCCCAGTCAGCGCAGGAGGAGGAGGCAACCGTAGAGTCTCGGTGACTCACCACCCTCCCCCTCTTCTGCTCTTTTCTGTTATATCACTTTCTTTATAAATGTTTTCTCAGATAATATATTTTTCTATATCCTTATTACCTTACCTTCTATATTTTATTTTTCTTAGTGTTTATTTCTTTAAATGTCATTAATTTATTTATATATTTGAATAATCTTTATCTTTCTTTTCTTCATATTAAATATTTGTTTTGTCATTACTTTTTCTTATATCTTCCTCTTATTTCTTTCACTATTTATCAGTGCTTGGTTATATTCTATACAATGGATTAACCTGGGAAAACCATATTATTCTTTAACAACACCTATTGTATTAGTATAATTATATACATTCAGAAGGGTAGACTGCCATCACCCAGGCTTTTATTAGAATATAACTTGTACAATTAAGGTGTTAGGTAGCGTGGTAGATACAAGCTTAGGCACGTGTGAGATACTTTATTTTCTAAGAAGCAATTGTTAGAAGGGAAAGAGTGGTGATACTCACAATTTACAAAGTCAATATTTATTAAAATCAAAAGTGAATAAGATGACAATTCAAACAAACTCAGACAAGAATGAACCACTAGGTCTTACTTTATAAGTAACAAAATAGATCTTCAATTATTTGTTACAACATTAAACAACTGTTACATTATTTCTTTGACAATAAAGATGGTAATTTTACACACTTGCTAATAGCACAGATATTAATATGTTCCTTCTAACATCAAGTTAATACAGGTACTGTTGTGGATTCCTCCCCTACAAACGCTGTTTGTCGCTGAGTAGCCGACCCCGCGAATTCCCCAGTGTATGCCTCGTGGTCTAGGTCAACCAGCGCCGCCTTACATGACGGAGGTCAACTATTAAGCCACGCCTACCTCCGCTATATAAGACCTGACCTCGTGGTGACCTAGCTCTCTTTCTACCTACAGCCAGTCTTCAAGTAACACCACCTCCTCCGCTCCTGCCTGGCGGCCCTCGCTCCCGCCGGCGAGCATGGCGACCCACAAGCTGGTCCTCCTCTGAGCATCCTCACAACCAGCTCTCTCTACATCATGCTTGTAACCACGCTGCCACTTCCCAGCACCAAGCTGCACTGTACATCCAATACAATATGTATACAGAGAGCACATTGTGAGTTTCCTTTCTCCAACCCATCCCGAGTGTGAACCAAATAACCCGTACCCCACAGTACCAGCATTTCAATTTGGAAGTGCTCATTGAGGATTTATTCAACTCATATAACAAACTTTAATACTGGTACTATCAATATTTATGGTTTCAATCAATTTGGGCCAATAAGTTTCTGCTAATTATCCACAATCATGTACAAGAACATTATTTTGCACATATAATTGAGATTATCAGACCAGGCTCACATCGCTGGTGTTTACTACAACAGAAGAAGCTCGGTATTAGCGTCGGTTGGACTCCGACGCACGGCTAGGGAGCTCATCTCCTGGGCTTGGTTCCCAGGGCGCGTTACTCCCTGGTTTTAATCTGACTGAATTAAAGACATCCTGCCTTAGACAACTGGCTGGCAGGCAGCTAACGATCCAGGGTAGCTGGGGTATTCAGCTACAACACACTGTGCCTGAGAGCCGATGAGGGAGTGTCACAAGAGTGTCTTAAAAAGTCTAAACTCAATTACACACAATCATTCGTTTGACAACGACACAGACGATACTTACATTACGTTAATTATTACTTGGCACATGATAATTTCACTATGTTACAACATAACATTGATATTCACAAAATTCGACTGAGTTAAAATAACTTAATATGGCAAGCCTGGGGCACAGGCTACATTACCTGAGAGACAATGAGGGAGCATCGCAAGTGTCATGCTTCCTCGTGCACGCATTTATATATAGGCTAACTGGCAACTCAAGCATGCCAAAAAGGGCAATTCATGTATTAACATAAATTTCATTTAAATCAGTTGCTGTATATTTGAAAATGTTCAAAGGAGGGCCACCAGACTGGTGCCTGCACTTCGGCACCTCAGCTACCCTGAGAGATTGGAGTGCCTGAACTTACCTAGCTTATACTACAGACGGGCAACGGGTGACCTAATTGAGGTGTATAAGCATCTCAAGGGGCACTACTCAGTCGAGTGTCCTTACTTGGAGCTGGCGTACGCTCGCCCCACAAGGGGTCACAGATCAAGATTGAAGAAGCTGCAAGTCCAGAAAACTGTGAGGGCAAACTTTTTCAGAGTGAGAGTTGTGAACTCTTGGAACAATCTACCAGAAAGTGTTGTGACGGCACCGAGTGTGAGCGCTTTCAAGACAAGACTTGACCAACACTGGAGCAGGTTCAGGTACATTCAGGAGTCGGTGCATGCCCAGTACTTGCCAACAGTGTGTAACAGAGACGTGACCGATCGCCCAAGCAGCTAACGAGCCGATCAGTGGTGAAGAGGATAAAAAAAATGAAAATCAGGGTCATGGTCAGATGAATTTTTTACATCTATTGTTACAATCTAGTCAGAGGTTGAGCTTGCCAGGCAATATTAGAATGGACGTTAAACGCACAAACTGGTAACAAGGGCCTACAGAGAGTGTGCCGTTAGATCTTGGAGGTAAGAAGACTGGCATATTCTTTACAAGAGATTAATTACTTTCTAAAATATATAATTGACAATAATTTCAATACAAACATCAGACTCTCTGATGATTGGGAATCAAAATGATCTAACTTCAGTATCAGTTGGAAACTCAGGCATCCCCCCCGAGGGCGATATTAGGGACTCGTCACTTTTACTGGCAGACTCGACACTACTTATTTAATTTTTTTACAGACAGTAAATACAGTTGAAGCTTTCAACATCACTCATAAGGGACCTTTTGAATGTTTCATCTGTAATCAGACATATCTAATTTGAGGCAAAACAACTTGAGTTCTCTCTCAATTACAAATCTCTGAACACGATATGAGGTATTAAGAAATATCAGAGTCTTGGAGGTACTACTTGACAGAAAACAGAGGATTCAGGCATCCTGAAGCGGTGAGAGAATGTACGTCTCAACTGGGGGACTTGATAAAGAAATTATAGCTACATGTTTTATGGGCTATTGAGCGTAATATGAATCGTCTGATTTTACGTTAACTAACACGTACGACCGTGGTTAGTACAATGTTTCACACAGGTCCTGCCCCCCAGGACATCATAGTCAGTTAAGTGAACTATTTGACTGACAAATATATACCCAAGCCTAAACCCACTGGCTCCAGGGATATTGTAGTGGATTCCTCCCCTACAAACGCTGTTTGTCGCTGAGTAGCTGACTCCGCGAATTCCCCAGTGTATGCCTCGTGGTCTAGGTCAACCAGCGCCGCCTTACATGACGGAGGTCAACTATTAAGCCACACTTACCTCCGCTATATAAGACCTGACCTCGTGGTGACCTAGCTCTCTTTCTACCTACAGCCAGTCTTCAAGTAACACCACATCCTCTGCTCCTGCCTGGCGGCCACCGCTCCCGCCGGCGAGCATGGCGACCCACAAGCTGGTCCTCCTCTGAGCATCCTCACAACCAGCTCTCTCTACATCACGCTTGTAACCACGCTGCCACTTCCCAGCACCAAGCTGCACTGTACATCCAATACAATATGTATACAGAGAGCACATTGTGAATTTCCTTTCTCCATCCCATCCCGAGTGTGAACCAATATCTCGTACCCCACATATGGTGAACCCCGGAGATTCGCACTCACACAGGATGGAGGAGAAACTGATCACTCTCCCAGTCTTCAAGCAACATGGAAGACTGGCTTATCCACACAGAGGCAGCTCTCATCGGCTCTACAGCTACTGTCTCTACACCACAGGTTAGACACCCTAGAGCAGCACTGCTTCTCTAAGCTGACACCAGCTCCTCTTCCTGCCCCAAGCACCACATCCTACCGACCCCAGCACACCCGTCCTGCCTCAGACGCCGCCCCCGGCCCAGCAGTACCCCCTGCCACTGTCCTGGACCCTCCTCCGCTCCTGCCTGGCAGCCCCTGCTCCCGACGCGGCCCATGCGCCTGAGTGCGGCCCCACACCCTTTTTTTTTTCCCCTCAGGTACTCCCTGCTACTGTCGTGGACCCTGCTACTGTCGTGGACCCTGCTGCTGTCATGCACCCTCCTGCTGTCATAGACCCTCTTCCTAAAACAGCCCCTGCTCCTGACCCACACACCTCAGCAGGCGCATCTGAGGACTCTGTACCTGCCGTGAGGGAAGCACAACTTTCATCGCCCCCACACACCCTTTTTCTCCCTCTCTTCTCCCACAGATCTCGTGTGTCTGGACAGTTATCTCCCCTAGCGGCCGGCTCATCCACGCCCTCGCCGTTATGACTCACATGCCCGTTCTGCCTCACATGTGCCATGCAACCCTGCAGACAACAAGTCTCCTACACCGCCTGGAGGGAAGGGGGAGTATTGTAGTGGATTCCTCCCCTACAAACGTCATTTGTCGCTGAGTAGCCGACCCCGCGAATTCCCCAGTGTATGCCTCGTGGTCTAGGTCAACCAGCGCCGCCTTACATGACGGAGGTCAACTATTAAGCCACGCCTACCTCCACTATATAAGACCTGTCCTCATGGTGACCTAGCTCTCTTTCTACCTACAGCCAGTCTTCAAGTAACACCACCTCCTCCGCTCCTGACTGGCGGCCCTCACTCCCGCCGGCGAGCATGGCGACCCACAAGCTGGTCCTCCTCTGAGCATCCTCACAACCAGCTCTCTCTACATCACGCTTGTAACCACACTGCCACTTCCCAGCACCAAGCTGCACTGTACATCTAATACAATATGTATACAGAGAGCACATTGTGAGTTTCCTTTCTCCATCCCATCCCGAGTGTGAACCAAACAACCCGTACCCCACAATATAAGGAGGCTGTTACACATGAATACACGGTGGTTGACAAAGTTAAAAAGAAATTTCAGAAATTTAAGAGATAGGTCGCGACAAATGATGAGCAGGATAGAAGGATGTATGTCAGGTCCAGGAACCAAGCAAAGTCAGAGTGTAGAATGGCTGAAAAAGAGTTTCAGAGGCAGATTGAAAGCAAGGTCAAATCACATCCAAAGGCTTTCTATCGTTATGCAAAGTCAAAATCAAAGACACGTGAGGGCATATCAGATCTGAGACTTGAAATGGTAGTTATGCAGACTCGGATCAGGACAAAGCAGAGGTGTTAAAAAATTGTTTTCTCAGTGTTCACAAGAAAGGATGTGAATAATGTCCCTGCATTTGAGGAAAGATAGTTCGACATTGCACTGACGCACATTATGTTCTCAGAAGAGTGTACAGTATTAGGAACAAATTGTAAAAGCCAAAGGCTCATAAGAGCTGGTCCTGATAGCGTGCATCCCGAAATGCTAAAGGAGTTGTGCAATGAACTTGCCGAGTCTCTTAAAATCTTGTTCTGTAGATGCATGGATGAGCAAAAGATACCCAGTGACTGGAAAATGGATATGGGAGTCCTATATTCAAACAAGGAGAATGCATCTCTACAAATAGTTATAGGCCAGTGAGCCTGACCAGCATAGCATTATAAGGGATGCTATGATGGAACATCTACTACTATACAACCTTGTAAAGGACTGCCAACATGGTTTAATGCTGGGATGCTTCTGCTTGATGCAATTATGTAAGGAACTGGATGTTTGGACCCAGATCCTGGAGGGCAGCAGGAATATTGACAATACACTATATATCTGGACTTTGCCAAGGTCTTCGACAGCATACCCCATGAAAGGCTGAGAATTAAACTGGAAGGGTATGGGATTTTTAGAAGAGTCCTAGTGAGGATCAGAATGTGGTGATTAATGGTACAAAATTGTAATTGTCATGTGTACCCACAAAAAACAGGGAACCACAGGGCAGCGTACTGGGCCAATTGTTATTTGTTCGTTTCATAAATAACATACCAGAAGCTATACACTTCTCCACACAAATGTTCATGGACGATGCCAAATTATTCAGGGAAATTAAGAGCCAAACGGACTGTGAAGAGCTACAGAAAGATCTCTGTCAGCTTAAGGAGTGGTACAAGGAATGGTTGTTAAGATTCAATGTCACGAAAAGCAAGAGGATGCACCTAGGTTATACCAACAGTAATGAGGCATTTCACAAAGAAACTGCATTAACGGAGACCAAATGAGAAAAGGACCTGGGTGTTATATGAAGGGCATTCATATACCTAGATGGTGTGTTCCTCATAACACTCTTCATATAACCTAGACTGTACACAAGTGCTATGAACTGTGTGGTTGTGAGACAATTCATTAATATTTTTTGAAAAGAGGATAATGCACTATTTAACTATTGCAGACTTAAGGCGGCAGCACACTGGGCACTTTTCCTCCCAACATGTTTGCCAAACACAGTCAGGCCAGCAAAACAAAGAGATGTTTGCGTCTGCTCAACGCCATGAAAACAACAACTAAGCATCTAGATGAGGTTCACCAAGGATCCCATTACTACAGTTAAGGCCCTGCAGGATTGTGCTATAGTTCTTCCATTGTTGAAGCAAGTGAGGCATCTGTAAAAGCTAAAGAAAAGAGAATAGGTGCATCATGAAGTTTCTTTAAAAGTGCCAGCAACTGGCTGGTCAAAGAAGACCCTGAATAATGATTGAATACAACTAAAGAAGTTTTAAAGTGACGAATAAATAGAAACATGTCACCATTTTATGTGTTATATTTTACATTATTATTTCATGATTTATTTCAAATTTTACTTGGATATTCAACACCTAATATGAAGCTTATTTGAGCACTAACCCGGCCAGCAAAGCTCACCAAATAAACCGTTGTCCATTTTTCGCTACAACCATAATCCTGCAGCTTGCTGAGCTGTCAGGCCAGCGGCCAGCAAAACGGGCAACATGTTTGGAGAAAAGTGCCCAGTGTGCCGACACCTTTAGGGAGTTACTGATACCACAGGTGTACTTAAAACTGCAAACTTAACCATAAAGTGAATTCTTTGTGTATGACTTGTTTCATTTGGTCAATATGAAAAGACAATAAAACATACAATCAACTTTTCTTCACATTGGCAAATATGTGGATGGGTAATATTCTCCAGCTGACGCACTCCTGAGAATATGGGTTACCCCTAACACGACTCGGGGAGGTCACCCCTAACATGACTCAGGGAGGTCACCCCTAACATGACTCAAGGTGGTCACCCCCAAGATGAATCAGGGAGGTCACCACTAACATGACTCAGGGAAGTCATCCCTAACATGATGCAGGAAGGTCATTACTCACCTTACAATATTAAGGCCGAGAAAGATGAAGGCCGAGTACTGCCAGCCCACAAGGTAGGGCTCGTTGATGTGAAGTGGGAAGCACATAGCATTGCTGCCATAGAAGCTGCTCACCCACAGTGCTGCCAACGATACTGTCTGGTTAAGATCTTACAGGGATAACATTTTTATATAGTAACTTAAAGAAATTCAATTCAATAAAAGAGAAACATTTCACCATACATACAAACCATATTTTGCAAAAAAAAAAAAACATTCCCAGTCAGAATCAATTACTTGCTAAGACTGTTGTAGTGAAATTTATAATAATAATGGTTGCCCCTCGAGGATGGCCGGCCCAAGGGCCACCCATGCGTAAATTTGTTTAAAGTGTAGAAGCTGTCGCCAACACAACAATCACACCCTAAGTTAATGAATTGCATGACCCAATGTCAAGGAATAGTCCAAGAAGACCAGACAACGCACTGGCTAACCATTATCCAGGAACATGATTTGCAAATTCATTAACATCCAGGTTCTCAATTACTGCTGGGTAGACAGAGGCATATGGCATAAAGAAACTTGCCCATAGTTTCACCCTACCCAGGAATCAAACTCAAGACCACTTGTTTGCAAGGCAAGCATGCTGACTGTTACACCACAGGTGATATAAAACTTTTATACTTTTATCCTGTTCGCCACTGATTGGCTCGCTGGCGGCTTGGGCGGTCGGCCATGTCTTTGTTACGCACTGTTGGCAAGTACTGGCTCTTGAATGTACCTGTACCTGCTCCAGTGTTGGTCAAGTCTGGTTTTGAAAGAGCTCACACTCAGTGCTATCATAACACTCTCTGGTGAATTGTTCCAAGAGTTTATAATTCTCACTCCGAAAAAATTTTCTCACAATTTTCTGGACTTGTGGCTTCTTCAACTGCCTCAAGTCTTCAGTGTACAGGGTGGCAATGATTGTGTGGAGCACAGTGTGTGTGTGTGTGTGTGTCAATTAGATTGTTCTGCTAAGAATGAGTTCTTCAATATGAAATTGGATTATTTTCTCTCATATTTGGAGCTAATTTATAAATCTTAACACTTTTGAAAAGTGATTACAGTATCTATTTTAGCTTGTATTTCCTTTAATTACCTGTTTTTCATATATTATGCATCATCTCTAGAGCAGTGTGAAAGCTCTGTTACGCGAGTTTTTTTAGGCAGTCCTAATTTAACTCTTGAAACTTGAGGTTCTGTACATTGATTGTATAGAGGATGTTAGTGAACGAAGTGTCAGACGGATGGACACAAGCCAAATAATGAATACCAAGTCACATATGCATACAGTACTACAAGATACAAAAGGCATAGTGTACTCACTAGGAAACAGAGCCAGACTGATGGAAGTGAGCCAGATGACAATCAAACACATCTTGGCGCTTCTCTCTGACAGTGCTCGGTCGTCCAGCGCCTCACTGATGTAAAGGTAACGCTCCAGGGACATGAACGTCAAGATGAACACTGATGTCTGGAGGAGACACAAGTATGACAGAACATGGAGGGGGCAGGGAAGGGGAGAGGGCAGGGAAGGGAAGAGGGCAGGGAAGGGAAGAGGGCAGGGAAGGAAGAGGGCAGGGAAGGGAAGAGGGGCAGGGGAAGGGAAGAGGGCAGGGAAGAGGGGGAAGGGGGGGAGGGCAGGGAAGGGGGAAGGGGAGGGGGGGAGAGGGCAGGGAGGGGGGAGGGGCAGGGGAGGGGGAGGGGACATGGAAGGGAGGGCGAGAGGACAGGAAGGGAGGGCGAGAGGACAGGGAAGGAGGGAGGAGAGGACAGGGAAGGGAGGGCGAGAGGACAGGGAAGGGAGGGCGAGAGGACAGGGAAGGGAGGAGAGGACAGGGAAGGGAGGGCGAGAGGACAGGGAAGGGAGGGAGAGAGGACAGGGAAGGGGGAAGATGGAAGGGCAGGGAAGATGGTAGGGCAGGGAAGATGGAAGGGAGGGCGAGGGACAGGGAAGGGAGGGCGAGAGGACAGGGAAGGGAAGAGGACAGGGAAGGAGGGAAAGAGGGCAGGGAGGGGGAGAGAGGAGGGGGAGGGCAGGGAGGGAGAGGGGCAGGAAGAGGGAGGCAGGTAGGGGAGTTACATTGTGAGAGCAGGCATTGGAGAGGGGGAGTTACTTGTGAGAGGGCAGGAGTTAAGAGTTACTTGTGAGAGGGCAGGCAGAGGGCAGGGAGTTACATTGCAAGGGAGGGAGTTACATTGTGAGAGGGCAGGAGGGGAGGGAGTTACATTGTGAGAGGGCAGGGCAGGAGAGGGGCAGGAGTTAGTGAGAGGGCAGGAGTTACATTGTGAGAGGGCAGGGGAGTTACTTGTGAGAGGGCAGGGGGAGTTACATTGTGAGAGGGGCAGGGAGGAGTTACATTGTGAGAGGGCAGGAGGGAGTTACATTACATTGTGAGAGGCAGGAGGGAGTTACATTGTGAGGGCAGGGAAGGAGGGGAGTTACATTGTGAGAGGGCAGGGAAGGAGGAGTTACATTGAGAGGGCAGGGAATGGAGGGACATTGTGAGAGGGCAGGAGGAGAGTTACATTGTGAGAGGGCAGGAGGAGAGTTACATTGTGAGAGGGGAGGGGGTTACATTGTGAGGAGGGCATTGTGAGAGGAGGAAGGAGTTACATTGTGAGAGAGGGCAGGAGAGTTACATTGGAGAGGGGAAGGGAGGGGAGTTACATTGTGAGAGGGCAGGGAGGGGAGGGGAGTTACATTGTGAGAGGGCAGGGAAGGGAGGGGAGTTACATTGTGAGAGGGCAGGGAAGGGAGGGGAGTTACATTGTGAGAGGGGAGGGAGGATAGGAGGGTTACATTGTGAGAGGGCAGGGAGGAGAGGGGGAGCTACCAGATGCTTGTGCCCATTATGGATAGTAACTTCTCAACTAAGGATAAGGTCAAGGAGAAGAGAAATTAAAGATTCAGATCACCTGAAAATTAACCACCCTAAAGTGAACCTAACCGACCTTAACCTAACCTAACCATCCCTAACTCACCCTAATCTAACCAACCATAATCTAACCTACCCTACCCTAAACTAACCTAATTAACCTTCGAGTAGACAGGTATGTGCAAGGTGATGAAGACGGGTGCGGGCAATACTAAATGATACTGGATTGATAAAAAAAATAAGATTTTGGTAATAGAATAAAAGTAGAATAATAAAAAATGACTAATAAGAATGACAAGACAGTTACAAGGTCGATAGGTAAATAGAGAAGACTGTTAAACATGAGTGCATAGAGAAATAAATACAGATGATAAAGATAGATAAAAAGAAATAAACATAACAGATAGATAAAAAGATGACCCCAAAACAATTATGACATATATAAAGTGATAGAGATAGAGTATTGATATAGGGACAAATATATATATAGTAAATTATATAAAAACATGAATCTAGGTAAACAAACCAATTAGACAATAAGACAGGGGACCCACCTCTGAGGAAACGAGTGCTAGGATCCCAGCAAAGGTACACAGATAGGATGAGGCCCAGTGGAGGGCGTAGGAATGAAACTTGCCTCTTGTTCTGACATCCTCCACGCCTACCACCACCAGATACACACCCATCAGCAGGTCTGCAGCTAGGGAAGGCGAAGGACACCAGGTAAACTGTTTATTGGTATGTTACAGTCTCATGAGGATGGTAAAGTGATATATATCCCCACCCTTACCTGCCAGGTTCTTGATGAAAAGCTTTAGTATCTTGTTGTCATTCCTGGAGATGGCTCGACAGCAGATAACCAAGATGTTGCCACAGACCGTGAAAGCTGCCACCACCCACACGCCCACCCGCAACACCCACCATCCCATCAGATTACGTGAATTTGACACCCCTGCCAAAGCAAAGCAAAAAGCAGTGTTGATGTTTTGATGACAATGATGATCTGCTGCTATGATGATGATCATGTTCTCATCATAATGGTGATATTTTGTACCAATTATGGTCGATGTTCTGATGGCCATGGATGATGAGATGGGTGCAATGGTGGTGATGTAATGGTAATGGTGGTTTTCTGAGAGCAATGATGATGTTTTGAACACTTACATAATGTTAAGGGGACAAGGTAATGATGTAAAGTAGAAAATTATGTTCTGGGGGCAAGGATGATGTTCCAGAGGTAAGGATGATGTTCTGGGGCCAAGGATGATGTTCTGGGGAAAAGATGATGTTCCAAGGGTAAGGAAGATGTTCTGAAAGCAATGGTGATGTTCTGGGAGCAATGGTGATGTTCTGGTGGTTAAAATTATTTTTTGGGGTAATGATCTTATCCCTGGGACAAAAATAATATATTGGTGGCAAGGACGACTCTATGTTGGCAAGAGTGACATTCTGAGGACAATGGTGATCCTCTGAGGACAATGGTGATCCTCTGGGGACAATGGGGACCCTCTGAGGACAATGGTGATCCTCTGAGGACAATGGTGATCCTCTGAAGACAATGGTGATCCTCTGAAGACAATGGTGATCCTCTGAAGACAATGGTGATCCTCTGAAGACAATGGGGACCCTCTGAGGACAATGGTGATCCTCTGAGGACAATGGTGATCCTCTGAAGACAATGGTGATCCTCTGAAGACAATGGTGATCCTCTGAGGATAATGGTGATCCTCTGAAGACAATGGTGATCCTCTGAGGACAATGGTATCCCTCTGAGGACAATGGTATCCCTCTGAGGACAATGGTGATCCTCTGAGGACAATGGTGATCCTCTGAAGACAATGGTGATCCTCTGAAGACAATGGTGATCCTCTGAGGATAATGGTGATCCTCTGAAGACAATGGTGATCCTCTGAGGACAATGGTATCCCTCTGAGGATAATGGTGATCCTCTGAAGACAATGGGGACCCTCTGAGGACAATGGTATCCCTCTGAGGACAATGGTGATCCTCTGAGGATAATGGTGATCCTCTGAAGACTTTGGGGACCCTCTGAGGACAATGGTGATCCTCTGAGGACAATGGTGATCCTCTGAGGACAATGGTGATCCTCTGAAGACTTTGGGGACCCTCTGAGGACAATGGTGATCCTCTGAGGACAATGGTGATCCTCTGAAGACAATGGGGACCCTCTGAAGACAATGGCGATCCTCTGAGGACAATGGTGATCCTCTGAGGATAATGGTGATGATATGAAGACAATGGTGATCATCTGAAGACAATGGGGACCCTCTGAAGACAATGGTGATCCTCTGAGGACAATGGTGATCCTCTGAGGATAATGGTGATGATATGAAGACAATGGTGATCATCTGAGGACAATGACAATGGTGACTCATGACAACAAGCCAGTCTTAATTCTTATTCCTACTTGTACTATTGCTATGATTTATGGTCATATATCACAGCTGACTGGCTGAGAAAATCATAGAACAAGAGAGAGGTTTCTTACCATCAAAGTTAGGCAGACATTGGGGAACTTTTGGTACGTAACTGCAGTAGCGAAATGTGTGGAAATATCTGAGAAGAAAAGGCATATATAATTGACAAGTTACATGGTAAACAAAACCGATTAAAATAACTATTAGCATGATAATAACACACATGAAAATGTACAGTCACGAAAAACAGTCGTCAGTCCTGCGTCCATCATGAACTTATGAATCTGAGACAACACACACACACACACACACACACACACACACACACACACCACCATCTACAGGGCCAACAATGTGTGATGTCTCGGATTCAGAGGTTCATGAGTCTCAGGGTTCATGGGTGGATGGAGGACTGATGAGACTTTTTTCCGTGACAGTACGTTTGGCTCCACTCTTGCGTTTACCACTTAGTGTTGCCAATTCTCTCTCTTACTGAGCTGTGAACATCAAGTTTGTACAGTACAGTATTACAATAAATATGTGGTGCCTACTTCCTGATTGTTTTGATTGCTAATTAATCCCTTCAGTATGTCTTCTTATCTATTTTATTCTGGCTACCATCAGACGATTTTCTTCAGCTGGGGAAGTTCCATCTCATAGTCAAGGGGTTAAACAAAACTTCACTGCTTCTACAAGATACACTGTAGATTCAATCATATCCATAAGTCATTTGCTCATAAATGCCCCATTTTGCAAAGGAACACCTTACTTAGAACATGAATTCATCCCCCTCTCCTCCTATTGTAACTTAAGTATTTTCATCTGGCTAGCACTAGACGATTACACTCAGCTGATGAAACCCAGTTGGTATTGTCAAAGCGTTATTCTGTATTGTAATCTCTCCCAGTATCCACCCCCCCCCCCAAAAAGAAAGACAACTACCCCAACAAACCCTTCTGCTCTCCCTCCCACTCAAAAGTGAACACACGGGGCCCCCAAATTCGCGGGGGTTAGGCTCTCAAAATGGCAGCGAATCGCCAAATCTGCGAATAACATTTGCTGACCGGAGTTTCTTGTGTACAAAGAAATGTATATTCCCTTTATGTGTTCGCCCTTAGGACAATTATTTCTTTTACCTGTATTGTAAATATGTGCGTAGACACACACACAAAACACATACAAATAAATAATAATATGAAAATACTCTTACAAATAATCAGAAACAAATTTAAAGAAAATGTTTACATACCCAGAGTGACGCCGAACATTACCCGACGCAGCCAAAGCTTGACCCACGTAGGTGTGAGGCGTCAGTTGTGTCTCAGCGCAATATAACTTGCATTGTTGGAATCCTTGCAAGACAGCGAATAATTTTAATATATACATCATATATATATTACACAAGAGATAAAAATTTAAGTCCTATAATAGGGGCGGGTCGGGTCGTGTTGCGTCTCTGTAACAAAGCGTGTTCGGCACTCGGGCCTTCGTTGTTGGGCAACATAAATCGGACAGTGATTACATAAGATCATCAAGATCGTTTTAGTGATGTGAAAGTGTAAATCGATGAAGGATTTTTAATGCTAGATGCAATTGTATTTTTGAAAACTCAATCTCCACCGAGTTGGAAGTACAGCCCAGGTCAAGAGGCATACAACCACAAAATCATTGCCATATGATAAAACTTTTATTTTATTTTTTTACGGAGTTGTGGTCACGGCTGTGATAAAAGCCAACCAGGGAGTGTAGTACAGGTTCTGTGCCTTTAGTTAAATCAGTTCATAGTGTCATCAATGACTGCGGAAGAGGTTGTAAATAACTTAAAGTGAATACAAATTGGCAAGCTAGCTGGAAAGGCACCACTGCCAGCTGAAACCAAGTAGTGTTATAGGTGCCACAGAGACTTTAAATGTTATTTTGTTTGTGTGCTTTCTCATGGACTGAAACTGTGCCTACAATACACCATTCACAGGAAGATACAGTGTACACAGTGATAGCACAAAGAGATATAGTCATCAATGAGAACAGGAAAAGTATAAGGAAATACAGTACTAGTTAAAATAAAAAAATAAATAAAATCAACAAACTTGACTACTGTATCCGTAAAGGCATTCTATTACCGCCCCTAAGAAAGCTTATTTTATTTTTCTGTGTTTCTAAAGGACTGCATAGTCAAGGTGAAAGAGGCGATTGCAAGCCATAAGGAAACGAGTTCCCTAGGGACGAAAATAGATGAAGCTGGAGCTCTGCTGGTTACCAAACTAGAGCAAGTTGGGAAAGAGATCCTTGCTAAGACTGAGGAAGTAGCCGACAGAATGGAGGTGGTTGCTAAGAGCAGTTATGCTGAGGCATTAACAGGGCCACGGGGGGTGGCAGAAAGTAATGCAGGATCAGAACAGGTTCTACAGCAGCCAGGGACTCTGAAGAAGTGTGTCGAAGAAATGAAAATTAACGGACCTACTGTTTCGGGAGAGGAGGAACAACGGGAACGTTTCCAGCACAGGAACAATGTAATAGTTTTTGGAGTCCCCGAGAGCCAGGCGAAGGGAACTGAGAGTAAGGTAACACACGAGAAGATGCAGTTTCAGGATATTTGTACAGAGGTTCTGAAGATGCCATCAACCCCACAGGTTATGAGGAGGCTGGGACAAAAGCAGGGGGATAAGCCTCGCCCCCTCAGGATCACACTAGTGAGCGAGGAGGAGAAATGGGAGGGGTTATTAGGCAGGCAAAAAACTTAGCAAGGAGCGAGGCATCTTGGAGTGTATTCATTCACCCAAATCTCACGGTATTGCAGAGGGAACAGCACAAGAAGCTCCTGCAGGGCTTGAAGCAGAAGAGGGAGGAGTCAAGGAGGAATGGGGACGGGTGTACCTGGGTTATATTCAGGGGGAGGGTAGTGGAAGCAAGTGTGCCGACATAGGGCCAAGGGGCAGCAGCGCACCTTCCACCCGTTCTATCCCCCACCCGGGAGTTGGCACCAGCTCCGCCTACCAGATAGGAGGAGGCGAGTGCTGTGTAAACAATGACATTTCTAACCACCCCCTGCAAAATACAGTGTACTTAGCAAATGCTGCAGCTTCTGAGAATGGGGGTGAAGGGAGAATTACTTTTAAGAGCAGAGACGTTACCAAGAACAAATTCTGGCTTGAATGTCATGTACACTAATACTGACACATTTCTTGATGAGAGAGGAGTTTGAAACACTACTGAAAGTACACCAACCAGATATTGTGGGAGTTGTCGAACTGTTGTACAAGAACAGGAGAATCGACCTAGAGGTATGTAAGTTCAGTATTGCTGGATATGACTCATTTACGAACCTTTCTCAAGAAACTTGCAAGAGGGGTGTGGTTATCTATGCTAGGCAAGATCTTAGAGCCAGCCAGGCGAGGGTACAGGAAGAGGATGTTTTTGAAGAGTCCAAGTGGTGTAAAATTAAATTAAAGGGAGGGGACTTACTTATCGTCGGGTGTATCTACAGATCCCCAAACTGTGGCCCACTAAATCAAAGGAACTTAGAGCCTTAATAGACAACGCTGCGATGCTCAACCCTAGCCACCTCCTTATCATGGGGGACTTTAACTATGGCGACATCGACTGGAGAAACGAGTTCACCCCAAATGACTTGAATAACCCTGCTACTCTTTTTGTAGAAACTCTGAGAGATAATTTTCTGTTCCAACATGTTAGAGACCCGACACATTACAGAGGGGAGCAAACACCCAAGCCACTAGACCTCATCATAACAAACGAGGAGGGTATGGTGGCCAAACTGGAACACCTTGCCCCAGTTGGCACCAGTCACCATATAGTGTTGTCATTCAGATTTAACTGTTACCTAGTTCAGGATAAGGCCAGGCCAAGGTGCAAATATTACAAGGGAAATTACAATGGGATGAGGGAAGAGATAAGGGGTATCAACTGGCCTGACTCATTAAGGCACAAGAATGCAGACGCTATGCTGAATATCATAACTAGTAAAGTGACCCATTCGATTGATAAATGTATACCCAACATCAAACCCAGTGCCTCTAGGAATACGAGGGGATCCCTACACATGAACCACGCGGTGGTCGACAAAGTTAAGAAGAAAACCCAGAAATTCAAGACGTGGGTTGGGTCAAACGATGAGCAGGACAGGAGAATGTATGCAAGAGCCAGAAACCAAGCAAAGATAGAGTGTAGAAGGGCTGAATAGGAGTTCCAGAGGCTGGTTGCAAGCGAGGTCAAGTCAAACCCAAAGGCATTTTACCGCTATGCAAAGTCGAAATTAAAAACGAAAGTAGGAGTATCAAACCTGAGGCTTGAAGATGGTAGTTACGCAGATTCTGACCAGAATAAAGCTGAGGCATTGAACAGCTTCTTTTCCTCGGTGTTCACAAGAGAGGATGCGATTAACCTTCCTGCGTTTGAGGACAGACGGTTCGACACAGCACTGACCCACATTGTGTTCACAGAAGAGGTTATTAGAAATAAACTGTCCAGGCTAAAGGTCCATAAGAGTCCCGGCTCTGACATGGAGCATCCTAGAGTGCTAAGAGAGTTGTGCAACGAGCTTGCCGAGCCCCTGAAGATCCTGTTTTGTAAATGCCTGGATGAACAAATGATCCCCAGTGAATGGAAAGTGGCTTATGTGAGTCCTATCTTCAAGAAGGGCGATCGGCACTCCATGAACAACTATAGACCGGTGAGCCTGACCAGCATAATATGTAAAGTACTTGAGAGTATTATAAGAGATGCCGCAATGGAACATCTACTACGAAACAACCTTGTAAAGGATTGCCAACACGGTTTTATGCCGGGGCGCTCCTGCTTAACGCAATTGCTCAATGTATTGGATATTTGGACCCATATTATGGAACAGGGTGGTAATATCGACAATATTTACCTAGGTTTTGCCAAGGCTTTCGACAGTGTACCCCACGAAAGGCTGAAAATCAAACTGGAAGGGTACGGAATTTGGGGAAATGTCCTAGCGTGGATAGAAGACTTTCTACATGACCGCAAGCAGTGTGTGGTGATTAATGGCACGAAATCATCATCCATACCTGTCACAAGCGGGGTACCACAGGGCAGTGTATTGGGCCCACTGTTGTTTGTTTGTTTCATAATGACATGCCTGACGTTGTACACTCCTCCATACAAATGCTTGCCGATGACGCCAAGTTATTTCGGGAAATCAAGAACCAAGCGGACTGTGAAGAGCTGCAGAAGGACCTCTGTGGGCTCCAAGAATGGTTGAAGAAATGGCCGCTGAGATTCAATGTCACGAAGTGTAAGAGGATGCACCTGGGGCGTACCAACGGTAAGGAGGCGTACCATATGTCCCAACGGGACGAAGAAACTGCACTATTTGAGACTGAATGTAAGAAGGACCTAGGTGTGTATGTTGACAATGAGCTGAAGTTCTCGGGCCAATGCGAGAAGAAGGTAAATCAGGCAAATAAATAATTGGGTCTTATAAGAAGGACGTTCAGATATCTAGACGGTCCGTCCCTTGTAATGATCTACCAAGAGTGAAGTGCTTCCCCTTCTGGAGTACTGTCACCCCGTCTGGTCCCCGTGATATGCTAGGGACTGTCAGTTGGTTGAAAATCTTCAAAGAAGGGCCACCAGACTGGTGCCTGCACTTTGGTACCTCAGCTACCCTGAGAGATTGGAGCGCCTGAACTTGCCTAGCTTATATTACAGACGGGCAAGGGGTGACTTAATTGAGGTGTACAAGCATCTCAAGGGGCACTACTCAGTCGAGTGTCCTTACTTGGAGCTGGCGGACGCTCGCCCCACAAGGGATCACAGCTCAAGATTGAAGAAGCCGCAAGTCCAGAAAACTGTGAGGGCAAACTTTTTCGAAGTGAGAGTTGTGAACTCTTGGAACGATCTACCAGAAAGTGTTGTGACAGCACCGAGTGTGAGCTCTTTCAAGACAAGACTTGACCAACACTGAAGCGGGTTCAGGTACATTTAGGAGCCAGTGCATGCCTAGTACTTGCCAACAGTGCGTAACAGAGACGTGACCGATCGCCCAAGCGGCTAACAAGCCGATCAGTGGTGAAGAGGATAAAAGATTTAAGTACACGTTTTTCAACTGGTATTTTTGGGTAGAAATACATAACTTTCTTCATTTATTTTTACTCATTTACATGCACAAACCATCCTAAATACATATTGTGAGAAAAGTAAAAGAAATAATTGTCCTAAGGGCAAACCTGTATTGTACCGATATATACTAAATATTTACAATTTTTTTGTCTAGTGCAAACTATAGCATGTTTCTACTCAAATTAATCATTATCTTACAAGAATTCCTGCAATGTAAGTTATCTTCTAAGTCAATTCAATGACATTTTATAAGCGAAAAACTCCCTCTGTATGACTGAAACGACGTCTGGGTCAGTAATCTCCACGCCGATTGGTCAATACCACACCCCCTGCCTTCAACCACCGACTCACCCATACTCTCGCCTCCACCTCTGTAGCCTCCATCCTCTACGCCACCTTGGGCAAGCAGAAGTCGCCAGTCGTCAATGTAAGTGTTATTTAAGAGGTATTTCCTATTTTTTTCCTTTATTAACTGTTTTTCTTTATTAATGGGTAAGGTAAAAGAATATTTATTGTGACAGTTATATGATTTTTCCCTAACCTGTACCATTTACGTGGATTCTTATGGGAAAAATATGTTTAATTTACGGGTTTTTTAATTATGCGGTGATTTTCAAGAACGTAACCCCCGCATAAAACGAGAGGTGGGTGTACAGGTAAAGGAAATTACTGTCTCTAGAACGAATGGCTCCCTGTCCCAGCCGCGAAAATGCAGACAATTTTAAAACTACCCACAGAAATTCTTGGGTACATCCAGGGTGTCATGCGCGAATAATAGAGGACCGTGAAATAAAAATCCGCGAACTTGGGGGGGAGGGGGGCCTATATACTTTGAATTCAAACGTCAGAGTTCGGGGGCTCACACCTCAGTTAGAGAGAACATTGGCATTGTTAACTGGTAAACTTGGGAGTGGAGCCAACTGTACATAATAGATGGGTAATATGCCAGGTAAATCAAGTTCATAAAAATAACCAATCATATAAGATGAATGATAAATAGCTCATCTGAAGTAGAGAGATTAATGTTTTACTATAACTGCTGCAACTGCCAAATATTTGAATGATTCTTATTTACTTTATTTTCTTCATACCAGGTCAGCGTACCAGTCAGTCAGTCAAGCGGTTGGTCTGTCCTCTGTGCTATTATAAGCCTCAGTGCATTCCCTTGCTGGTCTGTGGTGTAAACTAAATCCCACTTTTATTTACTGCGTTTCAGTTATTTATTTTTTTGGTTCTATTCCTCGCTAATATAGGTATCAAGAATATTAGTGAATCAGACAAAAGAATACAGTATTAGCAAATTAGAATCAAGAATATCAGTGAATCAGTTAAAAACATCAGTGTATCAGAATCAATAATATTAGTGAATTAAACTTCGATATTATGCATCTTAACTGACATCCAATCAGTAATCTTTCCTATCATTCAATCACCTCAGAAATATAGATAGATATATTGATAGACAGAGATAAAAAGTTATAGACAGATACAAAGATTGCTATAGATACATAAAGATATACAAGTGATCGGGGGCACCTTCGTGCCCAGTGAAAATTTGAACGCTCGTGCTTGGCGAATGAGGGTGCGCCAAGTCAGTAGACTTGCATGGTTAATTAGGGTGCGCCAAGTCCGTAGACTTGCATGGTTAATTAGGGTGCGCCAAGTCCGTACTTGCATCGTTTTCCATCGTAAATAAAATGGTTAATTAATGCCTTCCTAAAGAAAACATCGACATGGGACCAGGTTTGTTCCGCCCTACGAATTTTTTGCGATTCTTCCACCAAGTTTGATGAAAAACGATTGTGCCGTTTTGGCTGCCCAGAACAGACAGACAGATGCCTAGTCCTATAGTATACAGTATTAGATAAAGAGAGATAGTTACACAGAAAAATATAAAGATAGTCAGTGACAGAGACACAAAGATAGATAGTTACAAAGCGAGATAAACACAAAGACAGATAAACAGATATATACAAAGACTAATTCTACAGACAGTTAAGGAAATATTTACACAATCTTCAGTTTTGACAGGAAACTGAAGTGGTCCTCGCTGATGTCAAGTAGTTCCAGATCTTCCAACTTTCTGTAAAATGTAGTACTGTAAATGCTTGACCAAAATCTGTAGAGTAACTTACTTATACATGAGAGAGAGAGAGAGAATCATAATAAAATACGTATTGTAGTTTTAACACAGTTTAATGGACATTTTCCACATTAATTCATTATGGCCCACAAAGCTACTGGCCAGTTGTTTGCTAACGTTCATATTGAGTAATTTTCTTTGAAGTTCTGTTGGCATGTGAATCAAAACATTTTACTTATCATATCAATGAATTAAAAACTGAAAGATGTACTTACAGCATATACAGTGAGCTTAACCCTCGAAAAAGATCTCTCACTGACGTCAGTAGATTCCCAGACATACTTCTGTAAATGAAATGTTTTGTAAAAACCGATAATTAAAAATAAATTATTGGTGTAGTCTCTGAGGAAATTGCACGGTTTTATCCTTCAGTGGCCTTCTCTTGACTGCTTTACACCGACCTGCTTCTGTAGAGTGAATTGAATGTCTTTGAAGTGATCTTAACGATAATGCTCAACATTGTTGTATTACGTTTACTTTTATCCTCTTCACCACTGATCGGCTTGTTAGCCGCTTGGGCGGTCCGTCACGTCTTTGTTACGCACTGTTGGCAAGTACTGGCTCTTGATTGTATCTGTACCTGCTCCAGTGTTGGTCAAGTCTGGCCTTGAAAGAGCTCACACTCGGTGCAGTCACAGCACTCTCTGACAGAATGTTCCAAGTACTGTATATACAGTATATGTTTGTGTGTGTGTGTATGTGCGCGTGCATGCATGCATGCGTGCGTGCGTGCGTGCGTGCGTGTGCGTGTGTGTGTGTGTGTGTGTGTGTGTGTGTGTGTGTGTGTGTGTGTTTCTTAAGTTCTGGATATTTTATTCTCTAATGTAAATTAACATTATTATTTTCAATAAGTGTAGTATCAGTAATTTAAAATCCCATTAGTTTTTTGACTGTACATTCTTGGTCAGGACCGCAGACAAGTGGAGCTGACCTTCTACAGTAGTAACACAAGTATTACTACTATTGCTTCTGCTACTACCACCCTGACCACTTCTATCACCATCACCACAGCCACCATTACTACTACTAATGCAACTACCACCACCCCGATCACTTTTATCACCATCACCACAGCCACCACAACCACTGCCACCACTACTACTGCCATTAAAACTACCACCACCACCACCACCACCACCACCACCACCACTAGCAACTCTATCATCTCCACTACCACCAGCGGTACTCACAGGGACTGCAGGTTGGTGAGGGTGCGGAATGCTGTCTTCGCTACCACAGATATCTTGTTGTCCTGTAACTGTCTGTTTGAGAAAAAAGGATAACAGTTATATACACCATATCCAAAACATCTCCATGAAATACTCAATAACTTAGATAATAGGGGAGAAAGGAGTGTCTGGATGAGTGTCTGGATTATCAGGGGAAATTAACCAGAAATAAAATACAATAACTCACTTATATGAATCAGGACAATTTACACACTATTCTTCTGCCTATCAATGAAGTAATGTTTGAGCACTACCTATATAAAGACCCTCTTATCTCCCATCTCTTTATAATTATGTCCTCTGTTTTTTCGATGCTTGGGCAACATACTGAGTATTTGTGTACCATTCTAGTTTCCAGACTGTGAAACAAGAAAAATCACTGGATGAGGGAGCGAGAGGACTTCCCCCTCTCACCCTCCTTATCTCTCACCTCCCGGCCATCATTTGTTTACATTCTGTTTGTTTGTATAGTTGCAACAGAGAATATACATTGTTACATACAAACATACAGTATATGCATCATACATACTTACATGCATACATACATACATTCAGTCATACAGTACAGTATAACACTTTTTGACAGTGTCAGAAGTTCACAACAAAAGAAAAAAATACAATGTTGTATAATAATGTTGCATACAGCATTGTGGTGTGTGATGACCTCACAATACCCGTAAAATATATTACTCATTACTTGTGTTGTGGGATGTGTTGCAAACTTCCACAACACTGAAAGTAAAACATGCTGTGTCATAACTTTACACTAAAGGAGGGAATGCTAACCCCTTGTGAGGTTTGATGCATTTAAGCTCATAACATTATAATTAAATGATTTTAATCCTTGTGTAATCTGGTATACAGTATATTAAACTCACAATACAGATACAGTATAGTATATGTTAATAATCAACTAATTTCTTTAGTGGGGTACAGTATACTTGCAATGTTCTAACAGCAGTCAGGTTGAACAGGAGTCTCTCAGTGATGGTGGTGAGGGAGTTGTTGTTGAGGTACCTGAGTTGAAGTAAACACTGTCAACACACACACACTATTCTTGGTTCTCTTATATGATCCTATTAACTAGTAAGAACCTCATGAATACCTGCCAAACATATAGTATTTAAGTAAAGATCTTGTAACACAAAAACACACAATACTGTATATGCTATTTTTATATACTGTATATACCCTGTATTGCGCTGTATATATAACACGCTGAATAGGGTTATCACTGATTGAGCTTTATAATCGCAATTGGCATTATTTGCCAAATATGGTACTATATATGGTAGGTTAGGTGAGGTATGAAGCTATTTAACTATTCAATGGAATTACCGCCTTCAATATAGCAAGGACTTCCCTCTCTAACCAGCACAAGGAGAAAGTTTCACAATTTTCTGGAGACAGGAAGTATGACTAACAGTCCACAGAGTGAATGTCCAGGTGTTTTAGAAGTAGCTGTAGTTAATGGTCAAGAGATTATCCAAAGCAGCCCTAGAAAGTTTATTAATCTCCATACCTCACATGAACTCCACCTACCAAAGTCAACAGTTTGTTAGTGCACAACTTCCTTAACGAGAATTTCCCAGGTAGATGAAGTGGACCTGATATACCAGTGTAGGTGTGATGCCCTTAGACTTCTCCCTGTGGGAGAATGTCAAGGATTATATTTTCCAATATCTTGTTACTGACATTGAAACACTTTGTGCACGGATAACCAATTGTCAGTAATGTGATGAGGGATATGTTTGACATGTGGATCGAAGTAGAATAGTGCTTGGATGTGCTACGTGCTACTAAAGTGCAATTTTTGAGGTGTATTAAAAAACAAAAATATTTATAATTTAAGGAAAAAATAAGATACAGTACCTGCATCTTTGCACTGTACAATGTCTATTTTGGTTTTGTTGTGCAATAATAGAATTTTAAGTGAAATAAAACATTGAGTAATGCAAACATTTGGAAATTACAAGATCTTGACTTACTGTATATATAATATGGTATATATAAAATGTTACATACTGTAATTTTAAAAAGTATACCTTACACAAAAAACATACAAGTTTCGACACTGGTATTGGACACATGTGAACACAAGGCGATCTGGCCAGACAATGACTTACAGGCATATAATATAAATAAATAATAATAAAGAAAACGAAGCTCATGGTAAACATGAAAAAAGAACGAATGAAGGAACCTGGACTTTCAACAAGAGAGCACAGAAAGATGCGGGTCTTTTACTTTTTTTTTTACTTTCATCCTCTTCGCCACTAATCAGTTCGTTAGCCGCTTGGGCAGTCGGTCATGTTTGTTACATACTGTTGGCAAATACCGGGCATGCACTGGCGCCTGAATATATCGGAACCTGCTCCAATGTTGGTCAAGTCTGGCCTTGAATGAGCTCACACTCAGTGCCGACTCAACACTCTCTGGCAGATTGTTCCAATAGTTCATAATTCTCACTCCGAAAAACTTTGCCCTCGCATTTTTCTGGACTTGGCTTCTTCAACCTTGAGCTGTGACCCCTTGTGGGGTAGACGTCCGCCAGCTCCAGGTATGTGCATTCAACCGAATAGTGCCCCCTGAGATGTTTATACACTTCGATTAGGTTGTCCATTGCCCGTCTGTAGTATAAGTTAGGTAGTTGCAGGCGCTCTAATCTCTTTGGGTAACTGAGGTTCTGTACAGCAGGCACCAGTTTGGTGGCCCTCCTTTGGACATTTTCAACCAATTGACAGTCTTTAGCATACCTCGGGGACCAGACAGGGTGACAATACTCCAGACGGGGAAGCACCTCACTCTTGATGATCGTGGCAAGAGACGAACCATCCAGATATCTAAACGACCTTCTTACAAGACCTACTAGTTTCGTTGCCTAATTCACCTTCTTCTCACATTGTCGACATACACACCCAGGTCCTTTTCACATTCGGTCTCATTTAATGCAGTCTCTTCATCCTGTTGGGACGTGTGATACGCCTCCTTACTGTTGGTGCGACCCAAGTGCATCCTTTTGTACTTCGTGACATTTGTATCTTAGGAGCCATTTCCTTGACCATTCTTGAAACTCAAAGATCTTTCTGTAGCTCTTCACAGTCTGTTTGGTTCTTAATATTAGTAACAACTTGGCATCGTCAACAAACATTTGTATGCAGGAGTGTACAGGTATAGCTTCTGGCATATTATTAATGAAGCAGACAAACAACAACGGGCACAATATACTGCCCTGTGGTAACCCCGCTTGTGACAGGTATGGATGATGATTTCGTGCCATTAATCACCACACACTGTTTGCGGTCATGCAGAAAGGCTCCTATCCACGCTAGGACACTTCCCGGTTTGATTCTCAGCCTTTCATGGGGTATGCTGTCGAAAGCCTTGACAAAATCTAGGTATATAATGTCGATATTTCTGCCTTGTTCTCAACAGTTGGACAGGAGAAGAAATAAGCACGAAGGCTAAAAACAAAACAATAGAAGAAAACAAAGAAAACATTTAAAATAAAATACTGTCAGTAAACAACATAGACGAAGATAAATAAATAAATAAATAAAACGTACTTACAAATTAGTGAGGTTTGGTAAGTGAGGGAAACTTTGATTATCCAGTGTTAGTTCATTGTGGGCCAAATTCCTGAAATAACAACAAAATAACGACCTGTACTGTACTGTACATGAAATGACTCACCATGCAATGAATGTCACATATGTAAATGAAACTCACAATAAATTAACTCCAATACAATAATACACTTTTAAATCCCACTGCTAACTTCTTCAGCTGTGGGCTGAGACAAATCAAAACAGACAAACGGCCATTACTTTTTTTTTTTAATTGCGGGCAGCAAGTCCGAAGAGCAATTCCGAATGTCGGATTAATTATCAGGAATATTGTCAGTTAATTATAGTCCAGTACGTTATTCTAGTTTGCAAAATAAACAAAATTATTTTGAATTAAGAAAATATTTGCAATACTGTACAGTATAATAATTTATTTATTGTTCAGTGTTTTACTATCAATCCAATTTTATCTTCGTAAGGTCGGGCTTAAAACTACTAAGTAATTCTTCCTCTCAAAATTGTAATTCTTGGTCTTTTTAAATTAAATTCAAGAATAACTTAGTGTTTTGTCTTTATCTGCCTTATATACAGTACTGTACTGTACTACTGTATGAATAAGGATATACTGTAACCTGGAATGGGGATAAACATATATTGGTCATTTTTCATGGTTTTTCATTTGTATTTTTTTTATAATTTAATGATATTAAAGGCATGATTTAATATACAGTAGTGTCTTACCGTTAATCAATTATGACACTTTTTTCCAACCTTGATTGTAAGTTAGGTTTGAACATTTCCTCTAAATATTTTTTGTAATCTAACCTAACTAACACTGGTACAGTAGTACCTACTCTATGCACCACCAGAACAACCACCCAAACAGTGAAATAACATGGAAAAAAAAATCCATGGTAATTATCAGCATCGGTCTCACAGGTGACACTTGTTGTAAACTATTGCCTCAACAATCTACCAAACATATTTTTTATCATCTTGGATCTTTCCGATATAATATTTTGGAGAACCGCAATTGACGTTACATTTATCTCACAAAAAAGTGTTTCTTATTGTACTGGAGGCTATGAAAGGATGTTTGCAGGAATGCAATGCTAGATAATTTGTGAAAAGTGCGACGGAGAGACGAAAAATCTTTGGAGTTGAAGGTAAACATATACATTTCTGTTGGAACTGGTTAGTAGGACATTTATATATTGGTTTTCTTTATTTTCTCATTTTAATTTACATATATTGTATATCAGAGACTTTCTGTTCATGTACAGTATAACTAGTTGGAACTTCCAGGATAAGTCTTCGGGTGGCGACCCACACATGAAGACTTACCCTGAAATGTTCCAATAACAATTCAGATTACTAAATAGTAACCCGAACCAAATCATTTGGTTTAAAATTTTTTAGTATGGCTCAGAGGGCGCTTTCAGGATAATGATAAGTAGCCCGAATGTATAAAAAAAATGGCCGAAAGCCCACTGGGAGATTGTGGACCTGTGCATCCCCCACCAACTTAATGCAGGGTGTCCCCGGGTTACGAACGGGTTCCGTTCCTGAGGACGTTCATAAGTCGGATTTGTATACAAGTCAGAACACATGCTACAGTGAGTTCTGCTATAACGCGTGTTTTGACAACGCGAATTGGCTCTAACGCGATTTATGAATAGAGGAACGATATTTGTGTAACGCGAACGCTTGTTTGCTGTAACGCGATTTTTGCTTACTATTTCTCCAATTTTGTGGTATTAACTGTGAATATGGTAAAGAAGAATATCTCCAAGAAGCGTTTTGGTGATCGCATTCCCAGTGATGATCGTAAAAGAAAGGCTATAACCCTTGAAGAGAAGCTCGATGTTATCAACCTCAAAATCACCCTTCTCCCCCATCAAGTTATATTCATATTTTTTCAAGGTAAAGTGTTACATTTACTGTATGATTTCATTATTAGATATGAATGCAACATTTATTTAGACTGTGCTATCCTTTGTGTTAGGCTAACTATTAAATTTTTTTTCGATTTCGAGTAGTAATCTGCACCTAACCCTATTTTCTCCATAAGCTCTGTTATTTCTATTACGCGAATTTCTATAACACGATGTTTTACAAGAACACAACTATCGCATTATAGCAGAACTGACTGTATATGCATACCGTACTTTAAAAAAAAAAAAAATCCAATTTACCATAGCCCAAGTCCTTATATACATCTAAAATCACTTAATTTAAGACAAAGGAAGAAATAGAATGACAAAATACCATAAATGAAAGTAAGTAATCAGGTAAATAAAATACTGTAAATTTCAAGTTTAAATATTAATAATAATAATAATAATAATAATTAACTGTTTATTGAAAGAGCTTGGCAGCCAGAAGGCTGAAAATATACAGTTACATATTTGGGGAATGGGTTTCGAATTACAAATAATATACTGGCGGGCGTTCGTAAGTCGGGGACCACCTGTTCTTTAGAACACATACCATCTCACACCAGCAGGAGAACTCAGTGACCAAGACCTTTCCTTGGGTTCAGTTTTTAAGAAAACAGATGATCTCTCATACCAAAATAACTTGATGAATATACCATACTAAATAAGCACAGTCCCCCTCTCCCCCTCCACAAGACTCCTCCCAGAGACCAACAGACAGACCGACTTTTCCAGACTTCACCTCCTGTAATTATATCTTACAAAAATAAACATCAATAAAGTCTCTAACTCTTTACCCTGTCACATACATGCCAACAAAATAACGAACAATAATTCAGTACAGCTGGCTTATGCAGCTCCAGAATTCTCCCAAATGGGTCCTCAATCTATATAGATCCTTTACATTCTGTGCTGATCTACAATACTGAACACTCTTCAGGTGAAATAAGCTGGAGTGTTAGTCTTAATGTGATCCCATTCTTGGTAAGTCATGAAGAATTGACAAAGTAGAAAAAAAAGTCGGTTTGTATAGAAGTCATACCAAGTCAGGTTTGTATACTCATGCTCCCTGAGGGACTGGTGTGTGAGCTAAGACAAGCCAGTCAATATAATGTACTCACAAGTCCTCGAATAATGATGTATTACACGTGAAAATTCAGGCTTCTAATTCTAAAAAGACTGTTGTATAAAATCATAGACAAATAACTGTAGAATAAGCCATGCCAAGTCAATATACTCACAGTTCCTGAAGTGCTGGTGTGTGGATGAAGCAAGTCAGGTCAACACGGTACAATCGGTTTCTATCAAGAAAGAGCCGCAGTAGTGTCCTCAAACCAAAACAATTCTTGTGATGTATTTCTTGTATGAAGTTTTTTGACAAATACCTGAAAGAAATGGTTTTAAAGCTTAAATGATTCTTTTATGCAGTTAGATTATTTTTAAACATAGAAAACTTGTAATACAGGTTAAAATAAAACGTAATACAGCTTTTATGTCAAGAAGTAAATACCTTTAGATAAATTAGGAGAAACTTTAAAAAACTTTGTAGTTTTTAATGGCAATTTTCTAAGTGGCATTCAAAGACTTCAGGAATAATCTTAATCATACACTATTACATGGCAACTATTTCCATACAGTTTTGCATGAACAGACAAGTGGACGAATAGATGGGTGGATGAGTAAAAAATTGTATGAATGGGTGGGTGGATGAATAAATGAATGAATGAAAAAAATACGAATGAATGGATAAATGGATGAATTAAGTTATGGACAGGAGAATGACTAGATGAATGTTTACATGGGTGGGTGGGTGGGTGGGTGAATTAATGGATCAATGCACAGATAGGCAGACAGGAATAGGTGACAGTCTTGATAAGTGTTCCAGTATGACAGTGAGTGGAGACTGGAGTGAGAATCAACAGGGAAGTATAACACTGTTCTGAAAAACGATAACATAACATGAACACAATAAAATTAATAAAAACGACAATTAGTAACAATATTTTTACTATTATCGACATTTAATTATAAATTGACAATCCAAACAACCTGAGAATTAGTTTATCAAGAATTAGTTTAACGTCGCCTTACACAATTAAAACAGAAACTGATAAACAAATGACCATTCACAATTGCCTTTTTATACTCACAGATTTTCAAGTAAACTTTGGCTTGAAAAGACATCATGAGAAAGAGACTCTAATAGGTTTTCCTCCAGTGATCTGAAAGGTATACAGTATATATGAATTGATAATAACAGGTAATGTTTTAATTAAGTGAAAAAAAATCTGAGTCCATAAAATTTGCGAGAGAAACAGAAGTAAGTTTCTTAGCTGTGGTGACTATGAACTTTGACGTTAAGGCCACTAGAACACATTAAATACAGTGAAACCTCTATTTAACAGACTCTATGAAGAGGAAAGTCCAATACTGCATATGATATAACAGAACACCAAGTCTTCCGTGACAATCACCACTTCCTCAGATACTCACAGTGTTGTCAGTGTGGAGTACTGAGACATGACGGCAGCATCCAGACTGAACACCTCGCTGCCCTTGATGTTCCTGTTAGAGAAAGATCATCAACATCATTTAGCGTACAATATGGAAGATCTACAGTGATACCCTAAACAAGGTTATTCTTTCAGACATTACCGAACTTGTTCCACTGGCAATGATTATATTTCATCATTATTTTCGGATCACCTGAAGATTAGATGCCTTAACTTATTTCACCTGATGAGAAGACACCTTAATACTACTGATGGAGGGACAGGTTATGTTAGCATTAAAGTGAAAAAAAGCTTGGGTGTCTAATCTTCAGGTGATCAGTGTTATTTTCTTTGCAGTGTGACGTAAAAGTATGAGACTGGATTTTCAATACAGGTGATGGAGGAGGGCGGAGAAAAATTCATAGTCAGTAAGAATTTGGGTAAGAAACTCATTGAAGTTGAACACAATCCAGATGATGTTCTGTTCGATGATTCAGAGAGTCAAATACAAAGAGAAAATTATAAAAATACTGACATGGATGAACTTATTAAGAACCAGAGCTCTCTTAATGGCAGCTGTTAGTGAGTGAGTTAGAAGAGGTGTGTAGTAGAAGACGCAAATAGTGAATGTAAAAAAAAGAATAAAAAAAGAACCAGAGGGAGAAAAGGAACAGGGAGAGAGAATGCATTCAATATCCAGGAGTGAATATGTTACAGGAAGTGAATGTGTCAGCCTATGGAACATTGGGCGATGAAATGAATTTTAGAAAGAGTGAAATGAAAAAGGTAAAAACTGCACTGAGGACCTTATAGCAAAGGGTAATATACAAAAGGAGATACAAACAAGGAAGAAGTAGATTGGAATGAGTAGAAATAATGTGTGGGATGAATAGGATGAAAATATGGAAAATAAGATACAAAAAATATTTAATATTATAAGGATGCATCAGACACAGCGCCGACATTAATAAAAGAACTGGAGGAGAGAGATTATACAATAATGTATAATTCAGAAGGGGGTAGCAAAGGGAGGAGGAAGGCCAGGAAATGGGTGGAAGAATAGAGTCAAGTCAGTGAGGCATGGAAGGAGGGTGTTGGACATCCAGGAAGGAGCAGTGAGTGTAATGACTGGAAAGCATGGAGTCAGTTGGTTTTGGGGTGAGATATGTTGGGTGTTGAGGACTTGCTGTGGAGGGAACACCATAGCAGAATGACTGAAAGATGACAAATAAGGGTAGAGCCTATGTTGCCTCGGTCAACCAGCACCGTAGCAAGATTGGGCTTGCAAGAAAGAAAAATGAAAAGAAGTAAAACTACTACTACTATTACCACTAAAGCTAATAAACAAAAATGTACTGTACAGTACTTACAACAGAGTGATGCCACCAACGATACGGTGAGGGACTTGAGCCAGACCCGTGTGAGGACACTTAAGTTGAGTGTCTAACTCACAGTAGCACATGTCCTTCAGTTGTTCTATAACTTTCTCCTGGTCGTAGCTGCCTGTCTTGTGATCGTAATCCCCAGTCTTGTAATCGTAGACGACCAACTCATTGTTAAAGAGCCCAGTATTCAGTTCACCAATATTGGAGTCTCCATGATGGTAACTGACCACAGTCTTATACACCTCCTCCCGCTGGTGACCAGAGTGTGTCTCCTTTTGGTGTTTCTCCTTCTGCTGGTGACCAGGAACTTTATCATGAGGAAACCTTCTGTCACCCTCACTGTACCCACTACCAGCCCGACTCACGCCGACTTTCAAGTCACGTTTCCCTCTTTCAGAGGCTTTCGTATTTTTTGGTTGATCAACCACGCCAGGTACTGCATCGTACATCAGATGGAGTCTTCCTTTTTTCTTCCACTGAAATAGACTTTGATCATACTTTTTTGTTGGAGTGTCAGGGAGGCCAATACGGCCTTCCAGTATTGGACGGTGATAGAGCAGCTCAATAGCCTTCGTGTATTTACTCTTCTTTTGATAAGGTCTAGTAAGTTCAGTCTGAGTTTGATTTTGTGGGATTTTAAAAAACAAGAGTTCTAAAGACCTTGTATGTAGGGGACGAAGAGTGTGGCTGTCAGTACGTGCCTTCCAGTTAAGAAAAACATTACTGTGGTCTACACCCTGCGTACGAGTTGCCAGCCGACGTGGTGTAGGTTGTTGATATATGTTCCTTATATTATTAGTATGTTCAGCAAACTTGCAGTCCCTCGCAACTCTGGATTTGTGTTGACGTTTGAATGGCCGATTGTAAGATAGATGACCAATCTTAAATGGTAATTTCCTCAAATAACCATATTCCTGTATTCTCTTTCCCTCATGCCTCATGTTGGGACGGACACACTTGGGTTCTTCTACCGAGCCAAATATATTATGATAGTGAAAGGGTTTACTCAAGCCATGCTTACTATTCTGCCTTCCCCAGTCAACCAACATCTGCTTTTCACTTCTCTCTATATCATTCGTCTTATTTTTTCTGTCTATGGTGTCCTCCTTATCGGTTCTATCCACCCGTCTCTTCCCTGCACCACTCATCTTAGCATCAGAGGTTTGCACACTCCTGATACTTCTCTTGGACGGCTGATGGGGAGCTTGTAGTCCGCCTCGATTGCTGGTAACATTGCATTGGACGATTCCCTTATTGTTTATGTGAGGCTGGAGACAGTCTTCCACATTGTAAGGCAGTGGGCATACACACAGGTCTGGCGAGAGGTGTCATGGGGTTAGAAGGATTAAACGCTATATTTTAGAATGATAGTGAAATATTTTTTTTTTAATTTACATCGATTTACTTTTGTATAGGAAAGGGTGACTTGTTACATGAATTTATTTAGGATGAAAGGGCATACAACGTACATTGAAAGTTAATTTACAACAAAAAAAGACTTAAATAACAAAGTGACTTGACTAAACACAAAAGACAAACAATAAAAACTAAACAAATTACAACTACACTGACACAGACCCTGAATCTAGACACCATTGAGGCACAAGCAACCTTAAAACCGAATAAAGAGTTCATAAAAAAAAATCTAAGTTTTAATTTTCGAATACGTCTGTTGAGTATCTTTCTTCTCCATGACTACCTACCCATTATAAATAGAGCCCGTGAAAGGAAGAGACGATTGGAATCAAAGTGTTCAGCGTAGCTCTATGATCCTCTTTATTACTCTTTAACATAGTTTAAATCTCATCACCCTCTTACTCTCCCAGTCCTTCGTGTACCTCTTTACCTCCTCTTCGCCGAGTCAATCAACACCAGTGTATTATCCCTCGCTCTTTCATTCCCAGCTTAACATTGTCATTCATTATTAAGTGACTGTTAAGCCGAGTGTCTCACACGTGGCTACACAGTACTTCACTCTCATTCATTTCCTTCCCATTCATTTCCTTCCCTCCCATTTCCTTCCTTTCCAATTCCTTCCCTCCCACTTCTTTTCCTTCAACTTAATTCTTTCTCTCACTGCATTCCCTTCCAGTATACCAGCCAAGTGTGAATATAAGTCACTTAGACACTATTATTGTCTTTCTGAGTGACGTTATGAATTCTAGTCTATCAAAGGTGAAAAAAAGCGACTTACAAGTTTGACTCAAGATAAAACTTACGACAAGGTTGACTTAACACAAAACTTATGACAAATAAATGACTTGCAACAATGACTCACGACAAAACTTACGGCAGAAGGTGATGCTGAATTTGGGGAAGTTAGTCTTCTCGCTGGGTTTGGTGCTCTGACGTAACACTGGAAAGGGGAGTCGAAAATGAAATTCTTCGTAAACCAAATAAAGATCACATGAAGATTAGACACTCAGTTTATATCACCTGATGATTAAGCACTAAAATACTACCTGGAGGAGGTTAGGTTAAGTTATATTAGGTTGTTTCATCATCAAGTGAAATAAGCTAGGGGCCTAATCTTCAGGTAATCGGACAATTTCAAACTAAGATATGAAATCACTCGTCACATACAGACTGAGAAGATACTGGGTTACCTTAACACAAGTAATGGTCACAGAAGGTAACACTCAACACTCGACCTCCAGATAGAGGTTATAGGAGGTAATACTCGACCTCCAGATAGAGGTTATAGGAGGTAATACTCACAACATTCGTCCTCCAGCTCGTCCTCCTGATCGTCACAGTCAACCTCGGCATTACACCAGCGGCTCCGAGGTAAACATTTGCCATCACTACACTGGAACCCTCCCTTAGGACAGCCTAGAATGGAGGAAAAAAAAATCAATACCAATAATGACTATTTTTTATTCGCCTCATCATTATGTAAAGAGGAGGGAGGGGAGGAAGTCGGGGGAGGGGTAGAAGTAGGGGAAGAGGAGGGAGGAGGAGGGAGGAGGAAGTCGGGGGAGGGGTAGAAGTAGGGGAAGAGGAGGGAGGGAAGTAGGAGAGGGGATGATGGGGTTAGGGGATGTGGTAATGGAAGGGGTGGGAGAGAAGGGGGGGGTGGGAGAGAAGGGGGGGGGGAGCCAGCCACCTGACATAGTAAAGATCAAACTTTATATTTCTTGAAGACGCCAACTGAGAGGTCCTAGATAGAAAGACAGATATGTTAGATATTTATTATATATTATATCCCCCCTGTGTACGATGAGGGGAAAGTACAAGTGAAGTGAGAAAAAAAGTTCAAATCCCCCAAAGCAATAATTCCACGAGCATTACAGAGTTGCGGTAGTCTTTGTGACATCATCAAGATGAACACGTGAGCGTCAAAGGGCAAATAAACACAGGTTTCTTTCCTTGCATCAGCAGCTGCTGGGCAGATCTTGTCCGCCAAAACAAGCACAAACCACAAACGTAAATAAAAACTTCCGCGCCTATCTGGGTAGTATATCCCCATTGGCCATAAATCCACTGTGCAAGATTAACAATAACAATTTGTCCTTACTGATGTGTATAAAGGTGGATAAAGTTTTTGTGGTAGTACAACCTGCATTTAGTATGTACAAAATTAAGACAAAATGTGATAGATTATATTTGTAGACAAGTGGGTGGTACAGAGGCAACGCGCGTCTCTCACCGCTGTGTTCCAGTGATAGTACAGGCATCAAACAAGGCAGGTTTTCTACGGGTACTCCAGTTTCCTCCTGTACTAACACTGGGCAATACAGGTCCAATCCCATGGCCTCCTCGCTCTCCCGACATTACACCGTCAGACTTCTTCTTGTGGGGTTAAGTGAACGATTGTGTTCACAAGACACCTGCTGCTAACACTGAAACCCTTCGTTCACGGATAACCGATGGTATTAGGAGTGACACGTGGTATGCTGGTGAACATGTGACGGGAAGCCGAGTACGTTTTGACGTGTTGTGGGCCACAAAAGGAGCACGGGTGTGTGCTCTTTTTGTGGCGTATGCACAATCGAATTAGCTAAGGAACATGATGCAAAACACTATATCATTCTACCTCTGTTGGGTTTGTTGTAATAATAATTTAAACCCGGAAAATGACTTTATGAACACCTAGTACAGTATAAATAAAAACACCCCTCACAATATGGTGAAGAGAGTAAATGAGACAGCTGCTGAGAATATATTAGGGTCGGATCTGTTACCAAGTTCGGGGTCACGACCTCACGCGAGCCATTTCCGGTTCAAAAATCATATAAACAATGACACTTTCCAAGACAAGAAAGAAGAGTTATTAAGACCCATCACTCAGATATAGGTGTTGTGGAACTGTTGTATAAGAACAGGAAAATCAACACGGAGGACTGTGAATTTAATATACTAGATAGATATGAATCATTTACGAACCTGAACCTCTCTGAGACAAACTGTAAGAGGTGTGTGATTATTTATACAAGAAAGGATTAGAGACAGCCAATGAAGGGCGCAGGGGATTATATTTTGAAGAATTGAAATGGTGTAAAATTAAACTGACTCATTATTGGATGTATTTACAGATCTTCAAATTATAGTTTAATGAAAAAGAAATTTAAGAGCCACAACGGCGATCAACTCTATACACGTCAGGGGGTCATCGACTGAGGGAAGATATTACACCAGATGACCTTAATAATCCTACAACTATTTTTTGTAGAAACTTTGAGACAATTTCCTATTCCAAGCTATGAAAGACCCGACTCACTACAGAGGGGAACAAACAACTATACCCTTGGATCACATAACTGATCAGAAGAGTCAACAGTATGGTGGCCAAGTGGGAACATTTGGCACCCGATGACACTAACCATCACGTGATATTGTCCTTCAGATTTAACTCAGTGAATGACGAGAGGAGGCCAAGGTTGACATATTATAATACTTTCACCTTATACATAACAATGAATTACTATTTACCGTAGATCTCACTAGTTTTGCATTATGGTGCTTTTCTCTTTTAAACAGCATAATTCATTTGTTTATACTGGGGCTCACATGTCACCACCCACCTGCCTCTGTACAGCTAGGTTGATGTATGAGGGGTTAACAGATGCAAAATAACAAGCACTTACTTATCACATTACTTGCTATTCGTTTAATTAAGACTTCACTACTTAACACTATTTATTTCCATACACGGGTTTACATTCAGTATCCGTGATAAAAAATCCGTCGAAATTGTTGTTGGAATCTCCTGTCTCGTTTACTACTGTGGCAGTATAAACGGAATTCGTCACGGGGGGGGGGGGATTACTCGTGCAAACAACTGTATTGTATACCATGTTGATATATGTACAGTCATCCACAAAAGTCATATCCTCTCTCCCCCTGATCCACGAAACCCGAGATTCAGACTCGTGAATCCGAAGCATTTATGGACAGAATAATGCATCAGAGTTTACAGCTTTAGGTTCACGAGTCAATGTGTGAATCTCGAGGTTCGTGGAACAGCAGGTGAGGCGGTGACAGTAATTTTGTGGATGACTGTACACTGTTTTTTTTCATAGGACACCCCCCGCCCCCTACATCCTTGTGTAAGGTGAAGCGCAGAAGCGTCTACAGAGCCCAACAGGGAAGCATGCTAAGTTCATGCTTGTCTTTATGTCTCATGAGTTAAGGGCGTAGAAGCCTGAAGAGTCAATGGTTTATGTCATCAAGTTATTGGAAGCTCCAACAACTTGTACCTGAATGCGAATTCGCAACTTTCGATTTACAGCAGGTACCTACTTTGCTGCTAGGTACCGCTCTACCACCAGCGCCCACTGTACACTGTGTATAGTATATATTTATGTGTGTATATTTGTGTATCTGTGTATATTTGTATAATCATGAGAATATAGGGGGGTTTGTGCATGTGTGCGTGTATGCAGGTGTACTGTATGTATGCATGAATTCACAAATGTAAACAATCATGCAAGAATTAATACTCTAAAACCACGTCATCGCCACCACTCACCCGCTTGCCAGAAGACGACCAAGCTGACGACGATAACGACGACGAATACGACAAGGGCGCCCACCAGGATCCTCACTGTCCCCGCCCCGAGGGACCCGAAGCCTAATGGCGCACCACCACTACAGCCACCGGAGCCTCCCATGTTGACAAGCTCCTTCGGTCGTGACCGACCCTGTGACTGGATGACTCTTGGCTGGTGGGTCTGTGTGCTCGGAGCTGATTGGCGAGCTAGTGGGTGACGTCATTACTCAGTAATGCTGGTTGGCTTTTTGGTGGGTAACGTCATTTCTTAGTGATTCTGACTGGCTAGGTGGGGTGTGATGGCAATGTTAGGGGTATGTGACGTCACCTCTCGTTAGTTTGCTGGGTGGATAGTTACGTAATTATTCAGTTGGTGAGTCAGTACCTGATGTCGGTGTATGTTGAGTGTCAACTTGGGGCGTGACGTCACAGCTTAATGTTGCTAATTGGCTAACTGGTAATTAACATCTCTGGTCACATTTGCTGGTTGGTTACCTGGTGTGTTACGTAAACAGTATTAATAAATGTTGCTAGTTGCTGGGTAGTCTGTGACGTAACTATTCGGTGTTGTTTGGATGGTTAATCTATGACGTCACAATGTGGTCTTGCTGGTTGGCTACATGGACTGTGATATCACTAATCGGTTTTCGATTGTCTGGCGAGTGTGACGTCGTCTCAGTGATTATTGTAGGTATGCTGGTAAAAACACGCCCAGACTTGATGGCATCTGCAAGAGGTAAAATGCATACCGTTAGAATCAAGAAACAATTAGTAAAATTAAAATACAAATTACTGTGTTAAACATACCAACTAATTAGTATTATTTTTTTAATTGATTTCGGTTTTTGGTTTACAGGGAGTGGCCAGCACTTCCTTCCGTTGCCTTTCACCTTCCTAATATTGTATTCACATAAACATTCTCCGCTGGGACGACTGGGGGCGCCCTTAACAGCGATTGGCCGATGGTCTTGAATCAGCCACTATTTACCTACTGTGGATTCGTGCTTTATGTTAAGTGATTATGTTTAACTGTTTATTTACTTTAAATTAAGTAAAAGTTGATATATCTATTAACTCAGAACTAAGCAATTTCTATAAGGTGATACAAAAGACTATGAACGTGATCTCATCCTCGTGTTGTTCAAACCCAGATGAAATTACTATGAGACGAACTGGAAAACCAACACTACATATACAGCACAGGGTCTCATAGGTCACTCATCATAGGAAAATTAAGGTTTGTATCTTTATTTTCTCTCTCACTTCGTCAGGTTAGCGAATCGTAACAAAACAACGAGGATTAGGCGACGAGGACCACCGAGCTCTCGTAAAGTAGTCCCTGGAGAGAAGGTCGTGAGGAGGACGGAGCTGATCAGACACGAGGGGCGAATTGAGAACAGGTGGGAGGTGGGGCAGAGGTGACGGGCCGGGGAGGAGAAAAGTAGACAGAATGAGAATATTGGACATGGCCCACAGCTCTGCGGGTGGTTAATCTTCAGGTGATCCACAGAAGCCTGACAGAGAGAGAGGAGGGCGGAGGTGTAAAATGTGAGGAAGAAAAGCGTAAACAAAAGATAGGAACACAACAGGTAGTGGTCGAGCAACAGAAAAATGTGAACGGTAGAGGGGGAAGGGTGACAGAATAACCTGTGAAGCGGCCCAGGAATGGTGGCGCGGAATTCCCTTTATCAAGAACGACATACAGGGTGGTGCATAATATCGTTTACCTAGTGGCAGTTATACACTGTTCTAGATAAAAGTAACTTATGTACCACCCTGTACAGTATACCCTCGTTATCATACACGAGGTTTTGGCCCAACAGGTAATGCGTATAATAATCCATAGTGAATGCGAAATATAATGATACAAAATAAAGGGTTATAGTCGAGCAATTACTCCTATGTCATTCATTATACAACTTCTACTGCTATTATATTTTCTGTTGTTTACTAAAATTAAAAAATTAACAAAGAAAATCACCCAATCGCTTGTTAGCTCAATTTTCTGGCCTCAATGATGAGGTACTGTACTGTATGTTTGTATATACAGACTCATATCTTCCTCACCTGGCCCTCAAGGACATACACGAACACCCATAGACACGGACACACAGATAGATTAGACACTCCAGCTTATTTCAAATGAAGATTAGACACCCAAGCTTAATTCACCTTAAGATTAACCACCCAAACGCTAATCTAACTTCACCAGACCTAACCTACGACAGGTAATGTTAGGATTTTAATCTTCAGGTGAAATAAGCAGGAGTGTCTAATCTTCAGGTGATCCACAGTTGCTACAATACTGTACACGGGTCTTCGTGACTTCAAGAAGAGTCGTTGCGAGGCTATTTTCCCCCTCTACTGGTAAACTTTGGTCCAACCTCTTTACCCTCTCACGCCTCCCCTCACGCCCTCACAACCAAGTCTTCCACTGTCTTAAAAAAAGAGTATATTGATAATGCCTACTTGTAATAAAAATTCAAATTGACTCCACAAGCTTGTTTCAATATCACTTTAAGAGTTGAACATTGAACCTAAAAAATCCAATTTCTGACAGTTGATACCATATAGCTGAAGATAGCAATTACAAGGGGTGAGGGACAAGGCACAAGACACACACACACAAAGCTATATAAAGCGATATTGACGTTGAGAAAGTGATATGAGAAAATGTTTACCAAGTTTACAGAGAAAGTCAGGTGCTCTTATTGTTGTGACTATTTGAGTCATTTACTTCTTTAAATTTTTGTGGACTGGCGTTTTGTCATGACCCGGCCTATTCAGTTGATGTAACGTGTATAAACTGTATATTAGCATTTAGCCTAATCATAATAATATAGCTGTGGATGTATGTTTAACTACCATCCCAATATCTGAGGACTACTGACTTTTACCTCTCTGATACATTAATTCACGAGAGGAATGTCTAGTTAACTAACTAAAGTATTCCTTCGGAATTCTGAGTAAACTTTAAACTGTTGACTAGAAATCCTCTAATACGTGACACCACTCATGTGTCCCACTGAGATGAAGGAAGGTCACTCATGTGTCCCACTGAGATGAAGGAAGGACACTCATGTGTCCCACTGAGATGAAGGAAGGTCACTCATGTGTCCCACTGAGATGAAGGAAGGACACTCATGTGTCCCACTGAGATGAAGGAAGGTCACTCATGTGTCCCACTGAGATGAAGGAAGGTCACTCATGTGTCCCACCGAGATGAAAGAAGGCCACTCATGTGCCCCACTGAGATGAAGGAAGGTCACTCATGTGTCCCACCGAGATGAAGGAAGGACACATGTGTCCACCGAGATGAAAGAAGGCCACTCATGTGCCCCACTGATATGAAGGAAGGCCACTCATGTGTCCCACCGAGAAGGAAGGTCACTTATGTGTCCCACTGATATGAAGGCCACTCATGTGTCCAACCGAGAAGGAAGGACACTCATGTGTCCCACTGAGATGAAGGAAGGACACTCATGTGTCCAACCGAGAAGGAAGGACACTCATGTGTCCCACTGATATGAAGGAAGGCCACTCATGTGTCCAACCGAGAAGGAAGGACACTCATGTGTCCCACTGAGATGAAGGAAGGACACTCATGTGTCCAACCGAGAAGGAAGGACACTCATGTGTCCCACTGATATGAAGGAAGGCCACTCATGTGTCCAACCGAGAAGGAAGGACACTCATGTGTCCCACTGAGATGAAGGAAGGACACTCATGTGTTCCACTGAGATGAAGGGAGGACACTCATGTGTCCCACTGATATGAAGGAAGGCCACTCATATGTCCAACCGAGAAGGAAGGACACTCATGTGTCCCACTGATATGAAGGAAGGCCACTCATGTGTCCAACCGAGAAGGAAGGACACTCATGTGTCCCACTGATATGAAGGAAGGCCACTCATATGTCCAACCGAGAAGGAAGGACACTCATGTGTCCCACTGATATGAAGGAAGGCCACTCATGTGTCCAACCGAGAAGGAAGGACACTCATGTGTCCCACTGAGATGAAGGAAGGACACTCATGTGTCCCACTGAGATGAAGGAAGGCCACTCATGTGTCCAACCGAGAAGGAAGGACACTCATGTGTCCCACTGATATGAAAGAAGGCCACTCATGTGTCCAACCGAGAAGGAAGGACACTCATGTGTCCCACTGAGATGAAGGAAGGACACTCATGTGTCCAACCGAGAAGGAAGGACACTCATGTGTCCCACTGAGATGAAGGAAGGCCACTCATGTGTCCAACCGAGAAGGAAGGACACTCATGTGTCCCACTGATATGAAGGAAGGCCACTCATGTGTCCAACCGAGAAGGAAGGACACTCATGTGTCCCACTGAGATGAAGGAAGGCCACTCATGTGTCCAACCGAGAAGGAAGGACACTCATGTGTCCCACTGAGATGAAGGAAGGCCACTCATGTGTCCAACCGAGAAGGAAGGACACTCATGTGTCCCACTGAGATGAAGGAAGGACACTCATGTGTTCCACTGAGATGAAGGGAGGACACTCATGTGTCCCACTGATATGAAGGAAGGACACTCATGTGTTCCACTGAGATGAAGGAAGGCCACTCATGTGTCCAACCGAGAAGGAAGGACACTCATGTGTCCCACTGAGATGAAGGAAGGACACTCATGTGTTCCACTGAGATGAAGGGAGGACACTCATGTGTCCAACCGAGAAGGAAGGACACTCATGTGTCCCACTGATATGAAGGAAGGCCACTCATGTGTCCAACCGAGAAGGAAGGCCACTCATGTGTCCAACCGAGAAGGAAGGACACTCATGTGTCCCACTGAGATGAAGGAAGGCCACTCATGTGTCCCACTGAGATGAAGGAAGGACACTCATGTATCCCACTGAGATAAAGGAAGGCCGCTCATGTGTCCCACTGAGATGAAGGGAGGACACTCATGTCCCCCTAAGATGAAGGAAGGACTCATGTCCCACTGAGATGAAGGAAGGACACTGATGTCCCACTGAGATGAAGGAAGGCTGGCCACACGTGCAGCACACTCACTAGCCTAGGTTGCCCATCACACCAGCGACCAAACATTACCTTACCTAATATACTGTAGATAACGAGTGAATATTACGAAGGGCGTTTTAATGCAAGGGTTCCCAAGCTC